TGCACTCCATGTCATGAGTGGTCGGCGACCGAGGCGATCGATAGTATAAAATGCGAGCAGACCGCCGAATGGCTGCGTGAGGCCCATTGATGCGGCGAGGATACGGGCCCTCACTTCGTCCATGCCAAGATATTCCTAGGGGGCCGTCAGTTAATGATATACTCAAACACATAGGTGACGACTGGGAATTCAGCATGGCAGGTGTGTGAACGAAGAAGACAACAGCATTAACTCACCTGGAAGATAGTCGTCGCGTAGTAGGTAATCAGATTCACACCACACATCTGCTGGAAGAACTGACCTGTGCAGGCAAGGTATGCACGGTGGAAGAGACGCTGCTTATCCATTGTGAAGACAGCGGTCCAGGAGGTATTCCCACAGACAGCGAGAGTAGTTTGAACATCATGGATAACGTTGGAGATCTCCTCCGAATCAGGCTCTAGCTCGAGAAGAGCCGACATGACATTCCGGGCCTCTTGAATTTGGCCGGTCATGATCAGCCAACGGGGGGATTCCGGGAGGAACGGGATAGAAGCCATTGCTATCATACAGAAAACTGAGGGGAAGGCAAGAGGGAATCGCCATGATGCGGAGTTATTCTTCACGAAGTAGAGTCCGAGATCAATCCAGAGTCCTAGACTAACTCCAGCACCGACAAAAATGCCATCTGTAACGACGTTCGAGCCTCGTTTATGTGCTGGTGAAATCTCAGACTGCCAAACTGGCACGGTAGCAGTGTATCCACCAATACCCGCACCAAGAACTAATCTTGCGACAATAAATTGTGCGAAATCAAAGGAGGTTGCCATCAAAATGCAGCCAATCATACAAACCAAATTGGCCCCGAACATGACCTTCCTCCGCCCTAGCCGATCACCTAGATAGGCGCATGACAAGGCTCCAAAGATACCGCCGACGGTGTAGAGAGCAATCACAGTGCCTATCCATGCACAAATAATTAGAATATATAGAGACACGGAGACCTTGTCTTGACATTGACCAACCTTGAATTGTGGAATTTTCCGCTTTCAAGGCTCCCTCCGTGTTTATAGTATCCATGCGAGGGAATTGCTTATTAAAGGCCTGGAGTGTCAAAAGACCACCAGCCACACTCATATTGTAACCATAGCAGGTGAAGGTTGGGAATACAACCAGTGCTACTGCTGCTCTGAGGAGTGCATTGCCGCGAAGGCCAAGATACGGCTTCAAGCCCATGTTGGAAATTGTACAAGAGATAGACAAAGGATGAAGAGAGTGGATTGGGAGGAGTGGATGGGAAATGAAGTCAGTGCGATAAGCGACTGCACGCTGTTATATCAATAACATTGTAGCGTGTTGATATGCAAGACGGTGAGCATTGACACAGCGAGTATGATGGCTTGGAAATCCGGGGTCAAAAATCTGGGGTTGAATTTTTCGGCCATCGGCGGTCACCGTCAAAAGTAGGAGCCAAGAAACTGCTTAATGGAAGCTTAACTGGGGTGAATAGCGGAAGCGTATGTAAACTGTTAGCACCTCCACGTCAAGAGACCACGATCCGGGCGCCATCCTCCGAGCATGTGGCTTTTACGCCTACACGAAAATAAAGAGGAATTGACAGCTCTGAGGCGGAGGATGGAGAATTGAGGTTGGCCAAAGATAAAATTGGATCAGCGGAAGTTAGGTAAGTGGATTCAATCGCTCGTCCAGTCGTAATGGGACATTTGAATCTCGGTATGAGTTGCCTCTCACTGATACAATCTCTTGATTTGCTGGCCTCAACATGCCAACGGCATAAATGGGCGCCATATGCCACAAAAAAATTCCATAGTGGGTAAGTTAGGGTAAGATAGATTTTGGGATCCGAAAGGGATGGCTGTGGCGCTGCAACCTTCATAATGTTTGACGTGTTTGATACGATGCATTCTTCCAATCTCCCCAATTCATATCTACCGACATATGCATTACCAATTATTCTATCTCTTTCAAAGCTCCATGATTTTATTTTTATTTTTATTTTTATTTTTTATTTTTTTTCATCAACATCAACATCAAGAACCCCTCCCCGTGGTGACAAACCCCGAGGCCCGAGCGTGGGAAGGACTTCCAAGGCTCGTTCTTGGACTTGCCCTTCTGGTGGCCCCGCCATGCTCAATCAGTCGGAGGTAGCCGAAGACTCTGAGTCCAGAACACTTGAAGATAATTGTGATCGTCTGTGTCGATCCTGTTATGTCCTAACCTCCAAAAGAGTTAGAGCGATTACCGGATGCTACCGCGGGGATGACCGTCCAATGCAGTAGGTGCAGCCATCAATGGCTGTACAATCCACGGTTCCATTAACTTCAGATTAATTGAACTCTGATACTAGGTGCATGATGTTTCATCCATTAATCACAGAGTGTAGATGAGTATATATATCATGGTGTGTTATCCTCGAGATGGTAGGGTGATCCAAACAGTGAGAATCGACATTTCTTTTTCGCTATGTTTCTAAGTATCTTCAGATCTTCGGTGGGGTTGTCTGCAGTATGGCTGTCTTCGATAGTGCTGTTTGCCTGCGGCACCATGACTGCAACAACTCCGTACACCGTCTATCGCGGTACATTCGTTCAGCTTCCCCAGCTTGATTCAAGCTCGGCCAAGCCGAGGCTCGCTCGAACCCAAGGTGTCCTGTGGGTCTCTTCGGAGGATGGTCGTATTAAAGGATATGATTGGCAAGTCAAAGATGATGCTAGCTTCCAATCGTTCTTGTCTAGCTACGGCTGGACTGAGGCCGATATTACAATTGTGCAGTCCAACGATGAGCAGAACGAGTTCTTCTTCCCAGGATTTATTGATACCCACATCCACGCGCCGCAGTACCCCAACCTGGGATTGTTTGGATCAAAGGGTCTGTTGGACTGGTTGAATGAATACACATTCCCAGTTGAAGCTAGCTTCGGCCCCGAGTCGGACCCATTGAACAAGGCCACCGATCCTAAAGATACGCCCCCAGAGGGCCTCCGCGTCTACGATGAAGTTGTTTCCAAGGCTCTTGCCCACGGCACAACTTGCGCATCCTACTTTGCCACCATCCACGTTCCGGCCACCAATGCTCTGGCAGCCCTTTGCCACAAACACGGCCAGCGCGCCTTCATCGGCCGTGTCTGTATGGACAACCCCGACCAGTGCCCGTCTTATTATATTGACCAGTCCGCCGATGATGGTCTGCATGCAACAATTAGGACCATCGATTATATCCGGAAGCTGGACCCGAACGGAACATTGATTAACCCGATCGTCACTCCCAGATTTGCGCCAAGCTGCTCACAGCACTCCCTCGATAGCCTCGGTAAACTGGCTGCATCCTATACCCCGCCCCTGCGGATCCAAACGCATATTTCTGAGAATACAGACGAGATTGCACTCGTCCAGAAACTGTTCCCAGAGTCGTCCAGTTATGCTGACGTCTACGACAAGGCTGGCCTACTTACTAATCGTACTATTCTCGCGCACGGTGTGCACCTCTCCAAGGAAGAGATGACTCTTATCCGCGAGCGCGGCTCAAAGGTTTCGCACTGCCCAGCATCGAACTCCGCCTTAGGCTCAGGACTTGCTCCTATCCGCTTCATGCTCGACCAAGGTGTCGCGGTCGGTCTGGGCACGGATGTGGCTGGTGGGTATAGCGCCAGTATTCTTGAGGTTGCCCGACAGGCGAGCCTGGTGTCCCGAGTGGTTCAATATAGTGCGGAGTATCAAGAGCTGACGGGCAACAAGACATCGGATGGAAGTGAGAAGCTTCTGGTCGATGATGTTCTCTATCTAGCCACGCGTGGCGGTGCAGCAGTCGTCGACATGGTGGATGACATTGGTGGGTTCGATAAGGGCATGATGTGGGATGCGCAGCTGATTGAGTTGGGTGCTGTTCTTCCAAACAGCACTGCGAGCCCACTTGATATGGCGACTCTCGCTGGTCGAGGTGTCGAGACTGGTTCTGTGGGCAATATTGACCTGTTTGGAAATGAGACTTGGCAGGAGCAGATCGAGAAGTGGATGTGGAGTGGTGATGATCGGAACGTGAAGAATGTCTGGGTTCAGGGAAAGCTGGTCCACACCAGAGACGACTGAGTTTTGGTTTGATTTGTATACGTATCTCAATGTTGGTTTGATGAAGTTGGATTACTTTTTCCGTTAGGCTACTCATCGCATACGGAGATTGAGTCAATGTGGTCATATACTCAACCAGCCTAGGTGGCAGAGGACTAAAAATCCAATGTTCCCTTTCGTATCATCGTGTAGTGAACATGTTACTGTCACTGTTCTTGATAGAATTCTTGGCTTGAAGTGTTTTCGTGCATAGAGTCGTGTATATAAGCATCTGCTACTACCTAGGTACGTTTGAAGCCTTGGAAATGGTAAGAAGTAAGCAAATTTCTTCCCTAGCAACTTGGTTAGGGGATTCCCCAATAATTTGATCCTGAAGCAATATTTACTACCCGTATGCTGGCTCAGACAGCAAACCCTCCATCAACCACCAACGCCGCTCCACACGTACAGCTGCTCGTGGATGAGCAAAGAAAGAGCATTGCATCGGAAATCTCCTCTACCTATGCAGGACGGCCGATGGGTGTCATCTGAAACTGGGCATCCATTGACCCGGATTCAATCTGTTCCTTGATGATTGAAGTACCACCCCGTATTGACCATCCCTGGAGTATGCTTTGGCGTCCTGTTATGTCATTAGCCAAGTTCAATTGCACCGTCTACAGAACCTTGGCATTTTGGTTAGTCCGACAAAAGAAGTGAATGACTAAAAGTGTACGGGAAAAGGGTAATTCCGGCTGACATTTAATCCTATTTCATCGGTATCACTCGACATATATACACGAGTGGTATATAGCCAATCAACGACCTATGCACTCCGTTAGAGCCTTGGCGTTGTCATATCCTTTTTTGCGTCCAAAAACAGAACACGTGTCGGAGTTCATAAGTCGTAAGGCTCCAACCCACACAAAAACGTGAGAGCAGCCAAAGCCGCAATCATGGCTTCTCGGGGGCAGTTAACCGATACCGGATTACGTATCGATATCATACACCAACGCGAGGATATTATTCAGGCTTTCGACTGCGTATGCGAGGCATTTGGTCGTCAAGTGCAAGATGGGATCTGGATAGCCTTGAACCCAGGTTGGGACACACCTCAGGGGAGAGCACATGGAGCTGAGAGGATGGTCGCCCGCTGGCATCACAAGACCAATGACAAAAACGGTCTTCCGAATATCATTTTTCTCAAGGCTACGCTGCCGTGTCCGGAGAATGGAGACAGACGTATCATCGTGGGCTTCAGCATTTGGGTGCAGGCTTCCACCATAGAGGGCTATGGTGAACCTCCGGCGCAAGATATGGCCAATTCACTAAACCTCAATGCACTTTACCCCGAAAATGAGTCTGAACAACGTTACCTCTGCCAGGTTATTTCCTCTCTGCATAGAAGACGCAACGAAGTAATTAAGGAGAAAGCCACTGCAGTGCCACCAGCAGTTTTGATCCTAGACATGTGCGCCGTCGATCCGGCCCACCAGCGCAAAGGTGTTGCGCGAGAGCTTGTGCGGTGGGGCATCGATGAAGCGCATCGGCGTGGAGGTCTGGAAGCCATAACTGAGGCGTCCAGTATGGGTCGACATGTGTATGCAAAGATGGGATTCCAAGCGGACGGGCCTGAGATTGAATATGTGGTGGACGACGAATTTTCTTCTCGGAGGAAACCCCCTAACCTGTTTATGCGCACCAATAGCAACCTACACACACACTAGGTCAAATTGGCCATACAGACCATCACGAGCTACGACCGGTGGGCTTGGGAAGACTACCGTGACCTTGAAGGCACTTGATTTGCCTGTTTCTCGTCATACTTGCCGTACAAAATACCCCATCTTCCATAGATTGAATACAAGATAAGCTCCACTCCACTATTTCTGCTTTGCCATACAAACAGTGCTTCCCACCCTCTGTTATTCTTCACCATTGTCCGAAATCAGTTTCGATAACTCGACCATCTCATTACGCGCTTCACGGAGGGTTGTCAGGCGGTTTCAGTCTGACGGTCTGGCTATTAGCTGCAATAGTGCCTCTTACATTCCTATATCGTAGTTTGAGTATTAAATGGTCATGTCTTCCGGCGGCATCGAATGCGCAAGTCGAACATATGAGATACACTGACCGAGTCGCAGATATCTCTAAGCTCATTGGAGAGGACTAAACAAGCCTATAACATTTCAAGATTCAGTCTCCTGTGGCGCAGGCTTGGAATAATGGTGCACATGGAAAGGCGGGCAGTTTTCACAGCACACTTACTAAATGGCAAACCGTATATCTTCGCTTGCAGTCAGTCTGGGCAGGGTCAAAGAGTGGATCTTTGTTCTCCTTGATATCGACAATCGGAGTGGGAGTGGGAGTGGGAGTAGCAAGGGCTACAGTGCCCAAAAGTAGATAGATGATAACAGCAGAGCGCATGTCGTAGTATGAAAAATATCGTCTCCAAGGAGAAAGGTATAAGCTGAGTGTGGCTAAATTCTCTAGCCTAACACTTGGAATCGCGTGAAAGTTATTATATATCAATAATATTCCCCCCTTGTCTGCGTTATACTTACCACATTGGCCAAATAGGGTAAATTGGGTAATTGCTTTTACTCTCCTCGATCTCTCTCTTGACTGGTCACACAGGTTTCAACAATGAGGCCACCTGATCCATCTGAATGTCTGGAAGTGGCTACCAGAGAGCATGTTGGATACAACGCCGGAAGAAATACTTTGTCATCTTGTCTTTTCAATAAGAACGGAAGATCCCCTCTTAGGTGCTTCTAAATCTAGTATGTGGAATTGTGAAATTCTATAACCGAAGTGAGGACTAGACTGGTAACTTTTGTTTGAAGTAGATTGTTGTTTTGATCAAATCGCCATTGATGTAGAATTCTAGCCCAAGAATACCTAGTAGTGTCCCGAATATGAGATTATCTCTTTACGTTTCCGTGCGGTTTGTTACATCTAGACTAGCATGCCTCTAGCAGTGCTAGGCACGGAAACACATTTCGGTCAATATCCCAATCGTAAAATCGCTCTTCGTACAACCACTCATAGCACCAGCCTGTCGAATTCCTAATTACACAAACAGCATGTTATCTATAAGTCCGAGCTATAAGCAAACAGAGCCGAGTCAATGACTCGGAGTCATACTCGGTAAAGAAATTCTTTCGGCATAACTGTCTTAATCTGGAGATTGTAGGAGACGATTCCCACCATATGATGGGAGACGGTAGATATCTGATCGATTTGTGCCAGTTAAATTACGTTACATCGCCTACGAACTCACTGGAACTATCGATTACTGCAGCTGCAAGGCCCAAATATCCCATTTAATTCAATTTACATGTTCATATGCGGGTAAGTATCAGTATTTATGAAAAATAATTGATTATCAACCCGTTAATCCATATACACAAACCGATCAGCAGATCTACTCTGCGAAAAAAAAGAAGAATACAACATAATTCCAGAATAGCACCTATGGCGCTTCTAGTGCTTATCCTGAATCTAAGTCATGATATTCCAGAAACCTTGCATCCAATCCTTCTAACACAAATAATTCTTGCCTTCACTTTATCACAGCCCATTTTGTGGTCGTTGGCTTATCCTCAGACAAAGCTAACAGAAATGTGCGTTTAAATCGTTATCAAGTTAAAGGTAGTTCACTATTCCCGCGTTTCGACTTACCCTCTGGGAAAGTCCCGGGGACCTTTTCATGGTTTTACACACTCCGATGCAACAATGCTGTACTTCAAGATTCTATCTCATCCACTAATCAGCCCTATCTTCAACGTGGCATTCCTTTGTTGTTAGTAGACTCGGTAGCAACCCGTATACTAAAGCACGACCGATACCAAGCCATCTACTAGATCCAGAATCTAACAAAATAACATGCTCGGTCCGATGGGAAGCTTTAACCACACCCCCAGCCAACAGGATTGATCCACTATCCGTGCTAGAAGTTCTTACATATCTGCTCTATATGTGAGTTATTTGTTCGTCCTATACCTTCTACAAAACATCACGAGTATTACGAAGGCTCAAATATTTATACACTTTTCTAAGCCGTGTCTGTGAACTCGAGTCTCTGCCTATAACGCAGCTCCTAAACTTTTGGAATTTGCCCAGTAGGGATGCACTCGGAAACTACCTCCCTGCTGCTATTATCCTTTCGGCAGATCAGAATCCGCGAGTGGCTATTGTCAGATAAGAATAGACAATGTACAATCACAATTTTGATGATATCACACTATTCACGGAGCCGAAAGAACATTTAAAAACTAGCACAGCGTATACTAAAACCAGCAAAAGATATGCAACCTCAAAATCTCCTTCCCTCTTGAGTTTAATCTCGTTTAACATATCTCGTTGGGAGCGGAGGATGCGCTATCCTTCTCTCTCTCTCTTCTCTTTGTCAACCATAGAAATCTCACACTGTTCCCGTCATGTTGAAATCTATCAGTAGCATCCTGATTATTTTGCACTCCGGGTATAACCGTGGCTAGTGCGGGTGCAGCATTTAAGTTCAAATCATGAAAAAGCGGAAAAAAAATAGTTATACAGTGTATCAAGAGGAATATAATATGCGGTGCGGGACTTAGAAGGATAGAAATGTCTGACAACACTCTATCATTCAAATGTACAAACTGAACCCTCACATTATTGACATTGTAAGACACCGCGGGGTAAAATACGAGGTTGGCCAGCTATACATAAATTATTAGATTTATAATTTAGGCCCACGCCTCCTCGTATGTGTGAACACGAGGTACGTCACGCCTAAAGACTACAGTAATAGACGTCTTATATTTCGATATAAAATTGAGACATTGGCCCGGTGGCTTCAGGAATGGCAGTTGGCTGTGTTCTCTCTTGTTTCATAAGGCCTTTTATTGGAAATCGATTGAACTGCCCGGGAAATGCCTCTTGCTGAAGCAATTATAGCGAACCAATTTCATTACTCATATAGTCAAGATCATTTATAATTTTGAATTTGGACCATGTACAACGAACTAAATATTAGTAAGCCATGCGTATAGCCCTAGAGCCCCGGAAGGTCCACGTAGTCGACGTCAGACTGCAAGGTGTGAGAAACAAAAGTTAAGCCTTGACAACAGATATTATGTGAGATGAGAGATTTGAGAAGTCCGGGCTGCCTAATGTCTCATAACGGTTGTTGAGCGCCCTTCTGTGAGGAAACTATGTTTGTCGTGTCATGTTTCGCGTTGGTGGGTAGCATCCCTATCTGTAATTGCGTTTTCACCATTGAGAATTACAAGGGTAGTTTTCTGTCATTGCTTGCATCTCTTACAATGTTGGTTGCCAAATTATATCATCCAAGGTTGAGAACAAGAATTCCATCATCCAGCAATAGATGCCATTCCTCTGATATACGTAGATATGGAATGAGAGTGCGTTACCTTGATCTAGAAGCTCACCTGATTAGTATACGAAGGGCTGTGCAGATCGGCTACTGAGTTTTCAAGCAAATCCGGACCAATTACTGCAGATCGTATCATCAGCTAGATGTCTACTATTCGAACATCTAAAAATATCGTGAGTGGCAAGCCCATAGAGACTCAGACTCTAGGTTCAACTTAACATCCAAAACGCAGGGTATAAAGCCCACATCCTTCCTGCGAGATGTAGTGCCTTTTCCTCCGCAGAACATCAAACTTCAATTACATCTTCAAAGCTTCCAGTCAACGCTATCATCAACATCATTACATTCTGCAAGATTTTCAGCAAACATCTCACAATGAAATTCATCATTTCTGCTGCTGCCTCTCTTGTGGCAGTCATCGCCTCTGCCACGCCTCTTGAGGTCCGCCAGTCGAACCAAGTCACCGTGGCTCTATCCAATGACCAATCTGGAGCCTATGCTGGCGTGACAATCCAAGCTGATGGCACTGATAAGAGCATCTTCTCCCTCTTTGGTGGCACTTCTGTTGGGGCAGGTGGTACTGTCAAGGCAACCGCTGCACAACTCACCAACTTTGCGCAATCCATCAATTGTGTCATCACGAACAATGGCGCTACCATTGGTACCTTGACTGCCCAACAAACCTATCTGGATCTTGATGGAAGCTCCCATGCAGCTATTCCAGTCAATCTCAACGATGCTCGGATTCACTGCCGTATTTGAATGCCTGGCTCGTGATAGATCCCACAACTGTCGGAATCGTTTGAGTGATAGGATGTACTGATGCTTAACTAGCATCTATTGCGAAACCATGATTCAATTTGTCTTGTTCTGTAGCAAGGATGTCGTCTTGATCGGTATATGTCGATAAATACATTGGTATCAATTTTGTTTCAAATCAGAATTCTGATATATATTGAGACACCTTGAACTCTTCGTAATAGAAGTAACATTCCAACACCTAACAGCTATAGTAACTTGTTTCTATCAAGTTTGCTGTTCTTTTTATCTTTTCCCAAATAACATTGTCTTATCGCCCCCAAGGTATTCAACTTGTAACATCACTCACAAGGTCCCCCAAAGATAAAAGAACCATATTCAATTTTCGCACATTTCCTTTCGTCTCTAGAATTCAAGTGCATCGCTTTTGCCTTCGGTGTTCAGATTTTTGAATGTGCCAAGCTCAAGTCTCATCGCTATGCTATGGAGAACACTGAACGTTGAAAATGAGTATTCCGACCATAACAGGAGAATGTATGCCCTCCCTTGCTGAATCAGCTCAGCAAAAGTCCCCAGCAGATTATTTAGCTGACAGGTCAACAGAGCGGACCTTCGAGTCTTACCCCTTCTGGTAGTTGGGTTCGCTAGCTATCAGCTTGATAGAACCAACATTGCAAGCGCACTCACAGGGAATTTTGCGACCATCATATCTGTGGACCAAAATATTATCAATATTGGAAATCAACTAATGTTTTTGGGTGTTATTCTACTTGAGATACCTTCAAATGTTATCCTACACAAAGTAGGTCGCATCCCCTAGTTGGATGATCCAGTCACTGATTTGAATTAGATTGGTCCTCGTCAATGGATTAGTGGACAAGTCTGTGTATTTGGAATAGTAGCATGCCTACAAATATTTGTCCGCAACAAGTTAGGCTTCCTACTCACTAGAACAATTTTGGGTCTTGCTGAAGCTGGATATATTCCCGGTGCAATGTACACACTTTCTACCTGGTATACAAAGGAAGAGTTGACAAAAAGAATCGCCATATTTTTCTTCGGCATGTTTGGCGGAACAGCTGTCTCTCCACTTATCGGGGCTGCTCTCTTGAAACTGGATGGAGAACATGGTCTCTTTGGATGGCAATGGATCTTCCTCGGTACGATTACCCCTTGAACACCAAACTATGCTAACAAATCTGTAGTCGAGGGGCTATTCTCCGTTGCGGTGTCTATAATGCTCTTTTGCTTCCTTCCTGAACACAAACAAGTCTCTGCGTCTGATCAAGTGAACATTTTAGAGTCTGGAGGGGTTCACCTAACGAAGAAGCCATTGGCTCACCCTGGCAAAACGGATATATCATTCAGATTAGTTTGGAAGACGTTGACGGATATACGGAAATGGCCGCATTTTATTGCCACAAGTTGTGTATTCGCTACATGGAGCCCTCTGACAACATATACCCCGAGCATTTTCATGCAACTGGGTTTTGCTCGAATTGAAGCAAATGCATTATGTGCAATAGGAAGTTTGCTTACTCTCCCGGTGATTTTGCTTTTTGCATGGATGAGCGACAAATTGAAGAAAAGAGGTCTTACCGTTATGTTTGCTATCTTCGTCTATTTGATCACGTTGGTAATGCTAAGAATCATGATGCACCGCGTGGATAAATGGGGCAAATTCGGTCTCTGGACTACAGTCAATGCTTTGGCTGTAGGTTATCATCCAATTCACAATTCTTGGATCCAAATCAACTGCAAAAGCTCCGAAGAGAGGAGCATAAGTGTTGCGTGAGTAAAATCTTCCCTGTTGGTTGTTCTTCAGATAGACGAGCTAACAATCTTTCTTTAAACACAGAATGTGTAAGACCACTAGTCCTATAGTGGGCATTACTTTTCTTTACTAACTCAGGAAAGTCGTCATGGCAGCTACAGGGGGCCTTATGGCAGGAACTCAGATATTTCGAGCGGATGAGTCGGCGATATTGTAAGTACTACACTTTCGCATCTTATCTGTATTACAACGACTAATGATAAGTATATTGACTTGATAGTTATCCGAGAGGGGTGTCGATCATGATTGCACTAGTGGTTTTAGGACAGATTCTTGTTTTCCTACAAATTTCAATATTCTGGATCCAAAACAGGCGAACTAAAGCAAAGTGCGATGGGAGGGTGTTGAACGTTCTATAGTAAGCCTATGGCAGGCTCCAGGGAGATCCTCTGTCAACAGATTTCCAATATTATTTTAACAAGTGGTTATGTTGGAGGAATAGGGGGAATACGAAATCCAATGACAGAAACAAATGAGATATTCACGCCGAGCATGTCGAACACCAGGCAAAGACCATGGAGTTATCCAAAAATTTATATACGTTTGAAGAACCCCATGGTGTCCATCACCTCATCAACTATTCTCTTAGCCAACATGTGCTCTGAGGGATCCACGTTGTTCAGAAATTTTTCACATTCTTCTTTCACCTTGTCTCGAAGATTTTCTTTGGTTTGATCGATATCTGAAATCGCTTTCAGCAATTCTTGCATCTTTTCAAAGACCGACATCGGAGGAAGCAGTCCCATTTTGACCCAATTCAGACCTTGAAGACGGCATTCCGGGGTAATTTGCAACGTTGCACGGATAATTGCCAGGCTTCGGGTTTTGTTATTCAAGACTGGATCCGCGAAAATATCGCCATGGGCCTTGGTTTGCAGATGACGCGCAATCCTAGTCGCCCCAATCTCAGCCAACGAGGAGTATACCAGAACACCCAAAAAGGCCAATTGCAGGGCGCCTTTCATATTCACCATACATGCAACCGAAGATATGCCAGAGAATGTCCCCGTCAAGGTCCAGAACCAGTGCAGAGAATCCTTCACCCAAGTTCGGTCATATTCCCAAGTGGAACGGGCCCATTCCTCGAGCTCCTTTTGTGGTCCCTTGAATATCACAGTGCCCCCCTCATCGCGTTCATACACCGCATATCTATCCCGCATGTCGTCTTTAATTTGATCTGGTTTGTGTATCTTGACCATAGAAGTGAAGGAAATCAGCACCGAGGCGAACCAATGACTGCTGTATAAAAAGAACAAGGTAAAAGCCCAAAGGTCGGCTGTCAAAATCCCACACACCATACCGGTCATCAGCATGGCTCCGTTGATCAGACAAATCAAGTCCAAAGTCCATTTCCCAAGAATCCAGCTCAAGTGTCCTGAATCTTGCAGCTTTTTCTGGCGTTCTGCGCTTGGTTGGTACATGGAATTCACGCAAACGACAACGAAGTCATTTCCAGGTTGTTTGGATGTTTGAAAGGATATGATATCAGTCAGCCATGCATTGCTCAAGTTGAGTGGCAGTTGGCGAAATACATTGCCCGATACATCTGATCGTACAGGGAGCATAGTTGTATCTTGTGCGCATAATTTGATAGATGGATGGATCCACTTCATCGTTGCATTCAGACGTTCAACAAGCATTTGCATGGGCGGCAAAGTCCCGCCAATCATTGTCAGGTGTGGCCATATGAATAATCCTCGATCAAATTGAGTATAAAGTCTTGCTGCACTTTTGTCGACTCGAGGGTTATAGAGAACAGCTGCAACACCAAGTGGATCAAAAGTAACTCCATCATCTCTCTTCAGTTGAGCATGCAAGTCTGTTAGTGAGTGTGGAAATTTTTCTGCTTGTGCTAACCCAATTATAGAGAGAAGTGGAAAATACAACATTTTAAGCACTAGAGTAGAGAGAATACTCCAAGGTTGTTAAAATAAAATCAATTCAATCGGGAGTTCTTATGATATTTCGCTAATCCTTCTTTATTGGGGTTAGTGCTTACTAGAAGTTGTGATGTATACGAACTGCATACTCCATACTCATCACCGAATCCACCAATGGCCGTATCTCATCCAATAGCCAAAAAAAATGCCCAGAAAAGTAGTTCATAGCTGACACAATATAAAGAAAAGGGGGGGGAGGGGGTGAAGAAAAAAAAATAAAAAAAATAAAAACAAGAATAGTTTATCGAGGAAATCTCAAGCTAGTAATTATATAGAGGTACCATGAACCTATTATTTACTTAGTCTCTTTAATCCTTTCTCTAAATCATTCATTATATTTACATTTTTCCCAAGGCAAAGCGGAGAAGAATCGGTCAAATTCTGTATAACCCCGTGACACCACAAAACCCACATATTACATCCTACCTGCATGTACTCCAGACGGAGAGCTATCTTCAGTCTGAGAGATTTTTACACATGTCCGAAGAATTTATGGAGGGTTCAAACTATGACCTAAAAGGTCTCTCTCAACTTTGTGCTTCATTTGATGAAGGTGGTGGGGTTGCATTAGGAGACGCGTTCGCTATCTACTCTATTGTCGCATCTTCTCCAGATTGGAACGCCACAACTTTCAACGAGTTGCATGCAGAACTCATATCAGCAGCTTCTGCTGTTGAAAAAGTGATCCCTGTCCTTTACACCAGAGAAAACGCTTTCACCGTGGATATTGTCTCGTTGCCATGTCCAAAGCATCCACCTTTCAACTCTACAAATATATCACCTCGCGATAGCCTTCCTTGGTTCCTTGTCAACGCATCAAAATTTTCTAAGCATCAGATTGTCGGTCGTGGTGACATTATTGAGTCCTTACTCATTATTCTCCAGCGACCATGGTGTGTCCTTGAACTATGTTGCTGTGATACACTAGCTATATCGGCCATCCATCGGTTCGCCATCATTGCGACCAAGATCAAACCCGAACTCTACAATCATGCCTCAATATTGCTACACCAAGAACTGAGTAGAAGAACGATACTCTCTCTTAGTGATTTAAAACACTCCGGGATATTCCGTGCCGAATTTGATACATCATTTGCTATCAAAGATGTTTATATCGACTTGTCTTTTAGTCGACTTCGCTCGCACAACTCCTTCTGGTTGAGACTAATTTGTACCTGTGCTCCATACCTTGGTATAAGCTGTTCAGATTTAGTTCGCATTTTGTCGGACATGACTTCTAAGGGTGTCAATCCTTCGAGACAAAAACATGCAAACCACGAATATGATTCAAGTATTGAACGGCTGTCCTTTCACTCTCAAAGTTCAGTAACAACATCAACGCGCAAATCGGTACTCCTAACGAGGAGTATCTCAAGTCTCAAAGACCATGGCAAGTGCCTAGCACAATATGATTTAAAGATTCTGAGCAGCAATCTGGAATTCCTGCTTCTGATATATAGACAAGTTTTGCAAATTGTTTCTGAATCGTTACCTTAACATCAAGTGATCAGAGTATCTGGTGTTCCTGTATTTTATCTTTCATCTAATCCATTTCCTTCAATTGCTCAGGAGAGTATGGCGGAAATCCACATGCTTCCGTTCACACAGTCTATGCTAGAAGATGGTCCAACGTGAAATCACGAACCTACGACTTGTACCTCTCTTAACTCAAATCTTGGATTATCCCATTCTACGTCGATATGACCTCTCCGGGGCCATGTGGGAAAGTTCTCTGTTATCTTCTACCGCTACTCCCCTTCAAGATTATGCAGGAGCTCAAGCGTGGATTTCCAGCAACGGGTTTCAAAGGATATAGTATAATCAAGTCCTGATGTTATATAGCTCGCATCCGCCCAAAAAATCCTCTTGCAAACATCCAAAGACCATGTTGGGCACCTGCAACCAAGTGGACGAACTTGGTGCCTGACATATAAGGTGTCTTTCATCACCTCGCCTCGCCTTAATTCGTTCTACCCTTTTCTTTTCTTTTTCATCAACAACACCCTGAAAAAAAAACCCCCACTTTCTTTTCACTTACTTCCTAGAGCCTTCTCGTATCTTGGTGATTGAAACTGACATGACCGTTCGCATAGCTGCCTATCCTTCGGCCCTGATCTTCCTGCATTCCACGTCCACATCTACCGACGCCCAAGCGAAAATTCGATACATCCAAGCCCACGGTTCATATTTATCTCTTAGTCGAACCGTTAAATCTGATAACAGATTTTGCCATTCCTCAGCCTGTCTTGACAAATCGGTGCTGAACTTGGAGGGCTTCGCTTGGCTCAGGACGCGGTGCAGGGCACGACTCAGGACGTGACATCCCATTCAAGTCATTCAAAAACGGCAAGAGACGCGATTTCTGTACCCAATGTTACGTATTGGGGGATCAGAGATACTCAGTTTTATTTTCTCTTCGAATATGACTACATCCAGACCGGTCGGGCCAAATGAGGCGAGAACAGCTCCCTCCGGATGGACACCTCTTCCGTCATCGATCGGAACACATGTCATGTTCTTTTAGCCTGAGTGATCATATATTTTAGAAAGAGTGTCGACCATTCCTCCATAATCGTGAGGGATATCATAGCATCCTTTCCAAGCGGGACAAGATCATCCAGTGAAGAAACCCCTGTTGGCATTGATTCTCATTAATGCGGATGATTTGACTACTATTCAAATTTGCACATATTTCGCAAGCAAATGACAGATCTGGGCCTCGGCTTGCTACCCTACTTATATTGGGTGTTGGCTACTTTCACCAATTCAACACTTGTTGCAACTGAACATAGTATATGGTGATCTGTAGATATCGACAATCCAGTAACAGATACCTTAAAATGTCTCACTTGTCAGACTTGAAATCTATCATTCTGCGTGCTACATTATTACTGGAATGGCCTACACTCCGATATTCATATCGATCGCAAAATATTGAGTATTATGCCATGTGGGCCTTGAGTTTCCCAAAGGAGTTGGTTCTAAAAGAGTGAATTGCATTAAACGATTGGCATATGATATTGGACTGATCTCACGTAGAATATTTCAATGTTGTAGATCAAGTACTCCGTACTCCGTAGTACCTATGTAATCTAGTGGGGGCTGGATTTGAATATCTTCCAAGGTTGTTAATATCTCTTAGAAGATCCATTCCGAATTAGTTAATTGGTCTTTTCATCTTTGCGGACTTCTCCGTACTTCTCTTGATTCACTATAGCGTTACATTGCATGATGTTTCCATCTGATACGTGGACTTGATATTTTCTCATTTGATTTGCCAAATACCCTGTACGGAGTAGAGAATCAAAATCAAAATCATAAAGGATTCTTTTTGAATGCCATCCAGACCTTCAAGATATCAAAAATAATTATATTCTTATTGTGGCGTAGACATATACCCCAGAATCTACAATCTAAAACAGATCGGCGGCTATTTCCCGTTACAACGTGATCAATCTTGCTCTCTATCAGATATGATGTCAAATATTTAATACAATTCTCTTAGACTACACAGTGAAAGCCCACTTAGCAATTGCATGGCGGGATTGCGGCATCTCATTGGGTTTTGAAAGGATGCCAGTGGGATAATAATAGTAGACTCCATTGCCCTATATCCTAAACGGGATATTGGTCTATTACCAATATTCACTTTAGGATGTTCCGAAACACTTTACGTCGCCCTAAGTCGCTCGTCCCATTTACCCCTGCATATCATGTTCACATCTGGTGTATATATTCCACCTCCTTGGCCTTTCTTATGTAGTCTTTCCAAACCACAGATTCAGTTGGTCCATTTCTTCTCAAAATGCACGTTCTCAGCACTTTGATTCTGTCCTCCATTGGACTTGCTTTTGCATATGAGGTCCCTGCCAATTTGCAAGCAATTTACGACTCCCACAAGGTAATACTCGCATGCGTTCCCTTTCATCAACTATATCCAATAAGCCTAACATGTACAGAAATGCAAAAACGTACTTGCCGGGGGATTTGACGATGGAGATGACAAAGGCAAGGATATGGGTTATTGTGGCGACATAGACGGGGCTATCTTCTTGTACAGCAACACTGGAGCGTACGGCGATATGGACATTGATTGTGATGGCGCTAACCGACTCGAGGGAGACTGCTACAATGATGGGAGTGGTCAAAGTCAAACGGCTTTCATGGATGAACTGGAAGGCATCGATGACCTGGATGCCGGCATTCACCCCTATGTTGTCTTTGGAACCGGGGACTATGATCCTAGGGACGATGGGATGAAGGCTCTGAGTGTGATGGCGGTTGTGTGTGGTGGCAAACTGGTACTTCAGCCCCTATTCCGACTCAATTTTTCCCTGCTAAAATATCATCACAGCACTATGGTATCTGGGGTGATACCAACGGCCACACTGCCACCGGTGAAGCTTCTCTCTCTATGGCTAAACTCTGCTTCCCTGACGAGGACATCACCGGCGATAGCGGACATAGTGAGAAGGATGTCTTGTACATTGGCTTCAAGGGATCCAAGGCAGTTCCGGGATCCAAAGCAAACTGGAAGGCAAAGAACAGCAAAGAATTTGAAGCGAGTATCAAGTCGCTTGGTGATGAATTGGTCAAGGGTCTTGGCTCGGCTGGATCCCAAGGCCGAACCGACACCTCTTCATCTTCGTTCGCCACATCTGCACGGACTACGAAGTCCAGATCTGCGCATGACAGCAAGTGCACAAACGACACCGGCAAGAAGTCCAGTTCTACAAAGCCTACCAAGTCTACAACCCACACGCGCACATATTCCAGATCTGCAAAGCCTACCACGTCCACCAGCAAGTACACGAGGACCCGCACTCTTCCCCCTGTTCCTACAAGCAGCTCGAATTCGCGCAATAATCTGGACTAAACTTGAAGTGCACATCCCGTGATTTTGCTGTACCTTGTGGGAAACGGCAGTTGGTTCCCTTTTTTGGTCATGGATAGTAGTATTATATTTTTGAATGAGAATTGTAAATTCCATCTTGCGTTACTTGGCTTGAAAAACTCACATAAGGGAATATAGGCATTTCATTTGTCGTATGAGCCTGTCCCCCTTCGTAACCATCTAGTCTTTTCATTTGTAAGGGCAGTTGGTATCTTGAACTAATTCCCCCACAGATGACACAATCATAGTATATATAACACCTACCCCTATCTTGAATCGTTGGCTTGATGGAATTTAAGCTTGTAAAGGTAATTAAGACAGATGTCTTGTATTCTATAAATGCAATAGGTATCATCAATCTTTTATATATACAAAGAAAATAATGGTGTAAATAAAACCAACTCAATACTCCAGGTCCAAGATGATATCGTGCAAGTTCATGCATGACAAATGCAGAGTGCAGAATCCAACACCAGTTCTAGAAGGACAAAGAATAGAAGCTCATGCATTCTCTGCATGGAGGGTTCCCGGTGACTTGCGACCGTACGGGTTTTCCTCGGCGATCCAGTCCTGGTGGCGTTCAGGAATCTCGTAGCTGCTGCTCTTCCAGGGGACAACCTTGTTGACATACATCCAGTCAAGCTCCTCGAGTGTGCGACCCTTTCCTTCAATGACGAAGAAGTAGACAACGCCGATAGCCACGAAAAGGCAACCAGCAAAGACGTACCCGTAAGCAAAGTCGATCTCTTTGGTGATGAAAGTTGTGAAAAAACTGATGAGGAAGTTCCATAGCCAGTTGGTTGCAGTCGCTAGGGCCATACCCTTGGCACGATACTTTGAGGGGAAGAGTTCTGCGACAATAGCCCAGACCATGGGGCCCCAGGTCATCGCATACGCCGCAATAAACAGGCAGGCAACGACAATCATACCCTTGCCGGCATTGGGGGTGTTGGTAGGTGTTTCCACATCCAGCACAAAATGGCCGAGGGAGGAGAAGATCATGAACATGACAAACATCCAGATCGCTCCAAAGATCAAGGACTTGCGACGACCGAAGTTTTCCACGACATACAAGCCGCCAAATGTAGTGCCGAAATTCACAGCGCCGAGGATGCACTGGGTCACGAAGCTATCGGAGAGACCAGCGCCTTCGAAGATAGTGGTACCCTATCAAATATATTTCAGTCAGTGATCTGTTTTCCCCTCAAAATCAGAAAGAATATCTGTAGGAAACTTACATAGTAGAAGAAATAGTTAGCACCGCTGAGTTGTTGCAGTGACTGCAAGACCATGCCAAGGGCAATACGGTAGAACATGCAGGGGGCGGTGAGGAATTCATGCCACTTCTGGCCATCAGACTCCGCTTCGAACTGCTCACGAATCTCATCCATTTCCTCCATGATGCGAACGTGGTTCTCTGGGATACCGTAGAGTTTGGCCAGGGTACTTTGGGCACTCTCGGCCTTTCCGTGGCGGAATTCATAACGTGGGCTTTCAGGGAAGAAAATCATACCACCACCAAGGATCAGAGCGAAGATGAAGGTGATTCCAAGAGTGATGCGCCACTGAGCAGTTCCATCCATGGTGTGGGTACCTAGGTTGATGCAGTAGGCCAAGAATATACCGAGAGTGACGAACAGCTGGTAGCAACTGATCATCGCACCACGGATATGACGAGGGGCACTTTCACTCTGATACATGGGCACGAGCAGCGAGCAGCCACCAACACCGAGACCAGTGACCCAACGGCCAACAACCATCTGGTACCAGTGACCATCGGGAGAGGCAATCTGAACAATCAAACCGACATTGAGGACCATACACCAGAGAGTGATAGACCACTTGCGGCCCAACTTATCAGCGACGGGAGCTCCAACCAGGGCACCGATCATGGTACCAATGGAGAGCAAGCCAACAATAAGACCGGAGCGTACGGCACTGAACTCGTAGGAACCATCTGCATTGTGCTCGCCATACCGTTCCAAGTAGTTACTCATTTCTTGGAAGCCGGAAATCTGACCCGTGTCATATCCGAACAGTAGGCCACCCATGGAGACAAAGAGGGCCATCACCAAGGACCGCATGGTTATCCGAGGGATTGGAGTATCAACGCCCCCAGCTCGCATGGGCTTCTCAATCGGGCTATTTTGGAAGGACGACTCGACGCTCGGCTGTTGAGCCGGTGTGATGGACTCCCCATGGTGGGAAGACGCTTCGGCACCCATGGTGTGGGTTGAGAGGAAATATATGTTGATGGTTCCTGATGTTTGGTATTTCAAGTTGTATTTAATAGATATAGAAGGGATTAGAGGACCAGCTCAAAGACGAAATATGACAATTGAAAGAATAGAAACAAGCCCATGGGGAATAAGAAAGGTTGGGGAACATGGGGGAATAGGGGGGGCTTTTTGTAATCTAGCAATCAGAGAGTAGAAAAAAAAAATAATAAAACCCAGAATTGCAGTGGAGAGAGAATTATGGAGAGGCGAGATGACGATGCTCATGGCTGTACAAGACAGTCAACAAACCGGCTTCCACCGGCTTGCATGGAGACTCCACCAGGGGAAGAAGCCACACATGGCAGGTTCCAAGTGATCAGCTCTCTGGTTCGCCATTTGTCTTTCAAGTGGATAAATATCCGTCAATTTGTTCGGCACAGGGGAGGTGGCGAATTCAAGGTTATAGGTTAAGGCCGTGCCGAACTGATTCGGGATCAGATATTTCGATGCCGAGTAAGAGGATCTCTTACAATTTCTTGCAATTTCTTGCCTTCTTTGACCACCTCGATGTACTTGAATATCAATATTAATATTACTTGGATAAATCTGGAGAAACAATAGTGGACCATGTACGTATGTACCAACATTCCCCAGGCTCTCCGGGTTTCTCTCCGGGTTCCGGATCCCAACAAATGCATTTCCCGATCGGTATCCCGGTGAAAATTCAACCCCGAGAACTACCGTCTCCAGCATATAACGGGTTTAGTTTTTCGAGGGGAAATGCGGAGTCTGGGGGGTGATATACTACATACTACGTACAACATAGTCATATTGAGACATTCAATGTTATGTACGAAGTACTATGTACTTCATATCTATACCGGAAATACTTATTACTTATATAACATGAAATGTACTCATACAACATACAACATATAACTCAACGGCAGAACATCGGCATTGATATTAGATGCCGAGTGGCCGAACCGCCACACTACGTCATTGAAGACTGCATTTCCGTAATTTTCAATTTTCAAAGTTGTATCAAGTTGTATCATACATATAATTTCAGCCATTTTCGATATAAATTTCATTTAATACATACCAAGATTAAGTAAAAATGCTTATGATTCTTCCCGTAGTTCCCCGTCTTCCTCACTGAACACAACTTATTGCCGGTTGATCCGGTATCCCTTCTGAGATATTTCCCGTGCCGAGTCGGATTTTCGGCCAGGACATTTCTTCCGATTCGAAATTTAAAGATGAATCGGGTCTTGCTCACATATCTGAACCGACAAGGCTGTGCAAGGGTTCACATTCTACGCACTCACAAAGGCTTATGGAGAAACGAAGCATATACACCCAATTTAATTACAATGTTGTAGATCTTACTTTGGGTAATAAGATTTATTTCCGAAATGAAGTTGAAAAGTCCAATGTGAAAAGAGGATGAAATATATATATATATATTGCTTATAATCTGTAAATTCTCGGAGTAGTTTTCCTTATTATGACTTTGTCTCTCGGCTGAAACACCTTGACAAATTGAGACAAGCGTGCCAATTTCAACTTTCAATTTCTGTAGGAAATTCCTTTATGCAATGAATTTCTTACCCCGCATAATTTAGACGGATTTCGGTCCTTCAAAGACCGAATCATTCTATAGCAAGCGGACTACCGCTTCGATTATTCCGCAAGCAACACGGGGGGCTTGCGGGAGAACCTCCACAGAACCATTTCATGACCTGATATATCCTTCAGTCGATGGAATAATTTCGGTTTCCTAATTTAGGGCGGAAGGTGTTCCCCGTCTTTACATATTCCCCGCGATTCCAATGGTATATATATATATATATATATCCATCTATCGATCTATCGTAGAGATGCATCCAAAGCCAACCCACTGGTGTACTGTGAAACCTAGGATCATTATGAAGACACTAGCAATCTTATCCCTGACTGGCCTGGTCTCTGCCCAAGCTGCTCCATACGCTCAATGTGGTGGAGGAAGCTATTCTGGTCCTACAACCTGTGTCTCTGGCTGGACTTGCCAATATCAGAATGACTGGTATAGCCAATGTCTCGCATGTAAGTGTGCTCACATATATCACAATGCTCAGTCAATTAATACAGAATTTTTCCAGCTTCTGCTAGTAGTACTACTCTGACGACAAAAGTCTCCTCAACAACAGCAACTAAAACCACAACCACAAAGACAACCACCAGTGCTAGTGCGACTGGATTCCCGACTACAAATGGACTGGAATTTGAAATTGATGGAAAGACGAGCTACTTTGCCGGCTCCAACTCCTACTGGATTGGCTTCCTCACTAATAATGACGATGTGGATCTTGTGTTCGACCACATGGATGAATCTGGACTCCGAATTCTTCGAGTTTGGGGATTCAACGATGTCAACACTGTTCCATCTCCTGGAACTGTCTATTACCAACTCCTCAAGGATGGAACTGCTACCATTAACACCGGCGCAGATGGTCTACAGCGCCTGGACTATGTGGTTGCCTCTGCCGAAGCACGGAATGTGAAACTGATCATCAACTTTGTCAACAACTGGTCGGATTATGGTGGTATGGCGGCCTATGTCACTGCTTTTGGTGGAACTCAGACAAGTTGGTATACAAACACTGCAGCTCAAACGGCCTACCGTACCTATATCAAAGCTGTTGTTTCCCGATATATTGACTCGCCCGCCGTCTTCGCATGGGAGTTGGCCAACGAGCCCCGCTGCAAGGGCTGTGACACCTCGGTTCTTTACAACTGGATCAAGTCTACCAGTGCCTATATCAAGTCTCTGGACTCAAAACATATGGTTGCTATTGGTGATGGTATTTAGGCCCATGAGATCTCTGCATGGTCAATTATCTAACTTATCTTTTAGAGGGCTTTGGACTGGAGACCGGCTCTGATGGCAGCTATCCCTACGGTTATAGCGAGGGCCTCAACTTCACGATGAATCTAGGCATTGATACCATCGACTTTGCTACATTCCATCTCTACCCGTCCAGCTGTATGTATATCCTTTTCCCATTGCCCTTGGTCTAGACCTTGCTAATGTTTCTATGCAAGGGGGAACCACCAATGATTGGGGCAACGGTTGGGCCATATCCCACGGAGCTGCCTGTGTAGCAGCTGGCAAGCCATGTCTCTTTGAAGAGTACGGTGTCACCGCTGATCACTGTGCCATTGAGGCTCCATGGCAGAAGACAGCACTGGACACCACTGGAGTTGCAGCCGATCTCTACTGGCAGTATGGAGACATGCTGAGCACTGGAAAATCCGCCGATGATGGAAATACATTCTACTATGGAACTAGCGAATTTACCTGTCTAGTGACGGACCACATCACAGATATCAACTCCTAGGTCTCAGAACTGGCGGGTTGAGCTTTTCTGTTTGGAGCCAGGAGGGGGTTGGTATCAAATGTCATCATCAGATAATTAGGATACGCGGCGGTTTCAATACACTGTATTTGCTAAATAAGGCCCATGAATGGGATACTGTCATGCCCGCTCAAATAGCTGTGCAGGTTACGATGTGCAAGTCGCGCAGAGTCACGCATAATCACGAAATATCTATTTTGATGGGGTATTTATACTTATGTACATGCAGCTTGGTGCTTTTCTACAATTAATTAGACTCTACCCTCAAGAGGGTATACAGATTTTGATGTCACGATGGCAGAAGTTCAATGACTCGGCGCCTTCTTGGGGACTTCGGCGAAGGCTGAAGGTTCGGGGGAGGGTGCATCCCGTTCCACAGCGTCAGTTGGAGGGCCACGGTAATTGTGGTAGCCCCAGACAGCATACCAGATGGCAGCAATAACAATGAAGCCAGCAAACACCACAGAGGCATAGTTCATGCTCTCTTTGGTGACAGATTTCAGAGTTGGCATGCAGAAAAGTGGAATTGCAAGAAGACTCCAGCCTATAATAGTTTAGATGGTTAGCGTTGAAACTCAAGTGTGCAAGCGGAATTCTTAGATGCAACTCACCAAGAGCAATAACATTAGCGATCAGGCCAAAAACACCAAAGTTGAAGCTACCGTTCTTAATATCCTCCCGACCACGGAAGATCAGAGAAACGGCGATCGGGCAGGCATAGCTCGTGGTCAAAAAAATGACACCAACACCCGAGAAGGCATTGTATGCAGCAGTGGAGCCAAAGTAAATCACACCGAGAACAATTTCCACAACCATACCCAATACCAAAGCATTGAAAGGAATGTCGAGGGATTTGTTGACGGTGCTCCACCAGCCCGAACCAGGAATGCCGCCGTCACGGGCAAAGGCCCAAGTACAGCGAGAGGTGGCGGTCACACAACCGACACCGCAGATTATACCCAATACGAGCAGGGGGACCAGCAGGCAGAATGTACCGGCCGAGTTACCGATGGCGGCTTTGAAGATGGCAGGGGTGGGCTGGCCTGAAGCCAGATTAACCAGGTATGTGAGATCGGGAAGCACGAAGCAGACGGGAACCAAGAAGAGAAGACCGGCGATGAAGTTGATAATGATGGTTCCGACCATGGCCTTCGGGACCATGACGGCGGGTTCTTGGACCTCCTCGCAAAGACTGTACAATCTGTTAGCATGTGGAATTGGGCTGGAGAATTAAAAAAAGTTGAGGGTCCGACATACGAGATAATCATGCCGGTCGCTGATGTGGCATAGGCGGCGTGCAAAAGACCGATGAAAAATGACCAACCGGGGGGCCACCCAGCCTGTGTCTCAAAGTGACCGAAGACCCATGCGGCATCGTGACGGCCTTGCTTAGCAACAGCCAACAGACAAACAATAATGGCGAGTAAACCAGCCATAGTCCAGAAAATAGCGAATGTCTAAAAAGGGCAAAATCAGTACTGTTACCCCAAGAGGCAAAGGGGCACGTGCGACACATACCTCTAACCATGGCAGCCATTTGTTGCCAAATGCCGAGATAGAGTGCGTTAGCAGGGTAATGGCCAAGAAGATGAGGAAAGTTTGATATGCCTGGAAATCATCGGTGATTCCGACACCTGGCGATTTTTCAAAAACATTCAGACAGCCCACGAAGAGCAAGGCAGTTCCAAAATTGACGGCGAGGGTGATGGTGATATTCCCTGCAACGTAGGACCAACCACAGATCCATGATGCAACGCGACGGCACCACAAGGGCGACAAGACGAATGTTTGATAGTAAACACCACCTGCAGTCGGGTAGACCGAAGTGATTTCCGCCAATGAGATAGCCACACATAGAATCAAGAAAGAGATGATCACCCAACCCCAGATGACATTGGCCGGCCCACCTGCGGCGAGTGGATAGTATAGAGTGGTCGACAAGCCGTAGGGAACTGAAGAAAGAATGAAGCACATAAAAGTGACCTGCCAGATTGATCGATTGCGAGACAATTCAGGCTTGTATCCCATATCCTCTAGGGTACGATCCGCATTGGAGGTACTCATGCCCCGCTCGATCGAAGTCACCCCTCCGGGGTGACGGGATCCATCATCAACAGCCATAAGGAATGAAGTTATTGCGTGATATTTCTGATCTGCATGCGGTGCAGATTATACTGAGAATAGTAAAAGAAGTGAAAAAGAAAAAGATGGAGAAATACAAATTACAAAAAAAAAAAACAACAGAAAAAGCAAAACCAAAAGTGGAGAACTCAGCGGCAAAAAAAAAAGAAAAAAGAAAATAATCCAAAAACGATGACCAGCAGATTCAAATGTAAGCGAATGAGATCCACCCAAATCCACTAAGACCCATAAATACCCACTCTCACCCATAAGACACGGGCGCCATTAAACTTTGAACCAGTTAACATGCATAAAGGAGGGTGAGAAAATTGTTGGAACCACCAATCAGACTACTTCTAATCCAAAAACCGACTAGTGTCCATGTGTTATCCTTGTTTCGAAACCTTCGAGAAGACCTCGGGATTTTATGAGAACCTGTATGACATAGGTTTAGCTACATTTATTGCACATACATAGTTATTACTAAATTAAGGTTATGGGTTAATTAGATAGATAGATATCCTTGGATATCTTTGTAGATTCCATCTTATCCTCTAGAACTACATCTTGTAATTCTGTCCTCTCTATGCTCCCGAGTACTCACAAATCGCATGATGTCAGGGGCGTTGGTGGCGCCCCCGGCTCCTCTGTGGAGGCCCAAGGAAATGGTCCCCGAGCAAATGAAACCTTTCGAATACTATACTATATTCACGTAGAATATACCGTATAAGACATTGAAGTACGGAGTACAGGATACATTATCCATGTCTTTAATGTTGAGGAAGTTCAAATAATAAGCAGGATGCCCGAAATACGGGTGAAAACCCCTCAGGTTCCGATATCAGCCGTGTTCCGACAGGCCATCCCGCAAGTATAGAGATAGTACGGAGTTGCCTCAATTTAAAAAAAGGGGGTGTATAATCTCAGTCCAAATGTTTCATTGGTCACAGCTATCTTAGCTGCAAATTTTTTAGTCAATTCATTTACGGCGTACTCCGTAGTCAAACTTTCAAAATCTCAGCAACTTGAAGCATCTGGTTCTGAGAGGCGAACTTTTGATATTCAACAGGCTCAAATTAAAGGAAATTAAAAATGCATCTCTCTTCTGCCGATCTCTTTCAATTTAAAAATTAATGTGAATCTAAACATGGTCGTGGAGAACTTATGGTGATATGTTGATGCCTCAGGTGTCGGGCCTCTGAACGCATATCATCGGGCCACAAGTATAACATACACCTACCACACCAATATTCGCAATTCGAATCCTCCAAATCCTCTATACCCGCCATTGACACAATACGAACCCTCCAAGAATCTCATCTGTTTCGATGAACATCCTGCTCATTCAGCTCCATGAGTTGCCGTCGACTGCGACATACGAGTTTACAGGATGTTGCAAGTTGTCTCTTGGCTGCCAGCCATCACGGTTGAAAATGGAGTTTATAGACGCACGGTGAGAGATTATTTGCGCTAGATATTTGCGCTCGGGACACACTCAAGGCCCGTGTGGCTCGTATCCAACATAGCGATCGCAGTGTGCAGGTGGCAGTGAAAAGGGTGACATCAGTGACATCAAGAACACGGACGTGTTCAACTTGCATGTCGTCAAACTACAGTTTCCCAGACTCCACTAGCCAGTCATGTCGAGATATATCGCTGGCAAAATGTATACAGAACACACAACACCATGGGAGATCCTAACCCGGCGGTCGCTGACATAGGTGTGGCAAAATGTACAGCCGAATCCCAATCGACAATTACGACTTTTTCCTACTCCAATACGAACCGTGACTATGCGCTAGAACCCTCGTCTTTTAAGGATATGGAATTTTGTGCTTTCAAGTCCAACCATGAAGCAAACGATTGAGGGTACCTGAACACTCGGCTTGAAATGCTCCAAGTCCTCCCGCGGATTTGGGTGTGTTGGTGACAAGTTCCATGATCATGCCCTTGGATGTACCTATGATATAGACTTCGTAAATTCCAAATGAGCTACAATAGAAATTGTAGTCTAAATTCGATATTCCACGGAACAAGGGTTTCGTCTCGGTCCGCGGTGGGGGATGTGGGGAGTCAATGACAGGAGGGGCCTTGGAAAATTGTGGGGGGAAAGCTGGAGTATTCTTTTGAATGAATATAGAGACTCTCTCTTTTCACGATATTAAAAAATATTCTTTACTCGGTAATAAATCACCACTTTGGCGCGTATCAAGATATAGATCCTATCTCATCACCCAAAGGAAAATACCATATTACTGTCTATAAGGTCACTTCCATTCATCTATGTCTAGATCTTGATAGTGATAAAATTTACTATATATAGGTTGCAACATGATAATGTCAGTTATCGGTGCATATTCCTGTACCAAACTGACCTCGGTTTCCTAATTGAGTGTCGGCCCTGAAAAGTCATCACAAAAGAGTCATTAAAGGTTGCATGAGGACAAGTATCAGCAAGCAAAAGGGATTTAACTTAATCCTCTTCTTGTCTTCCATCAAACCCTCATACAGGATGACCATCCGACCTCCAAAATTGTTTCAACATTTAGCTACATACCTCGCCATGGCAATCAAGAATATATTTTCTTCCATCGCCACTACCATCCACCATCTCAAAGCCAAGTATCACGACCATATTCAAGCTAACAGAGCCAAACTGCTCCTACGAGAGCTCCAAAAAGCAGAACATACCAAGATCCAACTCGACTGGATCTCTGAACATCGCCAGGAGACAAGACGGGCCAATAATATCATCCAACGGGAAATTCACCTCGGAGCGACGTATTCCCACTATGAAACCCAAGTACAGGATGAAAGTCCACCAGAACCGTCCACTTTAAAGAAGCTTCAGGAGTGCGATATCGAGCTTAAGCTACTCAACATTGAATACTTCCAACACCTGGAACGGGAGGCAGAACTCATGGATCGCAAACCGCCAGGGCACCTCACTCGTCGGTATACGAAAAGTCTTCAGGACCACCCCAAGCAACTGTGGAATATCGAACGGACCTACTGCCAACTTCGTGGCGGCTGCTGCGCTCGTGAGTGTGGTTGCTGTGAACGATCTTGGCACACGATTCGGGACCCTTCTGGAGAGGTTCGATATATGCACTGCACAGGAAGTTGTGGATGCTGCACTCGCCACCGCGGTTACTCTTCCTCAAATGTGGTAGTCAATAGAAAGTCCGACATCTAGCCTAAATGAGTTGCTGGTCGACAAACGCCAGATTGTAGTGCCACAACCAAGAGCATTTTCCTTTACGGGAGAAATCATTGATTTTGCAGGCATGAGAATGTGTGGATTTATTGGGGGATTGCTCTTGGATAATTTTTGTTTTCGATCACATGGTCCATACTGCAATACTGCGAAAGAAGCGAGATGGAATAATTTTTGTCCCTCGCTTGTTTGAACTTCGTATGGTCTGATTTAGGCTACTATAAGAACTGGCCTTTGATTGGTTAGATCTTGATTATATTTATTCTGGGGTTAGTAAATTTTCCCATCGATACGAGATGCTTTGATTGCTCTTTGCCCAGTCTCTTTGCCCAGCCTTTTTCTTTTCTTTTCTCTTTGGTCAATATTGTTCCCGGACCGGTCGCCGGACCGGTGCTATAATTTGCCATTATTTGGTTGTGTTGTTTTCTATCAAAATGCTAAGAGAGCATCTATTCAACTGTAATACCGTTCAAGGGTGCCCGGGTAGCACCTGTCGTGGGATGTAATGAAGATAAATAAAATAGCTTTGGTAGGGTTTGCCTTTATTTGATCACCTTAAGACTGTCGACTTCCTATTGATTATAAGGTAGGTATGAACACTGGGAGACTCGGGAAAGGCGTACGGAGTAATAATGTTAGAATTAGTTCATACACGATGTCGCAAAATGGTACTCTCGCATCTTATCTTGAGCAGGAAGCCTGGTGGCTTACCCCAGGATTGTACATTTATCCCGGCCTAACTGCTAATAGTCGGCCACGGACCCCTCTACTGACCAGTCATTGACCAGAGATATAACTGCTAGCAATTTAATATCGCATAGCTGAGGGGTCTCCGTTTAACGGGATGAAACTGATCTTGTCAAAAGAAAAAAAAATCCCCTTTAAATATAGCACATATTCCATGTCGATCGTTCCATTATCCAGCATTTTCCTCTTTCGTTGTCACACAAGATGGAGATAGAGACTAAACCCACCAACTACACGGATGATCGACCTCCGATCAGCGAGAAGGGCAAAGCACTGAGAAATTTAGTCGAAGCCGATCTGCTTGACGATCGTTATGCAACCACCACAAAACGTGGTTTGAAGAATCGCCATGTTCAGCTAATGGCCCTCGGAGGCACGATCGGAACTGGTAAGTCCAGAGATTGACACGGAAGTGGAGACCTCAATTACTCACAAAAGTCAGGACTCTTCGTGTCTTCCGGACAGGCCTTACACATTGGAGGTCCAGCGTCGCTTCTTCTGGGTTATGTCTTCATCTCGGCCATGGTGTATGGCTTGGTCACAGCCATTGCCGAGGTTGGTGCCTACCTTCCAGTACATGGCGGAACGATGAGTTATCATGGATTTCGCTATGTGTCGCGGAGTATGGGTTTCGCCATGGGGTATCTATACTGGTACTCTCTCGGAATATTAGTGCCATACGAGATCACAGCTGCTGGACTGGTTATTGGATACTGGGACAAGAGTGGATCGATCAATATCGCTGTGTGGATCACAATCATGATGATCGTCATTATTGCGCTCAACTTCATGCCCGTGCGGGTATATGGCGAGTCGGAGTTCTGGTTTGCCGGCGTGAAGATCATAACTCTGATCGGTTTGTTGATGGTATCTTTCATCCTCTTCTGGGGTGGTGGACCCAACCGTCAACGACTAGGCTTTCATTATTGGAAAGATCCGGGCTCATTCAACGCGTATCTTGTGGCCGGACATTCGGGCCGCTTTGTGGCCTTGATGAAATGCACAGTATCCAGCGCCATTGCATTCATATTTGCCCCAGAGCTAATTGTGATCAGTGGTGGTGAGATGGAGTCCCCTCGGCGCAATATCCCCCGGGCAGCTCGGAGATACATTTATCGATTGGTCTTCTTTTACATATTTGGTGTGTTAGCCATTGGTGTTATTTGCCCATCCAATGCGAGTCGTCTGACCAAGGGTGATGGCACTGTCAACTCATCTCCATTCGTGATTGGCATCCAGAATGCCGGTATCCCCGTCTTAGACCACATCGTGAACGCTGCCGTCTTGACATCTGCATGGTCCGCGGGAAATTCCTTCCTGTACATGTCTTCACGGTCTCTTTATTCCTTGGCTATGTCCGGCAACGCGCCACATGTGTTCAAGACATGTAACCGATGGGGTGTCCCATACTGGGCTGTATCGGTTTCGGCATGCTTCTCGGCATTGGCCTATCTTGCTGTTGGCAACTCCAGTTCAATTGTGTTCAACTGGTTTGTCAACTTCACAAATACTTCTGGCTTCATTTCATGGATCTGTTGTTCCGTTGTGTTTTTCCGTTTCCGCAAAGCCATCGAAGCACAGGGTATCGAACAGCCGTACCGATCAAAGATACAGCCATATGGGGTTTATTTTGGCCTTGCAGGTGCCACTCTCATGGTGCTTATCAATGGGTTCACAGTATTCTTCCCATCAGAATGGTCTGTCAGCAACTTTTTCACGGCCTACATCGGTATTCCTGCTTTCTTGATTCTTTACTTTGGGCACCGGGCGGTGTATTGGAGTGATCCATGGGCATGGCGCCCGGAGGAAGTTGATATGCACACTGGTCTGGATGAGATTATTGCTGCTGAGCAACCCCCGAAACCAAAGGGGCCATGGTGGAAGTTCTGGTAATATCTATGGATACCTGTTTTGTTTATAATGTTTGCCATGTTTATATTGTTTGCTACATTTGCTAGCTATATCTAGCTAGGTAGAGCGGGTGTACTGCTGCCACTCACCCGCCTTATCACCCTACTAATGTCCAAGAACATCTAATAACATCCAGTAACAACTAAAAAAACTCCAATTCTTCATATTATTACTCCGAACTTCGGAGATTGTGTTATCAAACAATTTTATTGGGGAATTAACCAGTGGATAGCCAACGATAGCCTCTTCATCATTCCCATTGTCCCACCTATTCTCTATCAGATTCGGTATACGCCGTTGACCGTCTATAATCTGACCTGGAGAACTGACACTTTTAACCTTGGCACAAAAGTTTAAAGACTGCCTTGTAGAACGTCCTATAAACCTTTCTTTCGCGCTGTGAACCAGAAAAATCGAACAATCCAAAACTATGGCCGTGTTACCAATTACTGTCCATCCGCTTCAGCCTCCTCCTGGATCGAGCATTGATTTCGGTGCTGAGATTCGAGGTGTTGATTTAGAAAATTTAACTGGTTAGTGGATTACTGGCAACTACAAGAGCACAATCTAATGATCATATAGAGGAGCAATTTGCGATCATTCGGAAAGCCCTCTACGAGCACCATGTTGTGGTCTTCAAACACCAGAAAGGGCTATCACCTAAAGCCCAGTATGAGTTGACCAAGCGCTTTGACCCAGTCTCCGACAAATATGGACATGGCAAGACCATCGATGCCAAGCGAAGCATTCTCCATCCTGACCTCAAAACTGTTCCTCACCAGCCACAAGTGCAGGTGATTGGAAATGGCCATGTCGACTCGTACGAGGGCCTCAAGGATATCACATTAAGACACCCTCACCATCGGACATTCCACCAAGATCACATCCCAGATGAGAAGGACTATGAATTCACCCGGTTTTATCGCTGGCACATTGATGCTGCACTCTACGATCTATACCCACCCCAGGTGACAACGCTTATGGCTGTGAGTGTGCCTAAGGGCCGCCGGCAGACATTGCTGTATGATGATGGAACCGGAGAAACAATGGATGTACCACTTGGCACAACAGCATTTGTGAGTGGTGAGCGGATGTTTGAACTTCTTTCGCCCGACGATAAAGAGTTTGTGAAGACGAGCAAAATGGAATATGCCCCTCATCCGTAAGACCTCTGATTATATGCTCATGGTTTCGATAAACCAAGCTAACCGCCATTAACAGTTACATCTGGATGAGCGAAGCCCATTCCCGTTCCACCGGGCTCGGTATGCACTCAGAAGGCCTGGAGTTGCCCGACTCAGAACTGCCACCTATCGACCCCAGCAAGATTATGGTGTTCCCAATGACCTGGAAAAATCCAGTAACGGGAAAATTGGCTTTACAGATCCATCCCTCTGCTGTGCGTCGTATCCACTGTGCAGATGGAACCACGATCGACGACTTGGCCCTTGTGCGGGATATTGTCTACAAGTTGCAGCGTCCGGCCATCAGCCCTCAGTACGTATATCCACATGACTGGGAGGATAATGACTTGGTGTTATTCAACAATCGTGGCGTGCTGCACTCAGTGGTTGGTGCATTTAAACCTGACGAGGTGCGATTGTTCCGTCAATGTAACTTGGCGGCTTCGGACCCTCCGGTCGGACCGTGAGTGCGCAAGGGTTTGATTGAACGAAGATCATGTGTATTTGTAAATATTGAGCCATTAGAAGCATTTTAATTTTTGGATTTAGACTGGAAAATCCATAGCTCATAAATTCATGGCTGGTATCACATCTTGAGTGACGAAATATCATATATTAGGTGTTGTACATATTAAACTCTGTTATGCATCTGTAAAAAGGTCTATGAGATGGTATTGAGGATTAGCGGACAATATAAAACCCATTCACAGCAATTTGGCTCTCTTTAAGCTCATCAGTGACAGACCGAACCCCGATCAGATGTAACGGGACTTGTTCTACCAACTTCTGTCCACGGGTGATGATATTGGTATACCCCTCGACCGTGCGATCAATCCAACTTGAATTTTGTTGGAGGTCCAGAACCGGGCGTTCTGCAGCCCACGCGGGATGAGCCAAAGTGTCCTGCACAACAGATGCATCGTATACATCAGCGAGTAGAGCCGCCTCTGCAGCTGCCGCTTGCGCATCAGCGAGCTCTTTGCTCGTGGTCCCAGAGGGCGGTGCGATTTCAGCCCGAAGGTATCCCAAAACACGAATCTCGATTTTGCTCGTTTGGAGAGGAACATCCTCGAGGAGGCGAATTGCAACCACGCGTTTTGATATTTGCGCCAGATTTACCCTGACCGCCTGGAGGGGATCTAACGCCCGTACAGACAAGATAGCTGGGTACCATTCACTAGTCGACGGGCCTTTGCTCGACCCGGTGTCAAATCGAGCCCAGCCAAAGAAGTAGCCCCTTAACTGCTCGGTGACCCAGTCAGGCATTCTAATTAAGCTCAACTTGGGTATATCATTAGGGCCATTGGAGTAAAGGATTCGGTCTGTTTGGCAGCGAGCTTTGAATGTCATAGGAAACGGTGGCTGAGGACCGACTTCGATAGAGACCACACTGCCTCCAGCTATTTCTGGCGCTGGTGGATTGACCTGGGATCGCCCGATAGGACCGTTGGGGCCATTGATAATACCGCCCACGCGGTTCTCGATACCACTACTCGCGTAAGCCTTTTGGACCACGGTCTTGGTCACCCACGATGGACGAAGCGCGGCAGCTTTGGCCTGAAAGGGGGCAGCTTTAGATTGAATGGCCATTGCAGCTGGACCTGCGATAGTTCGTGCTGCAGTGTGGGCATAGAGGCTCACAACCATCGCCCCAACCTCCAGCGGTAGCGTGCTCAAGCTCGCACCACGGATAGAGCTGGGGGCAGTAGATGTAGAGAGGACACGGAACACGGGGCTATTACCGAGCACCTTCTTCTTGTGTCCTTGGCAGAGAACTAGCTGAAAATAGCCATCGCCGGCTTCGGCAGGAATTCGCACAACCGCAGTCTCACGTAGCTGATGTGTCTCGCGCGCACGGGGCGGGGCCTTCTTTCGAAATTTCTTGATGTCGCGTTGCCAAGCTCGTTCATCATCCGAAGCAACCTGGTCGGCCCTCAATGGCATACCTGGGGTCACATCTAGCCAGCTATCTCGGAGACGGAGGAGCGACTTGAATTGCATCCCGGTCTTCCCGGTCCAACCTTTGCTCTGCAACCACAAGGTGTGCTCAGATGGTAAGGGAGCATCCGAGAAAATTGATATAGCGACCGATGTAGTGGGTCCACGGTAGAAGACCAGTCCATGGGAATGTCGCAAAATGGTGACATGTTTATTTGATTCTGTCGGACGATTTATTAGACCAGTGAGAAAATGCCGTGCTTCGCTGTATGCCTTTTGAACAGGTGTTGGCGGAGGTGTCGATGATGAAGTTGGCCCTGCTGTCCTTGGTCGAGGCAATGAACCTGGAGTTACAGGCCTGGGAGGCGGTCCATAAAGTTCGGTATATGATGGAGGCTGTGATGATGGCACAAGAGACGGGGTACTGGTAGCATAGAGTGTTGCGTCCCGCTGATCGGCATGCGCCGTAGCTCGCAAGTTCGGATTTGACACGGGCTTTCGTCTGACTCGAAATGAATCTGACGAATGATTGGGGTCTAAATATCCAGACATTTTCTACATGATGCTCAATGAATTCCCTGTTTCTTTTTTAAGGGGCAGCCAAGACTGATGATTGGCCCAAGCTTGAAACCTAAGGCATGAAATTGGTGCCTGATGTTAATGCCAGAATTTCTATATCAAACCAACAATCTAACTAGTAACTAGGGCGATCTTGATCAACTTCAATATATTCCCAGGTTATAAGACCAAGCGTACATTATATTCCATTGCAAGGTGCATCATTTTCATCCCATCCATTCATCCGAGTGTACTGGAGAGCAAGGTCAACCCACGGGCGACGAGCCGTTTGATACAGTTAAAGTCACATAGGGATATTGCACGGGGTGTGGGACTATGAAATAGTAAAACTGGAGCCTAGGCTCGTAGAGCCACCGTTATTAATAATCTCATATCCATATATGCAGTGCACCCACACTAAGGAGTAGATCAGCTTTGAAATTGTGGCCATTATCGAGAGTGACAGACAGGCAACCCCCGAGCACGTTGCTTGAGGCGGTTGTGTAGCTCAACCAAATGTGCGATGTATCAACCCTGTGTTAGTGTTAGAGCATTGCACCGTCTAGGGCCACCGTATTCGGCCACTACTTGTCAATGATGACAATTTTCGGCATAGTCTCTCTTGTACGTAACTCCCCATCAAGTCCATATCGGTGTATCTGGTGAAAGCAAAAACAATGTATTTGAACAACTCTCCTTGTTGAGATCCACATCTGACCCCATGAAGCAAAAGCAAGTGCTACCGAAATCAGCCAGGCCAATCCGCATCCGGAGTAGGGAGGCAGCATGATTCCGCGGGAAATGGAGTGCATAGATCCAGGCCGGGTCGGGTAAAGAATAGATCGAGCTATCATGATCATGAAAACTCACAACCCATGAAAACTGTCCTTCGAATTGGCATCTCGTAATACGGTGCAATATCCACAAATCCATACTTCCGATACAACTGTTGTGCCGCTGTCATATCAGGTAGTGTGTCTAGGCGCATTCTGCGGTAGCCCAGATCTCTGGCTTGTGCAAGGATTTCTTGGACAAGTCTTTCACCCACGCGTTCTCCTCGAGCTTCCTTGAGGACATAAAGACGCTTCATCTCGCACCAGCCATCAGAGCTGCGTCGGAGTGCCACACATCCGAGGACAGAGGAGGATTGGGAAGTCATTGAGTCGAGCCTAGCGTTCGTATCATGCTCTCGAGCACGCATATCTGCCCTTGCGACCAAGAGGAAACCCCCTTGAGATGGGGCATATCTCCCAGGGAGGGAATCAAGTTCCTCTTGGAATGATTGAAAGGTGAGGTCGATGCCAAGGGATGCAGCATAACCAGAAAACAATGACAGGATGGAATCAGTATCGCCAGGGAATTGCGCCGGCTCTATTCGGATGCTCATGGCAGAGAGGGAAATGAAAAGCAGTTAAGATGTTCAAAAGTCAACAGAGATGTTGACTTGTCGTTGGCCTCCAGGCCTCTAGTGGCTACGTAGGTAAGCAACGCGATGACTCATAGTGGGATTGACAGCGGATTATTGTGTAGAATGAACGTAGACGCAGCAGTTCCCTTTTGGTAAACAAATCGAAGTCAAAGAATCATACCTCCAGTTTATTGACAAATGTCCCCTTGTCTCGATTGATATACGTGGGGAATATCACCCATTGTACCAAACACCAAAACACCAAACTCATCAACTCCAAAATCAAATGGGATGCATGCAGATGCATATCTAATTACTGATAGGTAACAGAGAACTCGGTGTCACTTATGACTTCCACATGAGCCTTCACGTCACCATTCTGCTGGATATCTAGAATGGCTTCGTCTTTCACGCCATACTTGACACCACCGGCCAAAGCTTGTGCACCGGTAAAGTCAACCTTGCCAAAGTTGACCAATGGAACCATACCATTACCGACGTTGAAGTCCTCAACTATCCATTCGGCATTTTGACCACCGAGAGTAGCGGAGGTGGAAGGTGCAGTCAGGGTCTTAGTCACACTCTGGCCGCTCGACTGATTCTCGACGATGGCAACACCCTTGCTGGACGAATATGACTCGACTTTGGCGACAACAACATCGCCTGCGGACAATTCCAGGTCAAAGTTCTCCGCGCTCAATGGATACCACTCGTACCAGGCGTCAAATGTCTGTTTGCCATTCTGGATATAGGCATCAATACCAGTCTGCAGAATGGCTTTGGTGTAAGTGTCGCCATCAATACCGACCCAGGCAGACACAGCCTGCATTTCGCCAGAGTCATCGGTGGCCGTTGGCTCGGGGACAGTGAATGTTGCAGACACAGCGGTGTAGGTGGCACTTGGGGGTGGCTTCTCGCGTACCACCCCAGCCCAGTTCTTGCTATATTGGACTTTGGCTCCTTGGGTTCCTTCCTTGAGCAAAACACCCTTCTTTTCGGCGGGTAGTGACTGGCGTGACAGAGCGCCACGGGCCTGCAGGCGATCAATTAGGCCGCTGCGAGGGGCAGCGAGAGAGCTGCCTGCCAGTATAGCGGTCGTCAGGATTGTGGCTGTGACTTTCATATTGACGGTGGATGATAATAAGCTGAAGCAGAGCTTGGAACGATATAAATAACAAGGAGATATGGTTAGGCGAGCCTAACCCCTCTTCGGTCTGGCCCCCCATGGTGATTATATTCTACATCCCATGTAAGTTGCATGCGGCACAACATCACGCCCAATCCGCATAGGGTAATGGAACTCATGGCGTAGAACTGATGATCCTAGGCACAAGATGAGAGGCGGTAAAGTAGGTTGTTCCCCGGAATGTGAATACGGTTTATTAACACTTTCATGACTTGCAATTACAATTGCAGTTGTGTTGATCTGCTTTCTTTTGCCGGTAATTGCTCGTGACGCAGGCCAAGGTTGCATTTCTGTTATCGTGGTGATGTTAGACCCTGATCAAATGAACGGCTCAGCCGATCTTGAGCGTTTCCGTGAAAGGCACATTCCTGGAAACAGAAACGTCTGACAATGGAACTGCGACGGATTAGACGAAGATCGCCAGGCTATTTCTTACGGGACACGAACTTCACACTACCTCGAAGTGACACACAGCTCAAAAGAAACAATGCCAATGTTTGTAAGGGTCAATATTCCTGGGTGAGGTTATTCCACAATTGTAGGCTTTTGTGACCACATTAGTACTGTTGACTTAAGGATCACTCATCTACCGATCTGTAAAATTAAGAGCCCTTTTTTTGGGGAGAAGTCATTAATAGAAAGCAAATACCGAAGTGGGGGAGTGTCTTACAGCAATAACTCGGAGTGTATAATGTCATCTGGGTGCGGTTAATACACATACCAGGCAAGGGATGACAACTTCACATTCCGTCCGTGGTGGTCGAGCCTCCCGGAACAGTATAACATATTATCAGAAATTGACTCAAATCCAACCATTCTCGTACAGTGAAGATCAAATTGCATCTCTCGCGTGTTGATCTGTGACAGGAGATCTGTGGGAGACAATATTGCAGCTGGTGATCACGATGAGTGAGATGGCTATCAATCAAGCTTGCCGAGTTCTTGTGAGCATCTGATTAGTGTCGTGTGGGATAGATCTTGATGAAGCAAAATCAGATTCCTTGGAAACAAAACGAAAAGATATCATTCTCAGGGGTAAAATAGCGAAATAAGAAGGCTCAACATAATTCAAATGGGCACACAGATACAGCATGGAATAAAAATGCCTAATGCCTAATACAATGCCTAAAGTGAAAAAAATCATCAAAGTTTGCCCTTCAAGTGAAAATCTTTTCTTTTCAGCATCACATAGGAAGCTGACGCATCTCAGCAAGAGACCAGAACTTGCGCATATTGGCAGCTCCAAGAGTCTGAACTTCTTGATCCAAATGAGTCCACAGAACCTTGCCAAAGCCTTCCATCAACCGCTTCACCTCGTCGCGGCGCAAATCTTCCTCACCGGACCGACACTGCTCAAGATACTTCTCAAGTTTCTCAAGTCCCGCATGAATCTGTCTGTGTTGACTCAGTAGCTCGAGCTCCTTTCGAAATTCAGGCATTCTTTTCGCCAACACGGGGAAGATATGTTGCTCTTCGATAGAGTGATGGAAATCCAATTGCGAGCAGAATTGAAGGCCCATCGTAATCATTTGGCGGGCTGAAAGTCCCCGTTTTCCAGAGCTTTCACATGCCTCCCAAAGCTGGTTCCACGTTAAACGGAAATGATTGTGCTATATGATAGTTAGTAGAATGCAAATGGGAAATGTATCTCGTATAGGTGATAACTTACAAATCCTTCCATTCGATCCGATAACAGATTATAAGTCCGGAAATCACTCGCGGACAATGGTTGATCGTCACCCTGAGAAGAGGACATCTTTTTGGAACCCATTGGATTGATTTGAAGCAAAACTGGTCGATGGATAGATGCTAAGAGTAATGGAGCAAAATGAGAACGCATGGGACGGCACTTGACAGCAATTTATTGCCGAGGGAGAAAAAAAAATAGATGAAAAGATCTTAGACTAAGTAGAAATAGTAAATGCAGAAGGGTGTAAAAGAATACTTCTGAGTTAGATGGTTCTCCAGGTCTATTTTAGAAAGTTCTTTAACAGTATATAGGATTCATCTCATTTACTTTAACTATAGGGATTGGTAATCTGACACCCCCCTGATCTTAATTTGATCCCCCTTCCTTCCTCCCTCTGCCTCAAAAAGCCTGGATCCTAAGGTGCATATTCCTAACTAGTTAACTACCTATATTGTAAGATCGGGGGTCAGATTACCAATCCCCTAAATTTTACAAATTTTACATCGAGAATGTTTCAGATCTTGAATGGATATTTGTCACCTCGAATCGTTGGGCAAAAATCTACATATACTCACTGGCTAGGGAGATAAATCTCCATTTCGATATAAGCACTTCTTCGGCACGACCTCGACCATCAAAAAGGGCCAGGTCGCAATTTGACATCTGTGCTAGAAAGTTGGATGAGGAAATGGGAAGGTTAGCAAGTGTGTGCACAGGAAAAAAAATAAAACAGTTATGTTATTATCAATACACATCGGGGGCACCGGGGCCGGGCGAGAGAAAATAGTAAGACAATATGCCGCCGGGAGGGGGAATCGAAAATATTAGACAATAAAAGGTCGTAACGCCGTGGATGTGAGAATAATAAGACAATCAAAGCTCTGTGTGTTCGAGCTGCTTCCTGGTCGGTGGCCGGAAGTTGCCAGAAGTGAGTTCTTTGAGGGCAAGGTCGAACCGGGCGCCCATCATCCAGGCGGCGAAGATCATGATACTAGCAATAACGACCACAATGACACCCATGAGAGCCATCATGAAGTAGACATCATTCTTGTTCTCGTCATCTTCTTTCTTCCTCTGTAACTCGGCTGCAGTGAGCTCACCAGAGACCTTACGGTTAGCGGCCTCAGCAGATTGAGTCGGGAAGATGGTCTCAATGAACTTCTCAATCTGTCCGCAGACAATGCTGATCTTCAAGAAATTGGGGTCCTTGGGGGTGTTCTTCTTGTGGATTTTGCGGGTGTACAGGCGGAAGGTGTCACACAGAACTGACAAGTTCTGGGTAGACTTGTGCATGAGTTCACATGCATCTCCCTTGGTGATTTTGATGTTGCGCTTGAATATGTCTGGGTTGCGGAAACATAACTCCATTGTGGCAATGGCCATGGACTGCGGGATTGCACAGAAGTTGAAAACACTCTGCTCTCGCATACCGGCCAGGTAGAACAGGCACTCCTCAGCGTGCTCCAGGGCGTTCAGAACCATCTCCGAGTTGCAGTTGAGGGCTGCCTCCAAGTGCTCTGGCTTGAAGAGATCCTCAAAGTTGTCGACATGCTTGGACCAAATTTCCTGGGGCCAGAATCGTCGGTTATCATCGAAGTCCTCCCGGATATCACGGATGATATTGGTCTTCTGGAGGAAAAGACCCATTGATTTGTGCAAGTTGGGGCGCTTCAACAGAGCCGGGTTACCAAACCCAGCCTCGACAAAGAGGCGGGTGAGGCCCTCGCCAACCAATCCAGCGACATAGTAGCAGTACAGATCATACTCCTCCTTGGTCTTCACACTGGCATCGTCATTCTCTGCCTTCACGGCATAGTCAGCCATGCCGTTGCCCATCTTGTCTGTGATGTCCTTGATGATAGCCTGGTATTCAGGCTTCATGTTCATGAACTCAGTGATGACGTGGTTGAACTGAACCAGCAGCTCACGGTCCTTCTCCTCCGGCCGATTCCCAGTGAATGTCCAGCCATCTTGTGTCAAAATATCCTTGAAGTCCCGGAGGAGCGGTTCCTTGGTGGCCAAGGGAATGGAAGTGTCATCCTCCACGGTATCTAGCCCACGGAGGACCAGGTAGAAAATGCAGATAGGGATTAACAGTTCGGGGTGTAACTCCTTGATCACAGCACTGAAGCTGCGGCTGGTTTTGTCGAGGAACTTGAAGCAGATCTTCTGATTCTCGGTCTCGTTTTTCTCATTACGCTCATGGGGCGGATTGTGCCAGACTTTCCTATGCGACGTGGAGGGTTAGCTTCACATGCGGGAGATGAATTTTTCGCGAATTTCAAGAACATACCATTGGAGGATTGCTCTCAACTGCATGGGGTGAAAGGAGTAGTAGATAGCATTGCCGATGAGACCCATGATGGGCCGGGGAAGAAGCGCGTAAGTCGGGATGTTCAAGGAATTATTAGATGGCAGAGTAGCGCAATCTTCAACAAGTGAAGTCAAATTGAAGCAGTACCCAGAATAAAAGGAATTGAAGCCGAGACCAAATAAAAAAAAAACAACAAAACCTGGGGGAGCTGCGGATTGGAGGGGGGAGGAGGGAAAAGGGGAAAAGGCCAGAGCAGATTAAATGCAGAGTTAGCTGGCACGTGACTGGAGCAAACCATGCATACAACCCCACATGATATCAGCGCCAACTTTTGAAAATATCTTGAGGTTCTGCCTAAACAGGACAGGTCTACTGTTTGTTTTTTCCTTTTTACTCATCATTGACCACGTTAAACTCATATCTTCTCTCGACACTTCTCTCTGTTTTCAAGTTGAGGCTCGGTCGCTGCGATGGTCGCCGATACTGCCTACTACGACGCCCTGGGTGTGCCACCTACGGCCACCGAACTGGAGATCAAAAAGGCCTACCGGAAGCTGGCCATTGTCACTCACCCAGGTATGACCACTTTTGATCTTGTCTTTCTTTATTCTAATCCATTATCACAGACAAGAACCCAGGAGATGAAACCGCACACGAACGCTTCCAGGCGGTATGATTGCGCAACCCCAATGATGATGCATATTTTACGTGAGGCTGATATCCTGTTACTATAGATTGGTGAGGCATACCAAGTCCTGAGCAACGAAGATCTCCGAAAGCGATATGATAAATTTGGAAAGGAGGAATCGGTGCCTGGTGGTGGTTTCGGTAAGTCCACCACATGCTAATGTCTGGCACACCGTTTCTAATTTGTCTTTTACAGAGGACCCGTCCGAATTCTTTAGCATGATCTTCGGTGGCGAGGCCTTTGTTGATCTTATCGGCGAAATCTCCCTTATGAAGGACCTCACCGCAACTATGGATATCACAATGCAGGAAATGGAGGAAGAAGAACTGGCCCAGTCTGCGGAAGAGAAACTCAACATCCACGACGAGGAGGTGAAGGCTGCAGGTGGCGATCCTACACCTGCTTACGAAACCCACAATTCCGCGGCAGGGGCCGCCCCTGCAGCCGCAGCTGCAGCTGCTGGTCCGTCCGAGAAGCCAACCTTCGATCAAGGCTCTGGCGCCACCACGCCTCGACGGAACTTTGGGCAACAGGCCCTTATGGACAAATCCGAAGAAGAAGCTCGCATGGAGGCAGCCGGTCTGTCTCAGGAGGAGAAGGAACTGCGCAAGAAGGAGAAGAAGAAGGGTCTATCCAAGGAGCAGCAGGAACGCCTTACTGCCTTTGAGGATGAACGCCGAAAGGCTCGCGAAGATCGTGTCAACACACTGGCAAACAAGCTGATTGACCGTTTGAGTGTTTGGACTGAGACAGACAAGGGTAAGGATGTGTCCCATGCTTTTGAGGAGAAGATCCGACTTGAGGTCGAGAACTTGAAGATGGAATCTTTCGGTCTGGAAATTCTCCACGCTGTCGGTCAAACCTACGTTCAGAAGGGTACTTCCTTCCTCAAGTCACAGAAGTTCCTGGGTATCTCTGGCTTCTTCTCCCGCTTGAAAGACAAGGGCACTCTTGCGAAGGAGACCTGGACCACTATTTCCACAGCCATCGATGCGCAGATGACTATGGAGGAGATGGCTAAAATGGAGGAACGCGGTGGTGAGGACTGGACCGACGAGAAGAAGGCTGAATACGAGAAGAGAGTTACTGGCAAGATTCTCGCTGCGGCCTGGCGCGGCAGCAAGTTTGAGATCCAGAGTGTCCTGCGTGATGTCTGTGACCAGATTTTGAACGACAAGCGGACCCGACTTGAGAAACGCGTTGAACGTGCGCATGCGCTGGTGATTGCCGGCAACATTTATGCCAAGGTATATACAAGTCTTTCCTGTCTATTCGTACCATGCTAACCACTACTTTTTAGGCTGCACGCGACCCCGAGGAAGAAGGCGATTATATGGCCTTCGAGCAGCTTATGGCTGAGGCCATGAGCAAAAAGGGCAAGGATGAGAAGGAAAAGGACAAGAAAAAGAAGAAGTCCAAGCACGACCATGATGAGACTCACGGTGGGAAAGAGCCTGTGGAAGAGACCACTGTTTGATTGTCTTATTATCCATCTCAATTTTCTTCTTCTTTTTTTGTTTGGTTGAGTTCCACCTCGTACCTGGTCTTTCTTGATAGCCGGTTCATTATATCCTGGACATACATGTTGGGTTTGCTTTTTTACCTTCTCACCTCCTGGGGCTTGACGGTTCTGCTCTTTACGGCGACTGGACGGGTTGCGACGCGCGCACAATTTGTTCGATAGATTGGACTATATACCTCCCATGCCCTTTGATTCTCGCAACAGCACAGCAGCGGTTTGATGCGGATTGTATGGACATAGATGCTCTTGATAATCACATGGAAATAAATATTGACATGAGATATTATTAGTATTGTAGCTGATATAAGAATGGAGAAAACACAAAACACCCCAATGATGTGATCCTCCCTCCATGAAAGCCATTACTATCCCTGAAGGCCACGGCCAACGAACGCCACACCGAGCAACCGAAACCAACCTTCGACGATTCTATTGGACTGATATCATGCGGACCGGTGTGGTGCTCATTTCCACGCCGTGGGCGAGGAGGAGGGCTAAGCGATTCGCTGTTCGGCTGCTCATCACGACCCTTAGCATCACAAGATCGCTGCTTTCATTGAGATACAGGATTCGTACTCATCGGGACTTCGTGGACAGGGTTAGCAGTAGTCTGCGGACCACCTCCATTCTCCTTCCTGAGAGACTGGTACCCAGCCCAGTCAGACACCAATACACCACACATAGCAAGAATGGTGAACACGACGAGAGCAACAAAGAGTAGCCTAGATAAGTGTTGAACGTCAGGTCTGTTTCTTGTATTGCATATATATTGACAGGAACTTACCAAAGAAGCACGCCAAATGCAATCACGGCATTGTAGTAGGAACTTATACTAATACCACCCCCAAGGAGGCTGGCGAGGTCAGCAAAGCATGCCAGCCAGAATACCATAGTGACGAAGTAAATGGCCACAAAGATAGCGGCGAGGACAGTGTTGAGCTTTGCGCTCACGAAGCCCTTGCGAGCATAGTACCAGGGTAGCACTAGGGCGGCGATCGTCACAAGAATGGTCCAAACTGAAGAGAAGACAAGGAAGACGAGGATAGGCGGAGGTTCCACATTGACTTGATATGAATAGCTGGAATATACACTCCAGGAGTCAATTTCTTGCGTGGCAGAGAATGCGGCAGCAACGAAAGCCGAGAGACCCAGCTCGACAATGGCAAAGGCCAAGGAGGTGCCCAATAGGGCGTACAAGATAATATCGAGGGCCAGCATAGTGAAGTCAATATCCTCCGGAAGTGTATGCAAGATCAAAAATAAAGAAAACTGATTGAAAGGGCCTCAAGGGGCAGGATCCCGATTTATTTCACATGCGGCTCATGAAGCTCGTAGACAGGATGGACCTTATTTGGAACTGGACCAGTTGATATATGCAGATATAACGCCAAGAAGTGTAGAGTTCAGTGATTCGTGTCAAATACGAGCAGTCACATCCACATGGCGCCTACGCTGACTCAAATAGGTACAAGGTAAGCGAGTTTGGTATTGCAGTTGAAATGTTTCGGATCTCATAGCCCAAGAGTTGGCAAAGGTCATGTGTCGAGATGTGATGTGTTTCCCTGTTTTTCAGTTTTTCAGCTCTGTTTTTTCCTGCATCACACGGTTTATACGAATCAAAAAAGCCTATTTAATGATTTCTCTTAGACGATGTCTCTTGGGCCTTTTGGGGTTTCCTAAGCCTGAAATCTCCATTTCTCCCTTTTGTACTTCACGAGGCTAATATCAGCAAGGAAAAATAAGTAGAGTTAGTCATATTGTGAAAAAAAAAAGGGCCACATGAAGAGAACTAGAACTGAGGCAGATAAGAGAATATAGGAGGACGAGGGAGAAAGAGAGAGAGAGGAAAAGGCCAAAATTGAGACACCCAAACTGTTGCCTGAAATACTAGGCATCATATCACGTGGCGTGTAGTTAACTAGCTAAGCCTTTCCCCCCCGGCCTTGGCTGATATCTTCGGAGATCACCGTTCACTTATCTTCAGCACAATACAACAATATATACCAATATCATTAAATTAATTCAAGGTCACATCGTGCCGGATTTAAACGGCGTAAAACGGAAATGACTCTATAGGACATTTCCACACAAGGAAAAGAATTTGTCGATCCCCTTTCCCCCTCACAGCTTTGATAATATGTGTAGCATGATAAAAAGTTGCCAATTCCTCAAATTCTATAAAACCTCATCTGGTCGACAGCAAAAGGCATTAGTATGGCATCTATACAATCCTCTATCATCGCCTTGCTAGCCCTTATGGGCAGCACTGCTGCGATGATCTCAAGCACCTCCTCGGCCGAAGCCGGTCCCACCGGTCTTTCATATCCGTCCGGATTTGATATGAAAACAAGCTGGGCAAATCTCAGTCCATATGCCGATGCATCGGGCTTCAATGTCTCCAAAGGGTTTCCATTGGAGTGTGAATTGTCACAGGTACATGTGTTACACCGTCATGCCCAGCGGTATCCGACACAATGGCTTCTCGATGGGGAAGGCATGGAGAATTTCGCCCAGAAACTAGCCAACTACACCAAGAAACATCCACACAAGAAGATTGGCTCTGGGTCTCTGGCTTTCTTGGATGATTGGGAGTACATGCTTGGTTCGAACACTCTGCTCCCCACTGGCGCCGCCACTGAAGCTAGTTCCGGCGCCCAATTCTGGAGCCAGTATGGCCGATTGCTCTATCATGCAGGGAGTGGCGATGCAACTTGGAATGCATCATTGAATGTGTATCCCAATGGCACTGCCCGCCCAAAGCCGACTTTCCGCTCGACCTCATACCCTCGGATTTTGGAAAGTGCTCGTTGGTGGTTGGGTGGCTTCTTTGGAAATACAGGAGCCAATAGCTCATACTCGGAGTATGATCTGACCATTATCCCCGAGGTCAAAGATTTCAACAATACACTATCCTCAACCAGTGCCTGTCCCAATGGCTTGGAGCCGGGTGACAACGCTGCCCCTATATTCGCTTCGTCTCTTGTCAAAACTGTCCGGAAGCGCCTTGCTGCACACCTGCCCAAAGATCTAAAGCTCGACACCGCAGACATCATGGCGATGTTCAATATGTGCCCCTACGAGTATGCGACTCTAGGCCAGTCGTCATTCTGCGCGCTCTTCACTGAGCAGGAATGGCGCGACTATGAATACTACGTCGACCTCCAATTTTACGGTAGTTTCGGGTTCGGCTCCCCCAGTGGTCGTGCCCAGGGAATTGGATATGTTCAGGAACTGGCAGCGCGCCTACAGTCCAAACTCATCATGAGTAGTGACAGCAGCATCAACTATACGTATGATGACAACACCCGGTCTTTCCCGCTCGACCAGCCCCTATACATGGACATGTCGCATGACGATGTCATTGTGTCTGTACTGGCTGCTTTGGGTCTGGATTATTTCAGGTACGGTCCTCATGGTCTGCCTGTCTCGGTTGAGCACGCCCCGCGCCGCAACTTCAACATCAACCAAATGACCCCCTTTGGCGCTCGTCTGTACTCTGAGGTTTGGACCTGTCCCAAGGATGCCTCATTCAAACATCTCCAGGTGCAAAAGTACAAGAACCCGGATCTATCATCTAATCCTTACACTACTGATTATATCCGATTTGTGCTTAACAACGCGCCCGTGCCTCTAGATGGTCTCAAGGTCTGCGATGGTTCTGTAAATGGATTTTGCAAGGTCAAAAACTTCCTTAGCGCTATTCCCGATCTCAACAAGGAGGCCATGTACCAGGAAGCTTGCTTTGGTGACTACAACATCACCAGCCAAGTTGGCAATGGGCAGCCGAGAAAGCCATGATAGTCCAAAGTACACCGGGCTCTGTGATCTTAGTGAGTTAGATAAATCTACATAGACCGTGCTTGCTAATATTCAACATCCATTTTAGACCATATTAATATTAGATTGTCTAACTTGAGGTTATCCTCACATGAGAAAGGACAAAATTTTCATATCTATTTAATTTATCACTTCATAGTATAGGGGCGATTTGGACTGTTACTTCATATACAATAGAGTAAATTAAATTGGAAAAAGGTATCAATCTTAAACATCCTCCATTTGTATCTCCGTGATATAGTGTCTTGTCAATACTTCTCCGGGCATAGAGGGGTTCGTGGAAACCTCGGTATATTGGATCAGACCACACCGGATCTTTTGATCTCCAGGGAATATATATAATGTATATATGTAGATATTTGACGTGGAATTCACAATATTCCATGATATACACATATTTATGCATATCCATATGATTTCCCCGCAAGATCGCCCATATTCCTCGGTCCGCTTTGGAAAGATCTACAATACATTTTCACTTGATATTCATCATACAGGTGTTGTGGTAGTAGCAGAATAAATATAAGATCGAGTTCAGTGACTTGATTTTAGTAGTATTTCCATCTTAAGATCTCCCTCTATAATAGTTACTCCCTTCGCCTTGCTATAGAGATGGCATCACTTCCTACGCCCAGTATCAATGCCTCATTATTTCACTCTTTATTGCAAACCTCGCCGTATCAGCAGATACTATGTGTGTTGCTAGGACTAGCAACATATCTAGCATTGATATCTTCACTGCGTTTCCAACGACGGCAGACCATTCATAAGAGATATAGTCACTATGGAACGAGACAATCTATGTGCAACATGACCGATCAAGATGCCTGGGCAATTCAAAAGACAATCATGCAAACTGAGTTTCCATTTATTGTGCTCAAGTCACTGCAGTTTGCCCTCTTCCGTGTATGCAAAGCTCATCCAAGTATACGTGACTCGGAACTAATATGGGACAGACTTATGGCATCCCAACTATATCTACCCTCCTCTTGAAAACATCTCAGTTATCAGACTCTACAACCTCGTTCAAACGATATGCCGACACGGGTACACTCATTGGCGAATTCATGGCCTTCGACCCACGCTCCGACCGAGCGCAGACAGCAATAGCCCGAACCAACTTCCTACACAAGGGCTACCGAGCCAGCGGCAAGATCCTAGAAGCTGACATGTTATACACACTAAGCCTCTTCGCACTCGAGCCAATCCGGTTCGTGAAACAATATGAGTGGCGCGAGATGACTGAAATGGAACAGTGCGCTGTTGGGACATACTGGAAGAGTCTCGGCGATGCGTTGGGAATCAGTTATGACGCTTTACCTTCTGGAAAGTCTGGCTTCCAAGATGGGATTCACTGGTTGGAGGAGATCGGTGCATGGAGCGGGCAGTACGAAATTCAGCACATGAAGCCACATCCTCGCAACAAGGAGATTGCGGAAAAGACGATTGACGTGCTGGTGTATAATTTGCCCAACTTCTTGAAGCCGTTGGGTAGATACTTCGTGTCATATCTGATGGGAGATCGACTTCGAGCCGCGATGATGTATGTCTCTTATCACATCAACCACCACATAGAGAGAGATTAATGAGTTTCTTTTTTTTAGAATGGAAGAGCCGCCGGTATTGTTTGGCGGCATACTCGCCTTGATATTCAAGGTCCGCAAACTATACCTGCGATACTTGTCGCCCCCACGCCCGAACTTCATGCGATTGGACGTCTTCACCGATAAACCGAACAAACATGGCCGCCACTGGGTTCTGATATATGATGGAGCTCCATTCTATGTGCAGCCCACGATCTGGAACCGCTGGGGGCCCATGGCGTGGTTCAAGTGGTCGCTCGGACAACCATTGCCTGGTGATCACGGTGACAAGTATTACCCACAGGGTTATCACACCCATGATCTGGGACCGAAGTATTTTGAGGGCAAGGGATATAAAGAATTGGAGAATTTCAAAGAGACTCTGCGTCAAAATCGGACGGGACAGTGTCCATTCCCATGACTTGGGACTGGCGTGAACACTGTCGATGATGTTGACCATATAACGATATTGCCGTTTTCCTAGTGGCATATTGTGAGAGTAACCACACTGAATTCTGATCTTTCGTTTCTAAATGAATCAAGATATGGGACAACGAAGAACACAACATTAAGCCAACATAATCAGAGGTCTAGCATTATCAAGCATTCAAGTGAATTAGCAGGCGGATGGACAGAATATAAACACAAAATAATTGCACGGGTATCTTTCAAATAGCCAGGAAAAAGCGTTCAAGATGGATGGCATGATCGGGTATAGAGGTCATTGACCGTTCTGTGTGATGAAAATTGTGAACGCAATAAAAGAAGGGCATGAAGCCCAGTATCTCATAGTACAAGTCGCTAAGCCCAAAAGAGTGAAAGAATAGCCTGTATCAAACGAAGAAATGAAGGACGAATTCAGAATGAAAGGCATCAAAAAAGGGGTATTGTGCAAATGTATGAGCAAGTAAGAGAAAAAGAAATGGGTGCGCCCCGCCGGGAGACGAGGGTAAATGGGATCATGTACTTGGATCAGCAGAAATAGATGGCGTAGAAGATATTGTTCCAACAGATGGCGATTCAACAAATGACACCTCGGAGGATAACACAGGAGAAAGGATGGCGGTATATTCGGTTGAAGGGCTCAAAAGACCACGGCCACTCTCACCGATTTCCCCCAACTCTTCAGGTGCTAGGACTCGACCACCCAGCTCAATGTCTTGAATGTGCACATTGTACTCAAGGGCCCGCTGTCCCTCCTTGATGAGTTCTTCGGTCCATCCTAAACAGCGCTTGAGGCTTTGGTTCATCCTCTGGCTGTCCACAAGGACCTCCTGGTGTCGCGCCAAGTCAAGCATGACGCGTTTCTCGTCATTGATACGGTGCTTGGCATCATGCTCGGCCAGCGAGCCCGGACTCATGATACTTTCGTCTGCAGTTGAGTCCTCGTCGCTGATATCGGACATATCGTCTGGTGACCGGTTGGAAATCTCGCTTTCGCCCTCATCTATCTCACTGGTCACTGATAGTGCCGCCCCGGAGAATGAACGGGTGGAAGGTGCCATTGAGATCCGCCCCGAGCGGCTCAGTCGTCTGAACCGCCGCAGTTCTGCCTTTTGTTGCCGCATTTCGCGCTCCAGGGTACGATTGATGGCTAGCAGTGAAGAGTTGCTAATTTCCAAGTCCATGATCTTGCGCTCAGTGCGCGCATTAAGAGCTGCCTCGCTCGGGCCCTCGGATTTCCCGGGGCTAAGTGGTGCAGGAGGGTATGTATCAGTTGAGACTGTTGATCCATTGCTGAAGATGCGAGGGCGAAGGGTGGGGATCTGCTCCGACATCACAGGCGCTGCACCTTCACCAGAATGGTTTCCGGATACAATGACCGGGCTTGCTCGCAGGGTATCTTGTGGATGATTGCTATGACGGCCTGAGTCAACACTTGAAGACTTGGTATGTCGGACCGGTAGGAGTAGTGGTCGTGTTTTCTCGCCGATTGTGCTAGACGACGGCGAGCCAAAACGCGGGGTGATTCCCAATCCATTATCAGCGCTGGCAATGTATGGTAATCTGAGATCTTCCGGAGGGTGTGAAACCGCATCTGAAAGCCCGGGAGAACTCAACCGCGAGGAAGAAGATGCTGGTTTACTGGCAGGTAGGGGGCGGGGAAGACCACCCGATCGACGTTTGGCAGAAGTGGATGTAACATTCGACTGCTCCGCTAGTGATTTTCGTTCTTCATCTCCGTTCGCATATATGAAGCTTGAGGCTGGGGATGTCTTCCCTTGGGGCCTCGGGCGAGGGGCATCTGGCAGCTCACAGGGATGCGATGATCGTGCATCGGATGCATGAAAGAACAGCGGAGCCCCCGTGGTCACATCCGAGAAAGAATTTGGACGTGATATGGGCTGGTTCTCTACCGCCAGGGTCTTCGCCCTCAGACTTCGGGATTGTTCCGGCTTGACCCCGCGAGCCGGGCTACGGTCTCGACGGCCATAACCGATAGTCGACTGAGAGTAAGGTGTGTGTGGAGATGGAGAGGGGACAGATGATGTATTTGTTGGGGAGTTAATAGCGCCATCTCGTCGGGTGGTTCGAGGACCAGATCGTGGAGTGACATTGGCGCTTAGAAAGGTCGGGGCCGCGGGGGAGTCGTCTTTGGAGGGGGTGGAATAGGGGTGGTCGGGTTGTGCGAGACGGCGTGGAAATCCTGGACCTTGACTTGGACTTGCAAGTTTTGGTGTCAGGGGAGCCTTGTTACTCCTATGGAATGCAGCGCTGAGGGTGGGTGTAAACGGTTTGGCGAGACTGCCATTGTTTTGTTTATCGTAGGTCATTGTTGCGGGGGGTGGAGGTTATGGCATTGCGTGCCACAGGACATGAGCATGGTGGCACCGACCAATTCAAAGACTGTTGTTTTAACAAGGAAATTATGGCCTGATGGAAGGGAAATTCAAGAAAGTCGAGGAGAAAGTCGAGTGACGAAAACAATGACACCCGATTGGGTTTAGGGTGCCGCTTCACCGCAACGTAGAATTCCTTACTTCAAGGGTTGAACTATTGATATTGATATTTAGAAGAAACACCTTATCTGTGAGAATTGATTCTATAAATCCCTGTTATTTGTTAATATGCTCATAGAGAGAGAGGGAGACACAAAAAAAAAAAAAAAAACGAAGTGTCCATCTTGCCCCTGGAAATCCCGCTTCTATCCCGAATCTGGCGGCTGTCAAGTGGAGACTTGAAACACAGTGAGTCTGCAATAAAACAATAATTGCGGCATTCCATAGTCTGAGCATGTGGGGAGTATGGGCTCGCTGTTCTATCGGAGTGACTGACATGGCATGAGGGGCATTTCAGTGAGTTTAGACCTCGTCACAAGTTCATTGACGAAGACATATGGTGGGGGGAAGTCATTGAAAAAAAAGCCGCTTCTGTTTTGGGTCGATTCCAGGAATACCAGCCTGGGATGGCATCTTCCTTTTTCTGGCATTGTGGGGTATCAAAGTTGTTTCTTCTGAGGTGTCCTGCACCACTTGACGGATTGTCTGTCTAGAGAGACAGAAATCCACATGTTCATTAAATGTGCGATCATCTGCAATCTGTGGCCGTGTACATATGGGACAATCCCACATCGGGGGTGTTTCAACCACCTCTGGGGCCGTAAAGGCCTCTGGCTCAACAGCAACAGAAACATCAGGTGTTTCTTGGCTCAGATGCTCTAGATCATTCATCTCGTCCTGGAGTTCCTGACGAGCCGCTGCCTCAAAAGCTTCCTCGGCACAAATCTCGTGATCCGCATTTACACCAGAGGCCGATACAGGAATGGGCTCAGAACCAGGCTCAGTCGCAGGTTTTGGTTGTGTCGCTACGCCGAAAAAGTTAAACCCAACTTTCTGAGTGCTGACCAGATTCGAGCAACGAAGACCGAGAAGCCGTAGCTTCAGGTTCGGAATATCCTTCTCAAGCTTGGCGAGCATTGGTAAAGCAAAGGAATACAAGTCTTTCGCCAGGGAGACGGGACGAGATGGGGCTGTCTGGCGCGTGAGCACTTCGAAAGTATGGAGTTTGACTTTCAAGGCGAGCGTGCGGCCTTTGAACTGGGTCCGCGTCAGATCCTTTTCAAGCTCCTGTGCAGCCCACCAGAGCTTCGCTCGAAGTTCCTCCTTGTCTCCGATGTCATGAAATGTGGTCTCTGTGCTAACGCTTTTACGTTCGTGGGTCTTGACAGGTTCAATTTTGGTCCTCCCAAGACCGAGGTAGCACTGAGCGAGAAATTGGAAAGCCTTCTCTCCAAATAACTTCGTCAGTAAGGCACGATGTGGGAAAATATCACCACACTTTTTGACACCTATGGATTCCAGCTCTCGCTCGAATACTCGGCCAATTCCATTGACTTTGCGAACTGAGAGGTCATGCATGAATTTCATGATTGCCTCGCGATCATTGGGGACTTGGAATTGTCCATTAGGCTTGTTGAAATTGGACGCAATCTTTGCGATCTTCGCATTAGCACCAATGCCGGCCGAAACAGACACCTTGGTTGTTTCCAATATCTCTGCACGCATCCGCTGAACAACCTCATCAGGTTGCAGGTTATTTTCGTCGCAGTATGATGTGATATTCAAATAGGCTTCATCTATACTCGCACTCTCGAAAAGAGGGTCGTATTCAGACAGGATAGCGCGGATTTCCTTGGCCTTTGCAGTGTATTTGTCGTAGTTCTGTGGCAGAAGAACCAGTTGCGGGCAGAGCTTTTTCGCGACAAACGAAGCCATGCCACTTCTGACTCCAAACTTCCTCGCCAGATAATTGCAGGTTGTCAGGACTCCTTTCCCTACCGCCATAGGCACCGTCTTCAACTCGGGCCGGTCAAGCTCCTCGACGGTGGCAAAAAATGCGTCACAATCCACATGAATAACATGTTGAGAAATATCACGGCTTAGTTCTAATTCGGCCAAGTATTCATCAGCACGTCGTAGCTCACTGCTCAAGTCTAGGCGATCTAGCCGTGCTTTTTCTTTCAAAATTCGTTCGATTTTCAGCGTCAGATTCCGATCCCGGTCTTGTTCATGATTGAAGAATTTGGAGCCTTTGGAGGCATTGTAGATAATTTCCGATACCTGGGATATTTTAGTTATAGCTCAATATGTAGATACAATCATCAGGCGCACCTTTTGCTGATCAACTGAGTCCTGACCCGCTTTGGTTAAAGAGGGACCGAGTAGCTGATATTTCAGAGTACCAAAATCCTCATCAGGAGCTGGTTCAGGTTGTGGATTGGCAGGATTCTCCCCTGAAGCCTCCATGTTTTTGAGCGTCCCATCGATGGGCTGATGGGATGACGAGGTGACAGCGCGAAATCAATTCGACGCGGAGTCACGTGGACACGCGTTTCAATTTACGGAGCTACGCAGCATTACACTGGAAAACGACCTATGCGGACTCATCGTCATGTGGATTCTCGATTCGACCGGTGACTTTCTAGAAGGTGGGATATTGGATCGAAAAGGATTGATCAGTTGCTAAAAGTCTTATAGGGAAGCGCGTCTGGCTGCGCCCTGGAAAGAAGTATTTATTCGGTCGATTCTATCGAGACGGAGGTATGTCCACTACCTACCAGTTGGAGATTAAGTTGACTGACTTCTTATAGTCCGCCATGCTGTCAATCACAACTCCATATCCCGCAAGCATATGACTATTGAAATATCACCGGTCAACCCGAGAGATGGTGTATGGCTAACACCCTCCGCGCCCTCCCACGGCGCAGTATACATACTCTGGCTAATTCCGATATAGTTATCACCACGAACGCGATCCAATATTACTATAACCGATTTGGACTCGAAAAAAGGAACTGTGGTTGACGGAAGGAGAATCCAAGGAGAATATAAGTTAGAGAAGAGCGATGAGCATGTCATCCAGCTTGCTAAATACCAGCATGCGCTCCGGTGCGTATGTCTACCTCTGATAGGGTTAAATCTGAGCTAATGATCTTGATAGAATCAAATGGGAGCCGGTGGTTCTAACTTTGTCAGCTTCCTCCAAGGCGGTGCGAGGTGAAGATCCTCTTGCCCATGTTCGCTCACGTCTAGAAGACCTTGACATCAAGACCGTCATGGATTATATCGTTGATCACACAACACATGTGGTACAGCGCAAACGGAATACAGCCAAGGGTCTCCAGGCACTCGTCAACGGGAAGTACATAGTAGACGATTCATATATTGATGCACTCGTCTACTCGGCTACCCCCAGTGATCTTGAGAACGTCGAGTCACTCTGTCCTCTTGAAACCGACTTCGAATCAGCGTGGCCCGATCCAAACCAACACCTCCCGCCTCCCGGGAAAGAGCCAACTCAGCGCCCTGCCGCGGCTTTCGCTCCGAATTCCGCACGTCTCAATGTCTTCGAGGGATATACGTTTATCTTCGGCGATCCAGCTCAGTTTGAAAACCTGCGAGGTCCAATCAACAATGGCCAGGGAAAGGCGGTTTTCTACGAGATTGAAGATGGGGTCACAACTGCTACAGATATCGTTCGGTTCATGCAAAAGACAGCAGGACAGAAAGGCTTGGGCAGCGAGCGGCACGGTCCCGGTGGTGTGGTTCTTGTTCGCTTTCGATCAAAAGGAGACCTTGAACAATGGTCTATTGATATCGGTAATGAAGTTGCTCTAATGACGGACCAGCGCGTGATAGAGCAACGGGAGTTCCTTGACGCAATCCTAGGAAATGATGCATCACCTCTCTGCCGTGCCTTGCCCACAGAGGAGAGCTCTAGTCAGATCTCCTCATCTACACCAGTTGTCGAGGCTAAAGAAACAAGCCAAGTTATTTCTATTATCTCCGAATCGATATCACCCCCAGATCCTGAGCCTAGCCAGCCCTCGACATCCCAGGCGAAGAACCCCCGTGTGCGTGCATATGTCAGTAAAATGAAGACCTTTGATGATGGATTCGACATGGAATCTGTCCCAGTTTATACGCCTGAAGAAGATGACAACGCCAATATCAATTCCACTCAAACCATGGATGTCGAAACTCAAGCGCCGTCCCAAGCAACGCAGCCCCTTGATACAGTAAAGGAAGAGCTAGAGGAAGATACGGTCGCTGATCTTCTCCCGGGCGCCCGTGCAATGAAGCGTCGTCGTGCAGAAATGACTCGCCATCACCCGGAGCGTGGGGCTGTAACCCCCGACTCTGAGGCCCCCAAACGCAAGCGAGCTAAACTTGACGTACTGGAAGCCGCACGGAGGCACCGGGAAGACGAAGAACAACAACGCAAGGAGGAAGACTTACATTCAGCTGATATGGGCGATGTGGATGTGAACCAATTGAAGAACCTGGCCATTGTGGAAGAAATGGAACTTCCCGTCCGTAGCGCACCCATGCGCGAGGCTGAAAGCTCGGATCGATGGGAAGACCAATGGAATGGGCGCAAAAACTTCAAGAAATTCCGGCGAAAGGGCGAGCCGCGTAGCCGAGCTCGCGTTCAGACGGTAATCGTTCCCCTGGAAGAAGTGACCCGCAAAGACTATGGGATCGGCGATCACTATTGGGGCAGCAATAATGCTGAGGCGAACTCCCGAGTCGAAGCTGAAGGTCCGGACTCTGAGGATACTCGCGATGAAGTTGCCCCATCACAGTCCGGGGTATCAGTGACTACAGGCATCTCACCTGCACCGACTTCAGACCCAACTCCGGCTCGACGACCGAAGAGGACTCGCGAGGAGCGCGATTCGGACAGCGATGATGGACTTCGTTTCCGTTTCAGGCGTAAGCGCTAGTTTACATGTTTTTTTCTTTTGCAGTGGTTTTGTAGCGTCTATTTTTCATTGATACCCTCAATCCTATTCATCTGATTTGTGCCTTGTATACCTGTAAACAAATATATTCGAATTCAATGACCATAACTATGAAAGTGTCTTCATATTTCTCATTGCCTGGAAGAAGGCATCTCTCCATAATGGGACCAACGGATGCTCAGGTACACGATATAGATGGGTTTACATGTATGTATGGTGTATGTAGTACAATGTCGTCCTGATCAATCATAGTCGCTTTTATCTAAGACCCGTAAATGTGTATTCATCTCTATTAGATACATCATTTTACTGCAACTGTGACCCCACTAGCGCCGTTCCCTCCATCCCGGACAATGATTCCCAGGATCCAGACGTTCACGGCGAAGAAGAAGAGCCCGGCGAGGAATAGCCCAGGTACAAATGATGATAGTCCCAGGAATTCGAGGTTGTAGCCTTGGTGCAGCCAGAGTGCCTACATGGTTTGTCAGAATCGGAGTCCCAAGTGAAGATTGTGGTAGCAGAGGATAATAGACGATACATACCTGTCCAGCGATCCATAGTATCGCTGCTAATACGCCCAGAGTCGGTTTGCGGATGAGCGAGGAAGAAGGTAGGTAAAACGGAAGCAGGATGAGGTACCAGAGGAAGTACTAAACAGGTTAGCTACCAGTATGGCCATTTTCGGATCAAATCACATACCTGGCTAGTACAGACTTTATTGAAAGTGACAAAGGTAAAAGTCTGTGCGAGCATGGCAGTAGTCAAGCTCTTCTTTGCCAGAACGAGAGGCAAAGCAACAACCACAAGGATCAGCTGTGGGAGAAAGGCCAGCGCCTCAAAACGGGTCTCAGCCCCACCGGCAGCAGACAAATAGAGCAGTGTACTATAGGGAGAGAAATTGTGGCGGTGGTCGATGCGCGTAAGATGGTGGAAGAATGTGTGATGGAGGAACGGTTGGCCGTACTGGATATACATGACGAGATTCAGGGCCATGAAGCTAGTCAGTGCTGCGACAGTAAACTTCACCCGTGACAGGGTAATGAATCCCAAAGCCTTTGATAGCAGGCCTGAACCTGCCGTTGTAGATCCATCGCGTTCAGCATCCCACCACCAGAGAATGGAGACGCCATAGATGAAGGGATAAATCTTGAAATGCACAGAGAGACCCAGGATAAGCCCAGCAAGGATGGGCTTCTTCGTCAAGGTTGCCCACAGAAGGGCCGCAACAAGCACGCCGAGCAGTCCTTCCGAACTACCACGGGTACTGATATTTGCAACCATGGGGTTCCACAGCCAAACAGCGGCAACATATCGCAGGGCGCGCTCGACGGGGAATTGATAGCATCGAACAAGTAGCTGAACAACAAGCCATCCAGCAAGGACATCGGACAGTGCAAAAAGCGCCTTTCCAAAGGCAAAAGTCAATGTTGACCAAGGCGCGGCACCCTCCCACGCAGTCGGGAGAAGCATCCACGCTAAGAGCGGTGTGTAGCGGTAAGTATCACGAGCGTAGGGCGACTCGCCCTTTGCAACATAGCGGGCAGCATCAGTGAATACCATGTAGTCGATATCGGTGTATTTCACGGCAGAGTGCGCATCCTGCCAGCCTCCATAGACGAGGAGGATAAGGCGGAGGGCTGTTGCAGCGAGAAAGACTCGTGCTGGAGAGTTGAAGAGAGCCATTCTCTTTTAGACTTTTCCCCGTTCTTTATCCTTTGATAACCAAATGAGGAAATTAAATGCTAAATTGTCTGTTGCGGCTAGCTCGCATAATTGGGCGGGCTTGATGAACCCCTTGGCGAATATCGTGGGGAAAAGAAGTGCCCATCCACGAACCCTTTTTTCAAGACTTGAGATCTGTAGTGACAGTGTAAGTTTATTCAATGCAATTCCATGCAATTCTTGTCTGGCAAATTGCCAGTCTTTACATGGAAGATGTTGATGCCACCAGGGCATTTTCCGTGCATCGCTGACTCAGCATGGTCCGTGTCCGAGATTGCCTAATTGGGATGTATACCAAGCTATACACATAGGTACAGGTAGGTATTAAAGTGTCCTTAGAGTGATATGGACTAATTTCTCTTTATTAACTTGAAGGTTATATGGTAGGTTCTTACACAATTTACATATTTTGTTTCGTGTGATTGTTCGGTGATAGTATAGCCCAACTAGTGGTAGACAACGGAGATGAGATATATATAGAACTAGTTTCATATATCCAATCATCCCTTTGTGCCCAAAAGCAGGTGGGAAAGAAGTAAACAGAAATGTAGAAGATGAAAATGTCCCAGCCGTGATAGACAACTTTTTGCATAACGCTAGACCCTAATCACCGTAGTGTTTCTAAATATAGGCTTCTCCGCATTATCTTTCTATGGGGGTTTATAGTCCTCGGGAAACTGTTATTAGGTTGAAATGATGCTCCCTAAAGAGCTAAGGGCAATATAAGAAATAGAGAGATAAATATCCCCTATAAATTCTGGAAAGTCGCGTCCTAAAACTCGATATAGCTATAACCAAGCAGGCTTCTGGTTAAAACAAAGGTAACCCCGCAAAAGCGAGAAAGCCAAGTGAAATACAAAACTGCAAACTGCGGGGAAAATGGCCATTTCATCTGGTCTATACGATATACGCCAATACAAAACGATGTGATGTCATTATTGAGAGAATGCTAGAAGGCAGAGCCAGTCAGGGACTTTGGATGTGATAGTTTGGCTATGTGAGTGGTAACGCCACTAAGAGGGGTTACATGAGTTCAGCCCATGAGACTTTCAGGTCCTATATATTTGCTTGGAATTTGGTAGAAATACAGTAGGGCTCATGTAGGAAGACAGACCTGCTTCTAGTATGGCATTGTATGTTTCAAACATCTGCTTTATCATGATATCTCTAGTATAATGGCCAACTACCATAATGGACACTTCTAATTGAATATCAAAGAGATCAGGCATGTGGTAATCAAGAGGTTAGGCCTGTATATTCTAGCTCAGACCTGTACGACTTCATCCGAGGTCCGCTTTTACAATATGGCTGGCCAAGTTTGGACTTGGATCTAATAAGTCAGACACCGTCAGATGATGTAGTCCCCTATTAAAACGAAGATTACAAACTAGTTATGTATAAAATTCAGACCTGGTCTTAACAGAGAGTTATCGAGTTTATTAGTCAGGGAGGTACCATTCATCCCATATCATCTATGTACTTCAGTTCATAGCGCAAGAAGATGACGATCCCCCGCAAAAGCAGAGATATTATAAAAGTTAGTCTTCTGATCCTCGGTATCTTTTCATAGACATATGATAATTTCATAAGGGTGTGTTAACTATATAGATCTCCTCGTGTACCCTTCTCTGTGTCTGAGAGCTTATCATGAAGGGCATGGGAACATATATCATTGGGAGCAATCGAGGGATCCTCAACCCAGAACGCGATGAGTCCGGAAATTTGGAGAAGGTCGGATCCTCAGTGAGCTCGACATCGAAAAAGAATAGATTCCGCCGACATTGTAGGCGATTCTGGTGCATCTACCTTATCGCCAATGTGATATTCTTGGCTATTTTCTTGCCTGTTTTGTAAGTCAGAGACATCTCTTGCTCATCTACGTGTTGATTATCAAAAATTAACATTAACAAACAAGTTTTCTGGTCGCAATTCCTGCCATCGCCCAACTGGTTGTTAACAAATCAGATTTACGAATCGTCAACGCAGAAGTGATGCACCCGACACCAGACACAGTACGAATGACTCTAGAAGCAAAGGTAAACTTGAAGCTTGCACTGGGTGTTCGACTCGATCCAGTCGTCTTTTATACCTTTGTGCGCTCCTCCGGTCATGAGAACGCATATGCCGGAATTAAGATACCTGGACAGACTATCAAGGGGAACTATTCGCTTGGAGTCACCGACCAATTGACGCCAATCATGAATCTTACCTCTTGGGAAACCTTTGTGAGACAAGCTGTCTTCCAAAAAGAAACAGCGTTGTCGCTATATGGAGTGACTACTGGATACCTCGGAGTCTTGAAAAATCACATTGTATTGGATAAAGATGTGGTGATGCCCAGTAGGTTCACTACAGCGATCATCCAGCACTTACTAATATCTGAAATAGCTTTAAATAAGTTTAAAGACTTCTCCATTGCAAATACCACCTTTCTTCTACCGGTAGAGGACGACGGATCCAACCTCGTTGCCAATATTACACTACCGAACCCAACCGCCCTCAGCTTCGAAGTTGGCACCATCACACTTGATCTTAAGAGCGGCAATACAGACCTAGTCATTGGCAGTGCGACGGTCAAAGACGTCACACTTAGACCAGGCAACAACACATTCCCTCTGAGAGGTGTACTCGACATCAGGACGATGATCACCAACCTCACCGAAGTCATTAGCTCACAGGGATCCACCCTCAATAAAGGCATGATCAGCTTGACAGCTGTGACCAAGACAATTATATCCAACGGCACTCTGATCCCGTACTATACAAGAGTCCTCGGATCACTCCCCCTGGTAGCAAACGTGAGCATCGGCGACGTCCTCAGAAATTCACTCGCTCACCTGGGCTCGAGTGGAATATTGTCAGACCCTGATGAGAAACGCAGGAGAGACCCTGTGCAGTTGGACGGCCCAGTTGGATACGGTGATGCATATAGCCAGGTCGCAACTCTGAAACACAACAGGCACGTTCAAAATATCTTCAAGGATGAAGATCCCGAGCGACGAGACGCAATGATAAATTCCCTAGCTAGCTATTATGCTTTGCTATAATTGTATCTATGAATTGCATTGAATTTAACGAGACCTTAGACACTTTCTCCTTAAAATCTTGATACCCGACCTGCTGGAAGCAGGTGGCGTTCATATTGTAGTTGTGACTATCAATATGGAGATATCCTACAGTACATTGACGTTGAAGGATTTGATATGAAAAGTTAAAACCGTCATGCATTCGTTTCCATATATGCCCTATGCTAACATGCTGAATCGAGAAATTCCAAAGGAACCAAAAATAGAAGAGAAGACAAGACAAGAGAAGAGAAGGGAACAAGTGTTCAGTAATAAAGTCCGCCATTTGTAAAATATCCAGAATCCGGCATGGGATCAAAATACGGCTGTTCTCCGTATTTTGGGCCTTTCTCATGATCGGGGGTCAATAGAGTCATTGCATCGTTCCTCCCATCAATGTCAGCGACAACTCCCGGCCACAAGTTGTTATCACTCCAGCTCAGATACTCCCAGAGATACTGGCCCCCTGATTCATCTGTGAACGGTGTGGTAGCAAGGGGGTCAAGGAACCCATTCTCGCCTATAGCCATGTTACCACGACCCGCCTCAGGCGCCGGGAACATGACTGACATATCCCGACCAGCGGGATAAGAGCCACTAATAACAGTCGTGGAAGACCCAGCATCGGCGAGGTCCTGTCCCCGCTTACTAGCTTCGTAGATACGCGAAATAGCATCCAGCGAGCGCTTCGCCGTATGGCCAAAGGACTGCATACGGGCCAATGTCATCATGGCCATCTCCACCTGCGCTTGACAGGACTCGATGGAAGCCCGTGGGTCATCCACCGTTGGATCGTTGAGGAACAATCCCACCAAGGGCACCAGAGAGGCCTGGAAAGTCCACCAGACCGCATTCCACCCGCACAGTTGGTTAAGCTGTGCCGTAGCAGCGATATTCCGAATAGATTCCTCTGCAACTGCGCGACATTTTTCAATCGCGGTGCGCTCCTCGGACCGCAATGCGATATAAGGCACGCGGCGCATGGCGTAACTGAGCAGTGTCGGTCGGTACAGGAGGATTCGTTGGTTGTAGTAGCGCCAGCGCATGACTGTACGGACAGTATTTATTGACTCTGAGCAGGGCTCATGGTCTTTCAGGACAGAGGGAAGATTGTCCCACCACTCGAGAAGCTGTGCATCTGCGTGGGCCATTTCTTGGTGTTTGACTAGTGGTGCAGCGGCGAGGGACTCTTGGACTTGGGTTGCAATCTTGGCGAAGCGGATGTTTTCCACTAAGGGGAGGATCTCGAGGACATTTTCCTATTGAAATGTCATTAGTCAAACAATCATTCCTTTTCTGAAAAGGAAACAAAACCTACCTTGTCTCGACAGAGAGGGGGTTTCACTGTAATGGTCGTGCCTATCCGACCCATACTAGGCCGGCCTAGTGTCATTCCGGCCCAGGTATCCATGCAGAACAGAGACCACCAGACGCGGCGCTTAAGATCCATGGAAGCTAGTTTCGCCGGGCTGGGAATTTGCCGAGTCTCCGCAAACTCCTTGTGTAGTCCTAGGGCAGCCGCCATACGCAATGCAGCACCCATGATGGAGTATGCCAGGTTTGGCTGGCTGATATAGTGGCAGTACCAGCCGCCCATCAGGCCCAGCGCCTGAATAGTCTCGATATGGGAACTTCCCAAGGAACTCAAAGTTAGGTGACCCTTGCATCGCAAGAAGTATGTCTGGTGTGTTACATCATCGGGTCCCGTAGCCGCAATGCAACCAAGAGCAAGGACAATGTTCAGCAAAGCAAGCCAATGATCATCTCTCCGACGACCCGCGCAGTAAGTCTCACGGAAGGAACGCTCATCGATCATGGGAGCAAAGGCTTGGAAGTAGAGGAAGTATGCATCGAGCATTTGCATCTCGGAGGGTGGAATAAGGGGCTGTGGGGGTGTGACAGGCGCACGATGTGGCCATCCCATCGAGCTCTCCTGTTCGTTTGAGGGAGTTCGAGAAAAGTACGAGGCACAGCCTGGGTCTAACCAGACAATGACTTTGATCACAGCCTGGATAGACGATACACCCAGGTAAGATGAAGGTTGACGAGCTGACAGCGACAACCCATTAACATCATCCGAGACGCCCTCTACTAGATCCGAGGAGCTGGTATTACGGCTATCCGGTAGTTCCTCGGGCATAGTTTGCAGAGCCTCGAGGTTGTCATCCTCATTTGACAAAGGTGAGACATGGGCTTCCAGTGAAGCCGATGTAGAGGGTGAATCGGCATGATGTGATAGTGTTTGGATGTGAGAAGCCGATGAAGCCGTTGTGAGCTCGAGGAGTTTCTCCCGTGGCAAATTTGCCAATGAATCGGGAGAGATATTTGGGAATAACTTTCCCAGAATACTTCGATACTCTTCCAAAGTTGTAGACAGTTTTTCTACATGTCTGCATTATACGGGGGTTAGTTGGGATAGAAGAAAAAGGGTTGACTCTCTCACCTCCGCGATGGCCGCGGGTCTGAATAATGACACTGATCCGACTTCTTATACCATCGACATGCCTCACATGGCTTCTCACCATCACACTTGATCTTGCGATGACGACAAGATGTACAAGCACGTAAGGTTGTCACACGTCGGCTAATGGATTCGCGTCTTTCACTGGTAGACCGGTTGCGGGCGGGAGTTGCTGCGGTTGGGTTCTCAAAACCCTCGAATGTATGAAACATGATGTAAAGTTATAAATTATATTCAGGACCACACTATGTGGTCAATGAATGAGAGACATAGATAGTGTATAGTATGTGAATTGTAAAGAGTTCTTCACATCGCTAAAAGGTGGGCGAAGTCATACGTCTAAGAGAAAAGGGAAATACCACAGCCTAAAACCAAATCAGAAAAACAAAAAATTAATAGGCCGATCCGCTTAATCTCCCCGCATTTTCTGGTGGATTTGACAGTCTTTCTGTCGGATCCAGGTGGCAGTGATTGGTCAAGGATGTGGGATTATTATGGGCTAGTCCGTGACATCTGCCACTTCGGACTATTCCTTGGATATAAACCACTCTCGGATCTAGGGAGAAAAGAAAACGCCTTTCCCTTTTGACGTGGAGAATTCCCATATCAGTAACTCCCGGCATATGAGAACCATGGGGGGAAGTTTATAGGGTCAACTAGGGTCAACTAGGATCAACTGGGTTTGTAAAGTCCCGAGCTGCAGTAATTCAGCCGGGAAATGACACGCCAGCATGAACAGGGGTATGCAGAAATGTGCCATTCACGGACAATGTCCAATTTCGCTTGCGGTGTAATACACGCCACAGAACAGCAAGGTCCTCCATGACATGGATTCTCCCAAGTGAGGGGCAATTTCCCCGGACTCATTCTAGCATAAGCCCTGCAGATGGGAACGACGATCGGATGGGGAGGGGAGATCACAGTATGTTCTCTTGGTGGAGATTAAATCCGATAGTTTTCAATACCAACAAATCTCCCCTCGGATATTCCAACCCTGTTTCAATCATTAGTAGTAGGAAACTTTCTTCAATAACATCGGAGGTGTGGAGATACTCCGTGTGCTCCGTACGAAGTATACCGTAATGGGTCTAAGCCTGACGCCTGACGCCCGCACATGAGGGATTTTCATAAATCAAGGGGCTAGTGCTCATATTACCCCGTGTATCAGGAGGAGCCTGTTTGGCATCTCGCCACTTGGAGGGGGTCCTAGTTGCCGAGATAATTTCGCGCCATGTCTCGTTCTAGTCAAGGGCCCGAGATGGGGACACGAGGGTAGAATTCTCCCCTTTATTTTTCTCTTATTCTGTAAGATGGGAAAGAAAAAAAAAAAAAAAAACAAAAAAACAAAAAAGGCCAAGAGGATCAAACTCCGCAAACTCGAGGTAAATTCGAAGCAAGCACTCATAGCTCCACGCTGAGATTGATCTTCAAGGAAGTTATCGGGGAACATTTGCCAAGCCTTATGGGACGAGAAGCCAAAAAGGATGCAAAGCCGTTGTCTGCCGAGGTTGAATGATCATTGGTTCGGTTGAGAGTAGTGACTCATGCATACTAAAGGCCCCTGGGGTAAATTAGTGTGCAATTAAGTATGTCCGAAAGAAGCTGCCTGCACAAGGGGAATAGCCAGATGATATACTCCGTAGGAGCCTCCAAGTTTAGAATGGCAGAAGCTCATGGGGAAAAAGCCCGCATTATTAACAATGCACGGCATTTCGAGCTTGACGGCATATTTTCCGTGGCCAACAAAGGTCTTGGGTGGATATAACAACCCCAGGGATTCGAGGAAAATGCCGAATGGTGGAGAGACATCTGGAGACCATAATTGTAATTTTGCACATTTGCAAATTTCAATTGTTTCACTGTATTTGAATTATACAATTTGCAAATATACAGGTCATGTGTCACACTAGTCCCTTTTGAACACGGCAAGTGTTGTCTTTCCCAAAAGGGAAACGGGGGGCTCCGGGCTTATCGATAAGGAATGTCGGTCTCCAACTATGTATAAATCCCGGGGAAGACAAAGCTACCTCTTTCATATTGTCAATTGCTTTTCAAAATGGCTAAGCTTGTACACTCCTTGTCTTCTGGCTGGTCCTTCAAGGACCGGGACACCGACGAATGGCTGCCAGTAGCTACGGTCCCATCCGTGGTACAACAGGATCTCATTGCTAACAACAAGTGAGCTTTCTTTTCTCCAAAAAAACATTTCAAAATCTAATATTATTTCTTACACAATAGGCTCGATGATCCTTATATCGGATTCAAGGAATTGGACGCTCGCTGGGTCAACGAGAAGTCATGGGTCTACCGAAATGTCATCCAAAAGCCATCCGCCCCCGCTGGCTCTTCGATCGTGCTGGTTTTCGACGGTCTTGATACATTTGCCAAAGTCAAATTGGACGGACAAGTGATTTTGGAGAGTGATAACATGTTCCTGGGCTACCGGGTGGACGTTACCAAAGCATTGGAAGCAGAGGGCGAACACACGCTCGAGGTTGAGTTCGACTGTGCACTTCTCAAGGCACGTGAGCTCCGATCCCAGGATACCAAGCACAAATGGGTTGGTTTTAACGGCGACCCATCACGCATGGCTGTGCGCAAAGCCCAGTACCACTGGGGCTGGGACTGGGGTCCAGTGTTGATGACTGCGGGCATCTGGCGTGCCGTGCGTTTCGAGGTATATCAGGCCCGTGTGGCCAATCTGTGGCCCCAAACCCAGCTATCTGCAGACCACCAAACAGCTGAGGTGACAGCCGTCATCGACGTGGAGACCATCGGTGATGGAGAATACACGGCCCAGTTTAGCTTGAGCTTAAACGGGAACGAGATTGCAAGCAATGCTATCCCAGTGTCTGGGAAGACCTCTCAAGTAACATTCCCAGTCGACAAGCCGGCTCTGTGGTGGCCTCATGGATATGGCGAACAGACTCTGTACGAGGTATCGGTGTCGCTACTTCGCAATGGTGAACAGGTTGACCAGACATCCAAGAAGTTTGGTATCCGTACCGCTGAGATTGTCCAACAACCAGACAAGCATGGCAAATCCTTTTTCTTCCGAATTAATGGGATGGACATTTTCTGTGGTGGTTCCTGTTGGATTCCGGCGGACAGTCTGCTCCCGGCTATTAGTGCTGAGCGATACCGCAAGTGGATTGAACTTATGGTGGCCGGCCGACAAGTGATGATTCGGTAAGTTTTGCTTTTATTTTTTGTAATCGACTTGCGTGGGTTTAGCTAACGTTGAACAAGTGTCTGGGGTGGTGGTATATATGAAGATGATTCCTTCTATGAGGCCTGTGACGAATTGGGAGTGCTAGTCTGGCAAGACTTCATGTTTGGATGTGGTAATTATCCCACATGGCCCGAGATGCTTGAATCTGTCCGTCAAGAGACAATCTACAATCTAGAGCGTATGCGCCATCACCCTTCGATTGTGCTTTACGCGGGCAACAACGAAGATTACCAGGTTGCAGAGTCAGAAGGCTTGACCTATAACTACGAAGACAAAGACCCGGAGAACTGGTTGAAAACAGATTTCCCGGCACGATACATTTATGAGAAGCTGCTCCCAGAAGTGGTGGCTGAATACTCACCTAGCACATTCTACCACCCTGGAAGTCCATGGGGAGATGGCAAGATATCGTCAGATACCACTGTTGGTGATATGCACCAGTGGAACGGTTAGTATTCCCCAGCAGACTTCAAGTTCTTACGCTAATCACCAGAATAGTCTGGCATGGAACCCAGGAGAAGTACCAGATCTTCGATACTCTCGGCGGCCGGTTCAACAGCGAGTTTGGAATGGAGGCATTCCCCCACGTCTCCACCATTGACTACTTTGTCGAGAATCCAGAGGACAAATTCCCTCAGTCCCATGTTATCGACTTCCACAACAAGGCCGACGGTCATGAACGAAGACTGGCGACGTACCTTGTAGAGAATCTGCGGTCCGCCACAGACCTCGAGGTATGACTTCCCATCATAATGACCATCGATGCAGGCTAACATCTCTAGACCTATATCTACCTCACTCAAGTTGTACAAGCCGAGACCATGATGTTTGGCTACCGAGGCTGGCGCCGGCAATGGGGTGACGAACGACACTGCGGTGGCGCACTACTCTGGCAACTGAACGACTGCTGGCCAACAATCTCGTGGGCCATCGTGGACTACTTCCTCAAGCCGAAGCCAGCATACTACGCCGTCAAGCGGGTCTTGAACCCGATCGCTGTCGGGGTCCGACGTGAGCACCACGACTGGAGCGTGGCACATGCTCAGCCACCCAAGACCAGCAAGTACGAGCTTTGGATCGCCAGCAATCAACCACGGACCGTGCAAGGCAGTGTCGAGCTGCGATTCCTATCTGTCAACACAGGTCGCGATATTCGGGCTCCGATCGTGCGCGAAAACATCACGATTACTGCCAATGGCACCACGGATGTCATCACTGATGGTGTTCTCGACCACATCGCCGAGCCAGAACCACATGTCCTCGCTGCCCGGTTGTGGGTGGACAACCAGGTTGTAGCACGGGATGTTGATTGGCCACAGCCCTTGAAGTATCTCAATTTGTCCGCGCGACAGGTAGAGGTGAAGAAGCAGCAAGGGAAATCCGGTGAAACGGTGTTGGTGATCAATGCCCGCAAGCCAGTCAAGTGTCTCGTTTTCGAGGAGCAAGAGGGTGTACTTCTTGGGGATAATGCTATTGACATTGTGCCTGGTGATGAGCAAACAGTCACAGTCACAGGCCTTGGAAGTGAACCTCTCAAGTACCGGTACCTTGGACAAGAGTCTTGCGAGGTTGTTGAATGAGTGCTGTATAGGAATATTATATCCTTTCATTTCAAATATAGATTTCCTGTAAAATATCCATGGATGGATCAATAGTAAGTAGTTAACGATCGTTAAGATGTAGATATAAAAAAAGAGCTATGAGAAGATCATCTCTCATATCTTATCGGATCTCAACTTAGCCACCTCCAACATTTTGCCAATGGGTACTAAACGCTCCTGGGAAGGCCAGCCACTCGTGCTAAATCCTCAAGATACAATTATGGCAGAAGCAGAAACAGCCTCAGCTCCTTCAATCTTGTCAATCTTTGAAAGCTTCCGCGACGAGCTAGATGAGCACCATGACCGTCGCGAGCGTATCATCAAGAAAAGCCGCGACATTACTGCCCTGAGCAAGAAGATGTATGAATTTCCCTCCAGCTAAAGATTCAATAACTGAGATTAATAGTATCTTCGCCCTCCAACGAGTCCGCACAACGAATCAACCCCTCCCTCCCAAAATCGCCCAAGAAAACCAAACCCGCTTCGACCAAATCCATGCTCTGTTCGAAGATGTCGTCCCCGAACAACTCGGCATCAATGGCTGGCGATACCAGCGCCAAATCAGCTCCGGAATCCAAGAATTCATCGAAGCCGTCTCCTTCGATCACTACCTACGCACACAAACGCTAATCACCCACGCCGAGTGCTCCGCCCGCGTCCCAGCAGGAATCCTCGTTTCAGAAGAAGACTACCTAATGGGACTGTACGATCTCACAGGAGAGATGATGCGTTTTGCAGTTCTATCGCTGAGCTCTGGCAACGCAACTGCCACCAATGCGACCGAGAACACAAGCGACGAGAAATCAACAGTCGCTTCACAGGATGGTATTGTGGCTGATCTACGTGCTATTCGTGCAGGCTTTGAGGCGCTCACTATGCCACAACGGCATTTCTTGTTCCGGGATATGGCGAAGAAGCAGGACGTGATGCAGAACAGTGTGGAGAAGGTTGAGCGGGCGGCGTATGGGATTGTCGTTCGTGGCAGTGAAAGACCAAGTGGATGGACGCCTGATCTGTCAGGTTCAGTGGAAGTTGCATCTTACTGAGAAACTAGAAGAAGCAATGATTCTGAATGACAGTTATAGTCTAGTATAATGGTTGGGGCTTTATAGAATATGTAAGTTGAGTCTCTCTTCATATGCATGTCCCAATATCTCTTAATACCCTTTCATATTCCTCCATATCTCCCTAATATCCCTTGATATCCCCCTAGGTATTATGTTTTTGGTTTCTACATTTTGCCATGACATTGCTAGGTGCCATCATGGTGACATCACGGTACAGAAAGTTGTAGAACTTATACGTATGAAGAGAAATAAGATATTTCCAATTGTAAGGGGGGGGGGAAAGGAATAAAACGCCCTCATAAAACGATCGTGTCACCCATGTCTCATAGAAAGCCAATGCTGTGGCAACGTTCAAGGCCAAAATCAGACAGGAGAGCGTGGGTTCTCATCTTCGGAGAGAATACCCTGGGAGATCAGTTCTTCAGGCTGCGGTCTGTTCTGAATCTTATGCTCGAGGTTATCGGCCAGCATATGCTTCTTGAGTTCAAGGGCGTGGGCCTGCAACGCTGGGGCTGCGGAGGTTGCGGGGAGGATATTACCTTGGCGGGTTGTTAGTATAGAGAAATCCCATCTCAGGTACGAAATGTAGGAAATATAGGAATCTAGAATAAAGGGAGGTTTTTTAAAAAGAAAGAAAGAAAGAAAGAAAAAAAAGAAAGGGAACAAACGTTCAACCAACTGGTCCTTCTCAGGTCTCTTCTCCAGGTTCTTCTTCAGACTGTCTGAAGCACGCTGGCGATCGAGCTCCTGGCGGGCAGATTGAAGTGCTCTATCATACTGTTAATCATATCCAGACTGGAAATATTCCCAGAAACACTCACGGAGCTACATTGGTGTCCAGCAAGATGTGGCGGTTCTTGAGGTCCTGCATATCTGGACGGGTTTGGAGGTGTTTCTCTAACGAGTTGCGACGCTCATTAGTCGGAGGAAGGGACTGTTCGATGGACATTGTTAAATAAGGATAATCAAAAGTTATGTTGAAGGTGAAATCAGGTCAAGGGGAAATGAAGTAATTGAAGGCGAAGGTCAAGTGATCTCACGCGGGGAAAGCGGTCTATACTTAACTATACATAGAACAATCATTGGAATTTACTGGGATAACCTGAATAACCTGGATAATCTGGATTTGGATAATTTGGGATCTGGGATAATCTGAAGTAGATCATAAAAAAAAATACAATCTACCATCTTCCCAGCGCATAAAAAAAAAAAAGAAAAATAGCAACCGTCACAAACGTCTCCGCAATTTGACGATCTCCCATCTCCATCTCCTAAGGAAAGGGTGAAAAGGGGAAAAAGGGGTGGGCTTTTCGAAATAGACATATTCAAGCAGCGCAGCCGCGGGTTGAATCCTGTGTTGTCCTTTCGTGTCCGAGATCCGATCATGCCGGGGTTCTGGGATGATTTTATGCCGGGGGAAGAGGGAAAAGCACACTCTGCAGGCAATCACAGCAAGACAGATCCAGCCCGCATTCGGGGGGTTATTGCAGTCTTGCAAAGAGAAAAGAGACACTCTGTCTGGTTCTGGATAGGTTCACAAAACATTCCAGTCTACCTGTCAAGAAATGACATGGAGTAGACCGTTCTGCTTATGCCAATCAAGGAACCCAGAGCTTACCACGGCCACGACCATTGCCTCGTGCACCGCGCGAAGATCCACCACGGCGACCATTGGATGAGCGGCGAGAGGCTCCAGCATTACCGCGGCCTCCGGTGGCACCGGCGGTACCCTGTTGGACGCTCGAGTCTATAGCGGGAGGCTTGGTTGCACCGCCTAGAGACCGGCTGAAAGAGTCCGGGTCGATGGGCTTGGTAGGAACTTCCACGATAGTAGTAGGCTCAATGGGAGGTGGCGCAGCCTTGGGGGCAGGCTTTCGCTGACCCCCACTACGCGAAGCACCTCGGGCGGTTCCTTTTCCACGACCGCGGGGGACGAATACCAGCTCATCTTCGTCGCTTTCCTCCTCGTAGGACAACAATGTCTTCGGTTCGGCGGGTTGGGCCTGTGTTTTCTCAACATATTTGCAGCGGTTTTTGTACTCGCGCTCCTCGTACTGGATAGCGGTGCGGAGCTGCAGAATGTTCTTGACACCAATGCCAAACTTCTGAGCCCACACCTGGGTCTCACGGTCGTTGGAGATGAGAATGCAGGTCTTGGAGGAGTTCTCGGCATCAGGGCCGGTATGCAACCGCCAGAGCAGAGCGCTCAGCAATGGGCGCAGAGCGGGCGGCGCGGTCGGGATCACGGATCCGGAGGTGGTGCGCTGATGGTTAGAAGGCTTGCTCTTGGTCTTGTCATTCTTTGTTCCATTGTTGGACTCATGCTGGGCGCATTCGGGGCTGGTATGAGAGCTGCGAGAGGATGTACGCGATCCAGGTCCACTGGGGGTGCCGACGGAGGTGATTGAAACAGCCTCCTGGTCCTTCTTGAAGTTCAGCTTGGACAAGAGCATCCGCGACAAATCATCCGACTCGTTCTTGGTCGAAGTATCATCGGCATTGGCTTCCGTCGCCGGTTCCCCGTTGGTAACTGGTTCATCGGTTACCTCGGGCTCCTCTTCAAATTCCGGCAGGAAGAATTTCTCGGCCTCTTCCCAGCGCTCGTATTGCTCCATTGGGCCCTGGAGGAGAACTCGGTCGGCAGAGATGTGATCTTTGCCGGAAGTGACCCGGTCAAGAAAGCGGACTGCCTCGCGGGCATTGATGGCGACCTGAGATCCCGCCCTCTTCAGCGCATGGAGTCGTTCAAGTGCTAATCAGACAATGGTTAGAGCTACAATAAGGGAATCAAAGTCGCATAAACACAAGTACTTACTGTAGAGAGGAACCACAAGATCGATAGCACCGTTAGCGGTCCATTTCTTGATTTCACTGATATTGGTGGACAGGGCTGTCTCGTCCACAGCACAGTGGAAGACTTTGCGCCCGGTCGACATGGTGAATATTGAACGGATGTGTTCGTGTATTCGTAGTGAGAGATACAGGGCAAAGACTGCCCTATACCGGAAGACTAAGAATGTAGACAACCGCGACTGAATCGGGGCCGGTCAGCACGGGCCTAGGCTGAAGGAGGTTTGACGATGGAAGGACCTGGGAATGTGGGGTGGGAAGAGGGGAGTGGTGGGATGTCGGTTGATGGAGCCGTGAATTTTCACTCACGATGAGAAGGCAGTTGACAGGATGTTTCCATCTGCAGCATCTTTAATACAGACTTTGCCTAGCAAAGAACACACCTTGAGAAATGATGCGATGGGAGATAGAAATATGCTGACTAATCGGGCTTCAGGAACAGACCGAATTTAAACAGAAAAGTGAGGGTTTCTATGTATTGAAGAGGCATACAATCTAGTGGAAATAGAAGGAAACGGAAAAAAAAAGAAGAAGAATCATTTTGAAGAAAGGTAGAGCTCATCATCCCGAGCCTATGACTTCACCTTCTTAATGAGACCATCCGATTCCTTGACTCGTTGCGCCCACTCACTTTGATGTTCATATTAGTACTAGTAGCAATTACAATGGGGAAATTCTGTATACTTACGTCCAGCTGCCGTCATATACCCGACGCAGATTTGGGTCACCATATTCGGCCTCACTCAGGGCTGTCTCAATGATAGTGGCAGTCACACCAGTACCGCACGAGCTGATAATTGTTTGGCTTGGATCCACCTTGCGGTCCTCAAAGACCTTTCGCAGATCTTCAGCAGGGAGAAAGGCCTTTGTTTCAGGGTCCAGTAGTTCTTGGAAGGGCATGCTCTTGGAACCAGGAAGATGGCCCGATGACAGGCCAGGGCGTGGTTCCGGGTCGGTTCCAGCCCAACGACCATAGGAGCGTGCATCTAGGATCTCTACCTCCTCTGCACCTTCTTTCCCATAGTCCAATGCCAATTCCTTCATCTCGCGGAAGGAAATCACTAGTCGCGCGTCGTATGTCGGGACAGTGTACTTGGACTTCTCTACCACAGCTGGCTCACCGCTCTCCGTTGGAAGACCTTCTTTAACCCAAAGACGATAGTTATTGAGAACGTGCACATTGGGATGACCGAAGACGCGCAGTGTCCAGCCTACACGAGGTGCACTGAATATCCCCAGGTCGGCAGTGTCGTAAACCACTACCTCGTCATCGCGACGGATCCCCAACTCGCTCATAGCCTCGGCAAAGGCCTCACAAGTGGGAAGCATATGTGGGTAGGGTGAGTCTTGATCTTTGATATCATCAAGGTCGAAAAATCGTGCCTGTGGGATGCGCGAGTTCCGGAACGAGTCAATTCCCTTGCGACCCTCTGGGTCGTTCGGCATGAACCATGCTGCACAGAGAGGAATCACACGTGGGGAAGTTGAAATTTTTGTCGTAGGATTTTTCTTGAGTGCTTCATTCAGCTGCTTTGGTGTCACTAGATACGAAGAAAAAGAGACATTGCGCTGAGTATGGAGCCCTGTGGAGATGGACATATTGGGACGGAAGAGACGAGCAGGAGCAAAGGATCTGGCAGTGAAAGCCATAGTAGAAAAGACAAGGAACCCTTTTTTTTTAAGACCAATTTACATAACGAGTTAGCAAAGCCTTGAGTCAAAATTCAAGACCAACCACGAGTAAGAGAGAGAGAGAGAGAAGAGCAATATGAGGAGTACTATTGCGTGTTATGTGGAGAACATGTGATAAGATGATAAGAGATAACTGTTTTCCCTCTTCTTCCCGAGGTCACCTCTTCAATCCACTACACAATGAAAGTCACTATTAAAGAATGGAATGCAGTTGCTACTTGGCACTGGAATATTCCTGACGATGAAGTCTGTGGCATCTGTCGTGTCCAGTTCGATGGCACTTGTCCAACCTGCAAATTCCCCGGAGATGACTGCGCGCTTGGTGAGTTGACCTTTATACTCCCACTTCCATGCTAAGTACTGACTATGATTATTATAGTGCAAGGAAAATGTAATCACGCTTTTCATATGGTAAGTGGAGTGAGTCCTCAAAGCTAGGACAGAACTGAACAAAACTTTCAATACAGCATTGCTTGATGACCTGGATTGACCTGGAGTCTTCCAAGGGGCTGTGTCCAATGTGCCGGCAAAGTATGCTTTCTCTAGATCGTCTATGTGATATTAAGCTAACTCGCTTCAGAATTCGAATGGAAAAATAAGGAATAAAGGCCAAATTTGTGTTTTTCTCTTCTCGGTGGTTATCAAGGCGTTGTCGGACGAATTCGAGATACCCATTTGTGTTTTCATTGGCATGCAAGATTGGATTGAAAAAGTTACTAGGATCTTATTGTCAATTGAGCAAAACAATGCCATGGTTGGAATGAGACTGAGGCCGATCAATATGGGATTGAACCCATGTTTATACTTCATTTTTTACAACTCAAGGTTATTCCTAGGGCAACTGTTATTCATCCACGATTTTTTCCCTTGCTTAAATGTATATTGTAGTGGTTAGGATTTCAAAGGCTACTTCATTTGTATAATGTTCGATCTTTTGATATATAGATGTATATTTTGCAAACTGGGCCATGCGAAGCTCAACTTACATATATCATGTCCAACCCAGCAACAACCTACTCTCATCCATGGATCTTCAACAATGAAGAATAATATGTCAGATAACAATATTCACTTTCATACCATTTGATAATATGAGGTTGACTTCCAAGATTGCCTACACTGTGATTTCAATGTTTTCATCTGACCGTCACGTGGCGCTATCGATAAGTAGCTCTCCGCACGCAATAAAGAACCTCATCCTATCCCAAGCTCTTCTCCAGAATGATGTAGCTTCAGCCCATGGAGATGTCTTTGAACAACTCTCCCTACCACCATATCCTGTCTGCTTCCTCTTCCCGACAGACCTTGCACAAAGAAACACTTTCTCGTCCAGGCACCGCCTCGTCGCGGCCGAATGATCGACATTCAAGAGGCCAACTGACTGAGGGCCACATATCAGCAGACGAAACCCATCAATCTCCAGCAACAGTTGCATCACCATGCCAAGATGTAGTTTTGGATGAAACTGGAGACCACCTCGAGGAAGGCCAAGAACAGCATCTGTCTCACCCCGCTTTCCAGCCGTTCTTCACCTTGATCGAAGACGCCCATACCTCAGATTATCACCACCCAACGGTCCACTACATATTCTCCGACGATGACACCGACATCGTGACAGAGGCGGCCCTTCGTAGTCTGGCCGCGGAGCAAGAAGCCCTTTCCGATTCCAAGAAAGATCAGATCGCGCAGACCCAAGCATCCCATCTCCAGGACGAGATCAAAGACCCCTCCGATCCAGATCCAGCCAAGACTACCCTGCTCCCGCCACCAGTTCCAGGTATCCGGGAGAACTATGTCATCCTCGATGTAGAGCCCTCACCACACATACCTGGGATAGCGCAAACCAGTCCGATAACCGAACAACTAGCACCAGGCAAAGGCGGGGGTGGCCCGAGGTCCATATCCTCATCACCGGCAAACGCTTCCACACTCCCACAGGATCATGGACAATCACACCCGCAGTATAATGTTACCGCGGCGCAGAGCTTCTCATCAAGATGGCAGGTTCTCCACACTGAAGTGATGCCGGCGCCCACTTTTGAGAATAGCAATCCTGGCGAGTTACCAGGGCATGGGTTGATGCTGAAGATCCGTGGCACAGGTGGGCTGCCAATTGAGGTGAGTGGCAAGGAGAAGGAGCGTACACGTACACTTGAGGAGATGATGGATCAATTTGCAAAGCGGATGAGCGAGTTGCAGGTTGTTATCGATGCTGCGGAGTGTGCGGACTCGAAAGGGGAGCACGAGGAAAACCCCGTGCAGCATCCCTTCTCTCCAGATACAGCTGAAGATACTATCCAGGATGATGGGGATAGTGCGGCATATGTTGCAGAGGTTGAACTGAAACACTCTGGATGATTATTATTGCTGTTTTTGGCGCATCGCGGTGAAATCATCGGCACTTGTATCGTATCCAGTCAACCGACGGCTAGTACCAGGTGAACCTCATGCATATAACTTTGAATACAAAACGAATGAATCCACACTCTGGGAGATCAAGTATGGTATTAAGATCAAATCTGACATTCCTATGTACGGGAATATTAATGTAGCCAAACCAGAAACGCCAAGCAGAATGCTTTTCTATAGCACTCAGACAAAAGAAGAGACACAAGAGAATGGCTAACCCAACACTGTTTTCTCAGCCAAAAACTCCAGCCCAGAGTGGAAAGCCCAGCGACTATCGGGTATCAAAAATTTTCAAAAAAAAGACAGAAAAAAAGGGCAGAAATAACACGGAATCCACCTAATCAGAGGTGCGGTTTCTGAATCTTCGGCCACTCGCGATGGCCGAGGGGGGCATATTTTCGCGACCCTCCTTCATGCCATTCATCCTTTTCGAGAGTATGGTTTTGGGGAGTTTAGTTTCGGGGTTGTTGTTCGAGTTTGAGCGGCGCCGTTTGCGGGGAGGTTGTTCTGGCTCTTCCCTTTCTGGCGTCTCGTCCAGGTCCATGGATGTCGCCAACGCGGGGGTCTCCGGCTTGCTTGGAGGTAGTGCATCGTCGGCATCAGACAAGACCGGTTTGGCGACGTTTAGGTCGACTTCTCTAAGGCCAGTGTTGGAAGGTGGGGCTGCAGATGATGGAAGAGGGTGGCCTACCTCTTCCAGGGTATCATTATACACGAATTTCTTGGGCGGTGAAGCTGCCACTTGGGGCGAAGTGGGAGCAGGGGAGTCCTGTTGGTCCTCACTGAATGGCAGAGCAGTAAACTGCTTTGATGTCCGGTGCCGAGTGCGAAGACCGTCGTGAGCTTCCGTTTGGGGCATTTCCGAAGGGTATTCGTATCGTCGTTTCTGAGGGGTTACACCTGTTGGGACATACTCTTTCAGGGGGTGGCTCTGGATGTTGGACCTCATTTCTAAAAGTGGCCGGCGAACTTCCGTGTGTAGAGGTGCAGTAGTTTGCTCCAGGTTCTTGGTATGCATATCAACATGCTCCTGGAATTTTTCGACACGTCCACTGAATCCATCGAGGTGCCCATATACGTTTGAGCGGGACTGTCGGACATTCTTCGCCATGGAATTCAAGCTGCCCAAGTGTGATTCATGGAAGCGACCATTCTGGGACCGTGCTTTGGCAACGAAGTCATCCAAAGCCTCCATTTGTGTGCCCATGTCGCTCATCTGAGCATCAACAATTCGCACAGTCTCTTGATGCACGGACTCTGTTGCCCGATGAATCGAGGCATTGCGCTGGTCGAAAGTCTACTGTCGTTAGTTTCATTTCACAGCCCAAAGATGTCAGTTGGTCTTACCTCCCAATCATTCTGCATCCTAGTCTTGATTTCATCCTTGGATGCAGTAATGTCTTTGGCAAACTGTTCCTCTTTAAAAATCCATTCATCAATGTGTCTATCGTACTGCGCAGTTGCTTGCTCAAGAGAGTCGCCTGATGCCGACATGTCGGTGCGAAGAGCATCAAATTTGCCCTTAAGGCGGTTGTTCTGTTTATGATTTGATTCCTCAAGGAGTCCTCGGATGTGAGACATAAGAGTTTCACGATCGGCTTGTGCACTTGCATGTTCCTCTTCCAGAACCTGTGCTAGATTAGACGAAGCCTTTCTATTGGCCTCCACTGTCTGGCGATTAGCTGCCTGCAGCTCGAGACGTAGTCTGTGGACTTCGCATTTCTGTTCATTGAGGTGCTTTGCCATCTCCTCGAACATGGCCTTGAAGTCTCTGCCAAGTGTACTGTATGACGAGTGAAGCTGGGAATGGAACTCTGAGAACTCCCCAATAACCTCCTCGGAGATCCGCGCAGCGGCAGCTGACAAGCCGTTCAAGCCTTCGCCCACTTTGGACTTAACTTCTTCTCGGAGAACCTTGATCTCCTCGAGAACTTCATTCATCTCGTTGTGGGCAGTAGTGGTGTTATTTTTCGCCTCTGCCTCGACCTTGTCAAAAGAGATATCAAGATCTTTAAGTTGCAGACGGGTAGACTGCACAGTGTCTAGTTCATGATCCACAAATTGGTGGATTTTGCCAGACATATCCTCTAGCAGCTTCGCATGCTGCGTCTGGAAGATCTGCATGCGAGCATCGACCCGTTGTGTAACATGTGATATCTCCCCAGTTGAAGTTTGCCAGGTCTGCTGGTTATCAGCCTCCAAGTTATCTTTGCGATCCAACTTCGCATGCAGTCCATTCACGTCTTGAATGGTACCATTTAAAGTGGTAACTAGGCCGGCACCAATGTGACGAAGTTGCTTTTCGGTATTCTCATGGGCCTTCCTTACAATCTTCTCCTCGTCCAGCTTTTCTTGGGTATCCTTCCAAAACCTTTCGGTTTCGTTGAGAACATCGCGCGTTTCCTTGAGTTTGGACTGAGTCTCCTCATTGTCCTGCTTTAATGAGTTGAAGTTGCCCGTGATAGAGAGCAGCTCTTGGACCTTATTTCGAAGACTTGCCTCCATAGACTCGATCTTGGCACGCTGTTCTTCGTTGACAATTCGCCGCGATTCACTTTCCATTGTCATTTCTTCGTACGCATCAGGCGTCATATAGACACCATTGCGATGCCGGGTAGCAATGAGCTCGCTCTTGAGCTTCTGAATTTCCATCCCGATATCTCGCAGAAGCTTGGTTTTGGCGACGATAGAATTGATCTGGGGTTTGTTGCGGATGTTTTTGGCTCGGAAGGCATAATCAAGGGTCGAGATGGTCTCCTCTAGATTGTTGCGGGCAGGCGAAACAGTGGCGATGATACATGTTTTTGTTTGTCCTCCAAGAGAATCTTGTAGTAGTCTCGTGAGCTTTGACTCGCGGTAAGGAATGTGCGAGCTCTTATCCACCAGGGCGTTGATCACTCTCCCGAGAGTAAGTAGACTCTTGTTGATGAGACCTGCCTCCGTTGCCCGTTTATTTTCCGCACCGCTCCGCCCGATGTTCTCGCTACCTGCGAGATCAACCAGGTTCAGCTTGCCCGAGCTAACATAGTCCTCACCAGATTCGGTCGTGCGATTTGTGAGAACGGTGATGGTGAAAACTGTATGACTTCGGGAACTTAAGTCGTTGCATTTCGTCGCTGCCACTTGGCGTTTGTGGCTGCCCGCTTGAAGTAATTTGATTCCGGTGGATGCAGAGTCGATGTAAGTCTCCTCCATGCCCTGAACCATTGTGCTGTGTCCTCCCTTCTTCTCATTTTCAAAAATCTTGAGCTTAGTGCTATCGTCGTATGACAGAAGATCACGGAGTTCCTCGTTATAAAGTTCGATGAATGAACATTTCACTGTGCTTTCTGTATCCTCGAGTTTCTGAAACAGGGCGTAAAGGGTGCGTGGAATGATTCCTGCATCATCAGACAGGATGCCCAAAGTGTCAGTCATGTCTCCTGACATGGTGTATGTTTTTCCTGTTCCAGTCTGTCCGTATGCGAAGATTGTGCAATTGTAACCTGCCAACATCTGTAAGGAATTAGCGCGGTTCTTCGATTTCATGCGCGGTAACTATACTAACCTCGTCGAGGACTGGCACGACCACATCCTCGTAAACAGTTGTTTGATCGGCAGCCGGGGAGAAGACCTTATCGAAAGCATATGTCTTGTTTGAAACCGCATTCGGTCCCATTGAGAGATCCAGGGTCTTGCCCTTCACACCTTCTGGTGTTGACAAGACTACACCGTTGTTCTCTTTGATCTCGCGATCGCTGCGGCCGCGACAGCGGACCACGACATGAATGTTTGTGTCCTCGTTGATTTCCCGTTCAAAATCTTTTTCCTTTCTCTTACTCGCAACGCTTGACTTTTCAGGGCTCCTCGCGGCACGAGCTGCACTCATCGCAGATGGCCTCACTGATTGTGTAGACACCCCAGGCGGTGCATGGCGTTCGGGGACTGCCGAACCCGCTCGTCGAACCGGTTGGCGCAAACCCGACCTCCTCGTGGTGGGGAGGGTGGACGGGGGCCTTGGTGGGCCAACCATGTTGACAATGCGACACTCGGAGTGTAATTGTGGTATTATTTCGTAGTAATATTCGATAGTTCGGTAGTTTGAAAGTTGACTTGATCTTTTCAGCTCTGTCGGAGTCTTTCAGCGTTGTGTATATCAGTGGAGCTTTGTCTCAAACGGGAAAACATAAACAAAGCTTACATAATCAAGTCATTTCCCCCTCTCACATGACTCTGTCGGCTGCGCTATCGTCATCGCCCTCTTATCGCTATTTCCCCTCATACCATGTGGACACCCCTTACATCTAGCATCCCCTTTTTAAATAAGGCTCAAATATTGTGTGGACCTCCGTCCATAGTCGTCGGGCCATGAAAACGGATAGACCACTATGACCACTTCGATCTCCCCAGCACAGGCACAGATCTTCCCCGGGAAAGGACTTGGGTTTATCAGTATGTCTCTTTGTCTAGCCTCACACCTTTACAGTGGCCCTTGCTAATACTTTTGAAGCCCTGGGAGCTTCGCTCCATAATGTCCTCACCCGCGTTAAGTCCTATCCCCAAACTTATCCCGCCATCGACCTAGCCTACTCCCCTGCAGATCCGCTTCGCAAGCCAGTGGTATTGCAGTTGCCCTCAAATGGCCTGCGCCTTAGATTTGACGGTCCTGACCAAAGGCTCCGTTTGATTGAAATCCTCGACTTCTCTCGAGTGAACCTGGTATACAAAAGCCAAGAGGTTCTGAAAGGTGGGAAGTCACCAGAACAACCCTTGTCTTCGCACGGCCCCAGCTTCCGGCACGTTTACAATCGTTTGTTTGGTCCCTCATACCCAGGAGAATATGTACCACCGGCAGATCCGCAATCGCCATATGGCACTTACGTGCTCTCTTATCCCGGGGTTGCATTCTCGTTTCCCCTTCAGCACTCGGCCTGGTCAGACCAGTGTGATTTTGTAGCGTTGTTATCCTCCTCGGCTGCCCTTCCGGCCACATCCATGTCTATCTTCCAAGGCTCATCATGGCCCGAGGCACGAGCCAAGTTGTTTACACAACAGGCACAGTACCCACGCTCGTCGGCTTTAATTGGAAAATCCCGAGAATGCCTCGCGGATGAAATCGAGGAGTGGCATATCCTTGGTGCTGGGAGACTTGAAGTGGCTCGCAGGACGGGCTCTCCTTTATATATAACACTAGGAGAGACGACTCCGCAAGACTTGATTGCCGATTTCGGTCCACCCGACGCAATCTACCGTAAGAACGACCGCCGGATCTCGATTCACCGTGCAACCGGGGGCGGGGACCTACACATGAGTCCCTCTCCAGGCAGAGGAATCGAGATTCCGGACGCCGACCACTCATCCACTAACAGTGTAACTGATGATTCTGACGACGAGATGACTACCTTCAATATTGGAGACCCCACCTCACTGCCTGCAGAGTGCTTTTTAAATTACTTCCATCATGGGTTCGATGCCTTCATTTCGTATCCAACAACACCTGGACCCTCTTTCCCCGCCTCAGGGCTTCTGGATCCATCGCCTCAGCCAGCATCCTCCCAGCTGACAGTGACAAAGATTATTCTTCATGGGAATGTCCCAGGTTCTTATCCATTTAACCGCCACCGCCGAAGTCGCTGGCTAATTCATTTGGATGAATCCGGCGACTGTCTGACTTCGGAAACGCCCTATGATGAAGTCTCAGAGCGGCTGCGCGCCACTTGGAAGGGATCTTACGCCAGCCCCGCCGAGGAACGTGCTTTACAACGGCCCATGGTGTTGAACCGTGGCTGGGGAGATAGTCCTGAGAGCAGTGTTGAGTTCCTCGGTGGCTGGGAGGAGAGCACGGCGAGAGGTCCTCGGAGTGGTGCTGATGGCCAGGATGGGGGATTAGGCAACACCGAGCTTTTTGGGTTTCCAGGGCTTTTATTCGAAGTTCTCAAGAATGGCGCTGTGAGTTGTTTGACAGTCTACTGATTTGAGACTATTGAAACCAGCGCTTTTAACCCATATTTCAATGCATCATGAATCATGATAATCTTAGGTATTCTTGAATGCGAAATTGTACGTATTGTTTAAACACGTATATTGTTGCAAATAGTGGGATTTGATACCTAATATTCTTCAATAGCCTCATAAATTTATTGCCCAGTCAATAACGGTACGACCATTTCTATCAATGCTGCATTTACAGATACTCAAATGGCTTCTAATATGTATTCGCTTCGGTTTAATTACATGGAGGTCTATCTGGGCTAGTCCACTATTCAGACATCCCATCATCACCTTCATATCTTTTGATATAGTACCACTCATACATGACGATTCGCAACCCTGAAGGCACAGAGAACACGTTTCAACTGATCAAGTGCCTAGGTTCTGAGCCTCGCACATTTTCGGATAGAGTCGTCCTTTCGCTAGTAGCTCTTCGTGAGTTCCGGACTCAGCAATCTTGCCCCCTTCAAAGACACATATAACATCCGCGTGGCGAATAGTCGACAAGCGATGGGCAACCGCAATTGTGATTCTGTCCCCTTGAGAAGCCGCCTCATTCAGCGCATCCTGGACAATTCTCTCTGACCGAGTGTCCAATGCGCTCGTCGCTTCATCTAAGAGGAGCAAACGTGGATTCCGGAGCAAAGCTCTGGCAATAGCTATGCGTTGACGTTGCCCACCAGAAAGCTGTAACCCGTTGGTTCCACAGAGAGTCATAAGGCCATCAGGTAGAGAAGAGATAAATTCCCACACGTTGGCAGCCCGACAGGCAGCCTCAATATCACTATCAGGAACCGCTGACGCGCAACCAGTCGATGTACCCATGGAGACGTTTTCGCGAATGGTTCCGGGATAGAGGGTGGGCTCTTGCTGAACAAGTGCCACTTGGCCTCGGTACAGCCACGGGTTCATGCGGTCCAATGTAAGGGCATCAACTTTGATGTGGCCAGCTATTGGATCGTAAAAGCGTTCGAGCATGCTGATCATAGTACTTTTTCCACAGCCAGATGCTCCAACGAACGCAACAAATTGACCTTTTTTTATCTGTAAAAATATTAGCAACAAATAACAGCATCTTCATGGTACCGATTTGGTAGGTTAAAGGACATGAATGAAGATAGCAGGAGTTGAGCTGGCATACATGAAGGTCAACGCCACGTAGTACACGAGCGTGGGGTCTCATTGGATAAGAGAATTGCAGGTTTTCCAAGTGCATAGACTTGAAGTCGCCAGGGCCAATGTCGTGGTTTTCTTCGGTCTCTCGAATGGTGGGCTGAAGCTCTTCAAGCCAAAAGATGTAATTGGCCGCATGAGTTGCCTTTGTCATGCCTGGGTAGCCGTTAGCAACCTGTCTTTACCTCCCACATATGCCTGGGATGCATCTTACTGCTTGAAAAGCCAAAAAGGATTGAAGCTTGCTGGCCAGAAAAGAACACACTTAGAAAGCTTATGTAGAAGTTGGTCTGGCTCAAATCTCCGAATGAGACAAGCCGGCATCCATACCTATATCGAGATAATCCAATGGTTAGCATCAAGCCATGATAGAACCGAGAACAAGAACAAAGACGACAGATAAACATACCAGAAGCCAAGTGCCAGGAATGAGTATTCGACAGTCTGAGTGAATGCAAAAGGAAGCATTATGAAAAGCACTGGCTTCGTGGACGTGGCAATCGCTCGGTCAAGTTCCTGGGTGTATCGCTCCAAAACAGACGTCTCAATTGCCAAAGAAGACACAGTCCGGATGGCATTCACAGCCTCCGAGGCAATGGATGCACTCTTGGAAAATAGTTTCGAAATCTTGTGATCCATTGCAGCCTCCATTCTGATGCGAGCGTAACCGGAAATAAGCATCGGTGGAAGTCCTGCTAAGACAATGACAAGACCAAGCTTCCATGCGTATACAAGTGATAAGATAGAGCATGACAATACACCAACAATTGCAACCAGTATCAAAGCAACATTGAACCCCATAAGCTCAAACACAGCCTGCGGATAAGAGTCGGCACGGCTGGTCAGCGCCCCTGTAGTGTTTTCGGTGCGATCAAAGAATTGCAAATCTTGCTTCATCATATCGTTAACGACTTGCTTCCGGTATTTGTAGTTCATTGTCTTGATGAGTTAGCTAGCCCAAGGTATACTCATATGTCACCGAAGCAGACTTACCTGTGCGACGATGTTTGATGTCCACCCGATAACAAAATAGACGACAAAAGATCCAAGTCCGAGAACTAAAAACATGAGAGCGAAAAAGTTCCCTTTCGTCCGCATGGCTGCACCTGTGAAATGAAATACGTCGATGAACTTTGACATCAAAATAGCTTGACCAGGATACGAAGCAGCTACAATTCGGTTAGTTTCAGTCTGCGGGAATTGGACTTCAGGATGCCAGCCTCACCTCCTGTCAAGCAAGCCAGAATCAGAATTGCAAAAGTCCAATTAAGCTCTGGAGTTGATTTCGTCAATCGCCAGACTGTTTGAAGAAGCCCCAATCTTTTCCAATTGTCAAAATCATCCCGACTCTGTTGCTTCTCCAAAGCCGACCTCGTGAGGGTCGAGTATCGGGTCAATTCACCAGTCAGTGTAACATGATCTCCTTTGTCTATTTCATCCTGACTATTTGAGACATCTTCATCCTGTGTGGCCACAGAAAGATCCTGAGCCCGCACCAGCCGTGTATAGGCGCCATTCGATTCCAAAAGGGCGTCATGCGTACCTTGCTCAAGAATACGGCCATTCTCCATGACGACGATATTATCAGCATCTCTTATAGTAGCTAGTTTGTGTGCAATGGTGATTGTTGTGCGTCCCTTCGAAACATTGTTTAGTGCCCGTTGAACGACTTCCTCGGCATGAGGATCAAGTGCACTGGTTGCCTCATCCAAAAGAAGAATTCGTGGCTGGGAAACAATGCTGCGAGCAATTGCAACACGTTGCTTTTGACCACCGGATAATAGACCACCTCTCTCCCCAATGACGGTATCGTACCCATTGGGAAGTTCAGTGATGAAATCATGGGCAAAAGCAATTTTAGCAGCGTCCTGTATCCGGGCCAGCTTCTCGATTGGGGGTTCATTTTCCCATGGCGTACCGACAAGGCCATTGGCAATGTTCTCTGCAACTGAGCCGGCAAATAAAACGGGCTCCTGCTGAACAAGTCTCACCTGCTGACGCAACCATTTCAGGTTGAACAGCTCGATAGGCTGACCATCAAGCTTGATTGTTCCCGACGAAGGATTATACCATCGTTCAATCAGGCCAACTATAGTGCTCTTGCCAGACCCACTGGCTCCGACCAGTGCAGTTGTCTTCCCCGCAGGGATACGCAGTGAGAAGTCTTTCAACACATTGACGTCGGGGCGTGTAGGGTACGCGAACGAGACGTTACCAAAATCGAGATGGCCCATCACGTCCGTCAGTTTTTCTCCGGACTCGTGGAATGGATCGATCGTCGACTCTCGGTCCATGAGCTGGAATAGCTCTGACGCCGCAGAGGCAGCCCGGACGAATTCAATCATATGAGGCATTATAGATGTCAAGCTTGTAGCTGCCACAATCACAGACATGAGCACACTGCGATTATCATGATTAGCATTGCCAGTTATCAAAGGATAAAGATCCAACAAACATGAAAACATCCCCAGCTTCCTCCACCTCCCCAGTGGATATCATTTTTATACCCTGCCAAAAGCACAGGCCAAATCCTGCAAATATGATGGTGTACTCCGTGGCAAATAAACAGCCAAAAAGTGGAGATTTCTTATTTCCAAGCTTTCTCGAAGCTTGCAAGAACTTGTCAAAGTCACCTAGCAGTTGGCTCTGAAGCCCGAAAGCTTGCACCGTCCGAGAGCTGCCCAAAATACTCTCTGCAAAAGCTCCAGCCTGGGCCTGAACTTTGAGGACTTTTGTTTCAATCGAAGCTTCAATTGTGGAGCTGATTCCCATGGCCAGAAGCATTGTTGGGGCAATACAGCAGCAAATGAGGGTCAGCTTCCATTGAGTGACAAATGCTAACACGAAGGCCGAGATAAAAGCGGACAGGCCCTGGATGACAAGCCCCAGCTTTTCTGATATTCCACCCTGAATAAGTCGTCCGTTTGAGGTAGCCTGCATTGCAATTGATCCACTAGTACCGGCATCAAAGAAAGCAATTTCCTGGCTCAGTCCTGCTTTCAAGTACGCGCGGCGAATATTTCGTATGATCCGGTATGCAGCAAATGTAAACAGTGTGCTGTATCCATAGGTGAGGAAGAAACGACAAAGACCAATGACGAAGAAATAAAGACTATCTTTATATTAGTTCTTTCTGTCGATCTAGATTGAGCTCCTTGCACATACCTGAGTCTGCTGGCTTCGCTTCGGAACTTCGAAGCCTCCGAATCACCCGACGAGTAGTCAGTGGTGAGTGTGATGAACTGGCCAAACACTAGATTGACAAGAGCCATGCCCACACCGGAACCTAGTGCGCAGGCAGTGCCAATAGCTTGCATGGTATAGTCCTTAGACGAGCCATATTGAAAGATCCTCTGCTTGGTGTTAGGCTATCAGTCTGCGATGAGCCAAGAGTTTTCCTACCAGATAACCACCAAATGCACCTATTTCCTTCCCAGGCTCCTGGTCCTTGGATTCCTGTTTCTCGGACTCTTGCTCCATTGTCGATATTCGTCCGATTCCCGCTTAGGCGAATATAGAGCCAGTTGGTCTCTAATTGGACTTTTCTTCAATTGATACACTGTGTGAAGAAAACAGAAGACAATTATGAGCCATTTAATCGAGATCTCACACTCCTTTTAAGATTCCCATGGTCATACTTGGCGGGTCTCATCCAAGAGGCAGTAAGATTCTCTCGGGGTCCGCGGGCCCCGATATAAATCAGCGTGTTGAAGACATTTTCGAGTATTTTTTTATTGTATTAGGAATGAGAGGGGCACTAGACACAAATAGTTTCATAAATGGAGTATTTATAAATTAATAACCGTGAATCATCAACATCATTGGCCGTAAGAGGTAGCATCATGATTCCCCGAGGTCGAATGTCCAAAATGACCAAATCCGCAATGGGCGGAGTCTAAACCCTTTTTGGAAAGAATCCATGTTTTTGGAAAGAAATGCCAAGACACTTCTCTTCTGACTTCCACTTATCCATTTTCTAGGATATGCTGGACAATGCCGGAACTGGCGCGGTCAATTCCTCGCTCATGGACCTCGACTTTGAAACTTCCTAAATCCTCATTCCCTCCACGCGTATCGCCTGTCGATTGGACAAAATACCTGAAACGATGCACCGATGATCTCTACGCCTGGCAACGCCGCGAAAGGCCCGCCGAACAACCATTCGTCCTACACGATGGTCCACCGTATGCGAATGGCGACCTCCATGTTGGTCATGCGCTCAACAAGATCTTAAAAGATATCATCTGTCGCGTACAATTGGGTCGTGGGAAGAGGGTGCGGTACGTGCCAGGCTGGGACTGCCATGGACTTCCGATCGAGCTTAAAGCGCTCCAAGGCCTGCGCGATGAGGATATTGCAAGTGGACCAGTCAGTGCGGCGGTTATTCGCACGACCGCACGGAAATTGGCAAGACACACCGTGAAGGAGCAGATGAAAGGGTTCCGTAGCTTCGCGGTCATGGCCGACTGGGAGAACCACTGGAAGACCATGGACAAACAATTCGAGATGCGACAATTGGGTATCTTCCGGGAAATGGTGGACCGGGGACTCATCTACAGAAAGTTCAAGCCGGTTTACTGGTCACCTTCAACGGGTACCGCTCTTGCGGAAGCAGAACTAGAATACAAGGAGGATCATATCTCGACGGCTGCTCTGGTTAAGTTCCCTCTCGTCGATATCCCGTCGCATCTCTCTAAGAATCCTCTTCTCCATGGAAAGGATCTGAGTGCCGTGATTTGGACCACTACCCCCTGGACGCTGCCAGCCAATGCTGCCATTGCAGTCAGCGAGTCTTTGGAATACGCTATCGTTCTGTCGGAAAAACATGGTTATCTTCTTATCGCTCAATCCCGGTTTGAATATCTTCAGAATATGCTGAAAGAAGAACTCTCTGTCATTGTGCCGTCTATTTTGGGGTCCGAGCTAGCCGAACAAACTACATATCGACCACTATTCAAAGGGCCTGAAGCCCGCCCGCAGCCCATCTTCGCTGCGGACTTCGTTACTGCGGATTCTGGCTCTGGTATGGTTCACTGCGCGCCTGGTCATGGAATGGACGACTACGAAGCATGCCTTGCGCGTGGCATACCTGTGTTCGCTCCCGTTAACGATGAGGGCAAATTCACAGATAAAGCCATGCCTCTCGATCCTACACGTTTAGCCGGAAAGCCTGTCTTGGGAGAAGGTAACACCGCAGTATTGGAATGGGTCGAATCGTGTGATCAGTTGCTTGCCCAACATAAGTACGAGCACAAGTACCCTTATGACTGGCGCTCAAAGCTTCCGATCATTGTTCGGGCTACCGAACAGTGGTTTGCCGATGTTGCCGATATCCGCAGTAGTGCTCTTCGAGCGTTGGAAGATGTCCGGTTCGTCCCTGAGACTGGAAAGCAGCGACTGGAGAACTTTGTGAAAAACCGGAGTGAATGGTGTATCTCGCGCCAGCGCGCGTGGGGTGTTCCTATTCCTGCAATCTATCACCGGAGCACTGGAGAGGCCGTCTTGACTAAAGATAGTGTTTCACATATCATGGCCATGATTGAAGAGCGCGGAATCGATGCTTGGTGGACTGACAGTGCGGATGATGCTGCATGGATTCCTCCGTCCTTGCGGGACGAGGCTGGAGCGGGGTATCGACGTGGAACGGACACTATGGACGTTTGGTTTGACAGTGGCACCAGCTGGGCAGAGATCGATATTCCTATCGAAGGACGGAGTCATCCAGCGGACGTGTATCTCGAAGGTACTGATCAGCACCGTGGCTGGTTTCAATCCGGGCTTCTCACCTATATCTCGCACCAGCTCGGCTCGAGTCAATTCCCTACGCCTCGTGCGCCATTCAAGAACCTCATCACTCACGGGTTCACCCTAGATGAACATGGGCGGAAAATGAGCAAGTCGATTGGTAACGTGCTCTACCCGCAGACCATCATGGATGGAACTCTACTGCCTCCTCTTAAACCTCGCAAAGGCAAAGGAAAGAAGCAACCCGAGAGCCAAGAACCTATGTACGACGCTCTTGGCCCGGATGCACTTCGCATGTGGGCGGCGAGCAGTGACTACACGCGCGACGTGGTGATTGGAAAACAGGTACTTCAGACTGTCAACACCAGTCTCCACAAGTTCCGTGTCACCTTCAAGTTACTGCTAGGTGCCCTTGCCGATTTCCGTCCTGAGAACGTTGTCCCATACGGGGAGCTGCAGCTAGTCGATCGAATTGCACTCAAGCATCTCTCAGATATGGTACTCACGTCTCAGAAGGCATGTGCCAACTTCGAGTTCTACAAGGCCGTGAACACGATGAACCGGTGGGCCAACCTCGAGTTTTCTGCTTTCTACATGGAGGCGATCAAGGATCGACTGTACACCCTTGGTGAGGACAGCACAAGTCGCCGGGCCGCACAAACGACCTTATTCTACATCTACAATTATCTTCAAGAGGTGCTAGCTCCCATCACACCAGTCCTTGTGGAAGAAACTTGGGAACATACTCCCGAGTCTATCCGCACTCAATCTGAGCATCCCCTGCAACGTATTATTTCCGCCCCGGCCCCGGAGTGGCAGGATTTAGCCCTGGACACCAGCTACCAGGAGCTGACGGTGGTCCACTCCGCTATCAAGAACTTGCAGGAGCAAGCCCGCAGTAAAAAGCAGCTTGGCTCCTCCCTGCAATCCTTTGTTCACATTGTGCTCCCTAACAACTCTGGATTATTCCAACAGTATCTGTCAGAGCTCCCTGATCTCTTTGTTGTGTCTTCCATTACTCTCTCCTCTCACAGTGAAGCACTCCCGACCGACATTCAGGATGCTGACTGGCAATATGAGGAGACATTTGAGCTTGATGGTCAGTCAGGCAAAGTGTATGTTTACGCGCCACAGGCGTCCAAATGCCCACGATGCTGGCGGTATGCCATTCCGGAACCAGTGGCGATTGAAAATTCGATCTGCGACCGATGTGATACAGTGATACAGGCAAACGCCTAGATCACTGTGTGTATAAGTCTACTATGTACTGTACTTTGTATATTATATTAAAACATCTCCATTGGGTATAACAGCCAATTTACCAACTGCAGTGTAACATTTTAACCAAATATCTCAATATTTTCTAAATATAAATTCATTAATACATTAATACATTAATACATTAATACATTAATACATTAATACATTAATATATTTATCCAAGATCTCATATGTAGTGACTGGAAATGGTATAAATTGGCTATGACGACAGTATTTCTGTCAATGACGGTTGTCCCAATCATCCCTGAAATCCTGCTTTTTAACAGTTATAGTCTCCTCTTTGATCTTCTTTTGATCTTACTTTTCCATCTTCTTTTCATATTTCTCAAATTCAGTATGATTCAATCTTTTGATTTTACTCCAACGGCACCTGCCACTACATCTTCAGTGGCACCTATTCCCACTGTAATTCCGGGATCTGAAGTCTACCAAGAACTTCATGATGTGGGTAAACGGACTCTCTGGTATGTGAACATTTGAATTTCATACATTTAAAATGCTCAATTCTAAACATTCTATAGGGTTGTCACTGTGTTGATGGGCATCTCCTCGCTAGTGTTCTATACTCTGGCCGCTCGTGCTCCTCTGGTAAGTTCATCTCTCTATATCCTTATACAATATCTAACAATCTATCCAGCCGAAACGAATCTTCCACATTCTAACCTCCCTAATAACCACCATCTCCTTCATTATCTACCTTGCCCTTTCCACGGGCCAAGGTATAACAACCAAACATGCCAGTATCCACGAACCCCACAAACATGTTCCAGATACACATACAGACTATATCCGTCAGGTCTTATGGCTACGCTTTGTAAACTGGGCATTAACAACACCCCTGTTGTTCATCAACTTCGCCCTTCTATCCGGTCTACCAGGCGCAAACCTACTCATCGGCATTGTCGCCCACCTGATCATGTTAACAACGGCTCTATTCGGCATATTTGCAGGCCACGGCCGCGAGCGCTGGGTCTGGCTGACTCTCTCGTGTATTTCCTACCTGGTTGTGATCCACCATGTAGGTTTCCACGCGCAGCGAGCAGCAAAGAGCAAGGATGCCCAGATAAGACGGTTCTTCGGGTCTATTTCTGGGTCTGCAATTGCCATGCTAGCACTGTTCCCTATGTGAGTTTTCCTTTAGAACATTTCTTGAATCCGTCTGTGGCGAGTGCTAATGGTGAATAGTGCCCTCGCGGCTGGTTCTCTTGCGCTTAAGCTGAGCGTTGATACAGAGACCGTTCTCTTTGCTATACAGGATGTTTTTACCCAAGGTGTTCTTGGATACTGGCTTCTGTTGGCTCATGACAGCACGTCTGGAATGTGAGTTTTAACCTGAACGTCTATATAAGGACGACATGCTAATTACTACAGTGCGCTGTATATGGAAGGATTCTGGTCGCATGGTGTCGGCAATGAAGGAGCTATCCGTATCGCCGATGAAGAGGGTGCGTAAGGGATTCACATTTCACTTCACATTCAGATTGAAATTTAGGAGATACGAAATACGTTCTTTATCTTAGTTAGTTGATTTTCAGATGTCTCTTACTTGCGGGTCAGTTTCACCTTTCTCTCAGTTTCATTGAGGCTTCTACTGTAAGGTGTGATCATGATGATATTACTCGATCCTACTATTATTTACTCTACATATGAAACAAGAATGACTTGAACAATTGGTTTTTTTTGTTTTCTTTTTTTCTTTTTTTTTTTTTTTTTTTTTTACACAACCGAATATGATATTTCCCTGGCGGCCGCTCACCAGAGCCCCCTGGGGAAGGCTCTGGTGAGCGTGCCGCCGCCGACGGACACGGACACAGCCCGTTCACATCCTCGAGGCCCCCAGGCCTCTCACCGCTGCGGTGAGCTCAGCCAGTGCCTCCTCGCCGAGCTCCACCACGGAGCCGGCCTCGGAAGGCCCGTCCGCACCCCGGGCCACTCCGTACTCGTTCGAGTGGCGAACTCGAACGTCTCGCTGGGAGCGAGGCAGCCAGAAACCGCAGTCGATGCAGTTCTTCTTAAAGTGAACCTCTTCGAGGTTCCGGAACCACATCCCGAAGGCGTCTCCGTCCACAGCGAAGCCGGTCAAGGTGAGACGCTTGACCGGGAGGTAGGGGGGGACCGGGAAACCAGTGCTCAGGGCAAGCACCTTTGCTGCCTCAATGCAGCGCTTGTCGAGGTACTCGCCGTACCCGATCCGGTCCCGGATCTTTCCGCTGCCTTCCTGCCCACTATAAATCAGTCCAGTTAGCATATATCACTTTGGACTCACATCACTCTCAGTTGGTATAACTTACTAGTACACGGGCGAGGCACAGGACTTGACGCTCATTACCCATCCTTTCTTGATGAGCTTCCATCCACTTGGCCCAAGTGGATGGTTAATCTCCAAGCCAACTGCCATCTCCAGCTCCAGGGTGGTCAGCTGGGGGTTCATCCACACAGTCTTCCAGATGATGGGTTGGTATGACTTCATCATACCAGTCAACTTGAGCTCACGCAGGCCACGGAACTCAGCCAAGGGTCGCATCTGCTCCACCGAGAGGATGGTGATGATGACCCCATCCTCTGGCTTCTTGGTGGAGTGGTCGGTTGCCTGGTCATCTGTGGCGGACTCATAGAAGGCCTCCATGGCCTTGTCGATCAGCTTTGCCGCCTTGGGAGCGGTCACTTCCATGATCACCTCGTGATCTGGGTATCGAGGGGCATCGAAGATGGGAAGATCTTCCTTTCTAATCATACTGGGACTATGAATGTCCCAGTCACGCACGGCAGCCTTACCTTTCACGTACTTGTCATTGGCAGTGGCTTGCTCGGCAGCTGACTCCTTCAGGGCAGGAGCATTGGCCTCAATGGTAGCATCGGACTTGGTGATATCAGTCCCGGCGGTGGCCTCGTTAGTCGTCGGGTGGTCATTGGTGATCAGCTCATTGGTAGCATACTCACAGCTAACATCAGTCTCACCAGTGGTCTTGCCAACAAACTGGTCACTAGAGGAACCCTCGATGTCGAAGTCCATCGTGATGGTATTTCTGGTAGCAGAGATAAAGTCAGGATCGGTAGTAAGAGTCTGGAGGACCATAGTGACTTCCTCAGTCATGGTACCTTCATCAATAGTTGGGTCGTCGTGGAGATCGATATCTCTCTCGGGGCGGGCCTTGACTCTCTCGGGGTGGGTCTTGATAGCATCGAAAAACATATTTAGTTCCAGGACCGACTTAGATCGGGGGATGTCATCCCAAGAGCCGCCTCTATTGAGGCAGGCCATCAAGTTGATGCGAGAACTGTGACTTACTGAGTGGGGAGGGGTCTCAGTTTCGGCATGAGTATCACTCTCTCGATCAAGCCACTCTTGGAAGCTGGCTTTGCTAAGAAAACCAGGAGCCATTGTAGCAAAAGGCTGAGAGCCCTTGGGAGAACCGGGGGCGCTGGGGGCGCTGGGGGGTACAATGTCCATATTGGTAGCAGAAGGTCCTCTGTAGAGGGTACGAAAGGCGGGACGGGGTGTTTTGGGCATGGGAGGAATAGGAGACTCAGGGGGTTCTGGGGGAAGGAAAGTGGAAGGAGATAGGACGGATGGACGGGTATGCTTCTCAACTTGAATAAGTCCCGAAGTCGATGCTAGGATCGGGCCTCGGCGCTTGAGACTGAGAGTTTTAAAGGAAGGCAGCTTTGGAAGATGCAAGCTACCTTTCTTTGAACCTTTCTGACTCTTGTCGGGTGAATTTGCGGCATCAGTCCCGGCGGGGGAAGGATGAATGATACCTCGAAGTCGGAGACTATTGAAAGAAGCAAGCTGAGAGAGTTGGAAGCGACTTTTCTTTGGACTCTGTCTTGCTTCACTCTTGGTTGGACTCTTCTCAGGAGAGTTTGTGACTGCAGTATGAACGGCATTCTTGGAAGGTGACTGAACAGTGCTCTGAGGCAATTGATCAGTTGGTCCCGTGACTAGGGCTAAATGATAAGCATTAGTATGGATATAAACAGACATTATGTTTGAACGATCCAAATTGAATAAAACATACCTTGGGTCTCACGTTTGGCAAGTTGCTCAGCGTATCTCGTAGCATCTTCCCAGAACTGTACGCCCAGCAGACTATCATTCCACTGCTTGTACATATCAGCCTCGTACATGTTGTCCATGATGAGTTAGGATGATAATAATGAGAATAATGAAAGGAATTGGATAGAAGAGATGATTAAGAGATGATCAAGAGATGAGCAAGAGATGAGCAAGAGATGAACAAAGGATGACAGGAGAGGAAGAGAGGAAGAGAGTAAGAGAGGAAGTGGGACGGGTTGAAGGAAGAGGTACTTCCCACGAGACCAGTTCAAGCGCTGCCTAGTCGCATAACGCCCTCGCGAGGTAGATACCATTCTCGCGAATTCACATCGAGGTCTCCGGTTCAACTCGTGCGCTGGTCATTATGTTTAATTTCCCAAGGAACTTACAGATTCTGACAAACCTGATGATGAGGCACAGCAGGTTTCTGCTTCGACGAGGTCGGTAGAGCCTCTATGCCTAGATGACAATATTCTGGTAACCTGGATGTTCTGGGATGTATAACCCACTACTCTCCCCGGGACCATACTCATAGGAACTGTTGTTTAGATTGAGACATACATAGTAAACCCCTTTAGCTCTGATAAGAGCTGCCCTGCTCAGAATTCCCTATTTAGGCGGTTACATCACGATGCTTTTTCCCCAACACATATGAAATTGTCCATCAGGAAGGATCAGGATACTTCAAGTAGAGATTGATACTACCCTTGGCATTATCAGAAAGGTAGGCGGACGATAACAGCCGGGGTGAGACTGGTCGTAGTGAACGAGTATTAGAGCCAGATGTGAGGTTATCCACAACAGTGCCGAGGGTCTCGAACTGGTTGGGAAGTGCTGCGGAGGTACTTCAGGATCCAAGATTATTTGATCTGATGGTGAATTGTGGTCGTCTTTAACAAGGCTGCATCGTTCATCGAGGCTTTTGAATCCCTAGTTTGTTGGCATTAGCTGGATGTGCAGATTGTGAAGATATACCCCTAATGACATGTCATGATTGGTGAATAGAGATTATACATTGGAATCGAAGTCTTTCCGATAACATATAGAAGGGATTGTGCTCTGAGATGAAGACGGGACGATTTAATGTTAACCCTAATTGACTTCTGACTTGCCAAGAATGACACCTCACAGATGTAAATTGCCGATGCAGTTTGATACTCCTTTTATCTGCATACAGTATGCATGTATCATAAATTTTGATTCGGGCTACATTCAGCTGTCAATGGAGTTTGATCCTGTGGTTTTCTCTGTTCCCATTGCAATTGGGGGATCTTCTACTCCATATGTTCCAGCAAACAAAAGAATGAACAGCTTTGAGCTAGTAATGGAAAAATTGGCTTCTGGAATTTGTAAACGCCATAAAGGAAAGTAAATTCACGGTTTTACTGTGATGTTTCGATCTTGAGATTTGCCTTTGCTTGCAATTCCTCCATGGTAGGCTTTCTGGCCCACACGCGATTCCTAAAATCTATCAGCCCTGGAAAAGCTCATGCAAGTTGGAAGAAAACTTACGCAGGTTCATAAGCGTGAATATGCGGATTTTTCAGCTCTGTGCGCACTTTAGCCAGAAATACCTGTACCTCCTCCTTTGTCCACGGCTCCGGCTCCCCATAATGAGTGAGTAGCCACATCACCCAACCTTCTAGAGCGGCATTCCAATGGGCCCATTGAAGATGTCCAGCCTCCTTCAATGTGTTATCCCTAGCCCAAGGTCCTATTGGAATTTTGTACTTGACCTCATGCACATCCACAAACCCTGCTTCCTCGATTGCGCTGCGCATCGTTTCATGGGTTCTAAGTGACCGTCCAGCTCGCTCAGAGCATCTAATGAACATGTCACCCCATCCAGATAGCTGATGTTCTTTCTTCAAGGTACCGTCATCACTGTAGACTCGCACGTCTAATTCCATTTGTTCGATCCACCCACCAGGCTCTAGAGCGCTGTGAAATAGAAAAATAAATTAGGGCAAGGTTTCTCGAACGGTCAATTAATCAGGAACAAAACTCACTCATAGGCCTGCTTGTATAGCTTCTGCCATCCCTCGGGAGAGAATGCGCCATACATTAGGCGCATATGAATAAAATCAAATGGCTCTCTCCATGTCCACTCACGAAGCACATCATCTACCTCGAATAGGCAATTCGGGGGCATCCATGTCACGGGTGGAGGGAATATATCCACTCCGCGGACGGTAGCTAATTGGTTTCAGTCAAAAGAATAAAAGAAGTTAAAATCAAGAAATTTTAGTACCTCGCGGATATCGATCAGCAACGTCACTAATGATTTGTTAGAGGTTTTTTTTTTTTTGAAAGAATTTGCTCGCTGACTTACATTGCCCAACTTCCTTGACCAGTTCCGATGTCTAAAATATTCTATATTGCGTGGTTAGCGGAACCTTTCAGTGGATCTCTTCGGTATATGTTTACCTTGGGTGAATTGCCGATAGGGGCACGGAAAAGCGGATTTTGCTGATTGTGATCTAGCACGAGAAACATCATATGGCTGAGGTTGTTAATATCACAGCCCTTCTAGATAGTAATGGGATGTAGTTTACCCAATTTCAAATGCCTCGAATTGTTGATCATCCGAAGGACCCCTTGATACGTTACTTTATGAAAAACAACCCTTGTTGTATCCCAACTAACCAGTAGTCATCTTCTTTAATAGCCTGGTATCTATATATCCAGTCAGTCTTAGGATGCGATCTCAGACTAAAAGTAGACTGACCTTCGACCGTTTTCCAGTCGTCCCCTCGCAATTGAGGACGAGATTGAGGTGGTATCCCTACTAGAGTGAGAATTCTCATAGAGGTATGATCTGAAGTGGCACTAACGAATGAAGGCCATGTTCCCCATAACCATTGACCATAGAGTAGAAATCAGGATCCTAGACCAGAGGTTAGATATGTCCTGACCCAAATTATAGATCACACTTACTACCGCAATGTCCAATTTTTCAGCCATCTCTTCTTCTCTTTTGCTCCTTTTCCGTTGAATGAAAGGTGAAATTGTCGGAAAGGGATATCCCACTTGAACCGTTTAACTAAGTAAGCCACAATCATCCCGTTGAATATAACCGAATTACCAAGGTAGGTTGGGTACATATTGTACCCACAAAAAAAAGTACTAGCGGAAGTACTGTAGGATACATAAGTACTATCCCACTCAGCTTCATTTACAGTACAACATAAACAAATTCGATATATTTCGATGGAGACTGTCATTTAGTTAAATAAGCAACTCCCATTCTATTAGGGAGTAGAAGGAATTCTAATATAGACTATGCATAATCACTGTTTATGAAGTATTAATCCTGCCTAGGTGTCGAACGGGTAGTCTGAAACACTGTGAGTGTTCCTATTAGTTGAATCCCAAGATCGCCTTTTTAGTAGACGAAAACCACTATTCCCTCCGATGATCCACATGAAAAACGCAAACGGGATCTCGCAGTCTCCAACAGACTTGTCCAATGCGGCCTAGGGAGATACTGGAGAGCATGTGGACGAACTGGATGACAGGGTCGATCATGCGAGCCAGAAGAGTGAGATGGCATGGGCCCGCTAGTTCAAGCAAGGGGGAAACGGCGCTATTCTTCGAATTTCACCCAGGGCTTGTTTGGGTTTAGGCGCACTGGACAGGGTAGGAGAGTTGGGAGGGGAAGGAGAGGAGAGCACCAATATCGACTATAGTTTCTCATCGATAGATGATTTCATTGATAGGGGAGAAGATACTGGGAATAAATGCTACACCACATCGTCGGTCCTGAAGCCCTATATCCCTATTTGTATTCGTATCGAGATCAGTCCAGACAGGGCTGCCTACGTACCTTGGCACATGATGGGATAAGCCTCATCGAAGAGATAAAAGACAGAATATTTCAACGAAAGATAGACACAGAAATTACCCGGAAACAAATCATTCGGATAGGCATGTCAACACCCAGACCTTGTAGACGGAGTAGCCATGTTCGCATCAGCAGATGTGATATTATGAATCTTGTTGCGTTTTCGCAGCAATATAATATGAGATGTTTCTATCTAGTGCATTAGCGAGACGAATAATTTCAATTCATCACTTATCTGGAAGAAATATCAGTGCAGGCCATCAGGCTATAAATGGCCTTGCAAAGCTCTGTTAGTTCGAGTAAAAAGAGTGCTTCATTGAGTCTCTATCGAATTCAAGAGTCTAGACTGTTACAGCATTTTACTAGGTGTGGTTGTTATAAGAATTCCCCGTTTGTACCTTTTGAGGTCAGTCCAATCTTCTCCTCTTCGCCGGAAAGCTCGCATGTATACATGACAAACCTGCTAAGAATTCACTGGTTATCATGGTGGTCAAACACTTGACCCAGATCAGATTGTGTTTTTCTCAGGTCCTTAGAGCGCTACCCTATCAAGATCCAGTAAACAGAGACCAGAACCCTGGAGACATGATTGAACTTCTAAGATGGAATGAAACGGCATGAGATGAAGAGGAATTCGCATGGATGGTTAAGCCTAATTTAGGAACTCTACAAGCTATACCTTTGAAATGATGTGAGAAATGTAGAATATGTATCTTCTTGACATCTTAGACGTCTTTCTGGGTACATTTTTAGAATATTCTTGGTGCTCACAGTAAACTCGGGATACAGAGACAAATGTACTTCGAATATATATCTTCAACACAGTATACTGCATCACTTTGATAGTTCCGGTGTGGCCCAATGTGAATGTATCAAGCATGTGGGAGCTTTCATATAAGAGCATCTTCAGGGTCATGTATGATATCCGTTGGCCTGATGCCAGACATAACAGCCTGGACCCCAGACTGGTGTTCATGGCGAATTTAGCTGCCTGGAAAACCTATGCACGCATGTCATGAATATTGCAGCACTACACATCGAAGGTGCTCGCCTGAACCAAAGCTTGATACATCATTCTCACATCTGAGATCGAAACCTACCAAGCGAATAGCTACTGTATACAACTACTGCTCAAGAGAACAATCTGGCTGGCAAATGGCCCGTGGACTTCGCTATTTTGTGTCCCTCCCCATGATAAATACATCAAGAGCGGCGCAGAGATGTCTCTCGCACACACGAACCATCTTTTAATCACCAAGCACAGAAGGAGAAGTTTTTAAAAGAAACCCATTGGAATTGTCGAACAAAAATCATGCATCATCCATAACCTAGTACTTCTTGCCCTGGCGGAGGACATCACCGAACTCCTCCAGAGGGCTACGGATGAGCTTATTCTCGGCCCACAGGTTGGGGGTGAGGAAACCGTAGGTGTTGACGACAGCGACGAAGGTGGCCTTGAGGGTGTTCTCGAGGGTCTTGGTGGAGCCGGAAGAGGAGGTGTAAGCGTCCTGGACACCGGCGAGCTGGAGCAGACGCTTGACAGCGGGGGAAGCGACAAGGCCGGTACCGCGGGGGGCGGGAATGAGCTGTAATCAATTAGAAACCATCTCTTTGAATTACTGGTCCTCCAAAAAAAGGACCTAGGTCAAAAATGACCACTGTACAAAACTTACACGGACGGAGACGGAACCACACTTTCCACTCTGCTTGACGGGCAGAGAGTGAGGCTCACCAAGGTTGGTACCCCAGTAACCGCGACGGACGGGGAGGACAGCGAGCTTGGCGATGGTGATAGCGGCACGGATAGCGGTGGCGACTTCCTTGGAGGTCTTGATTCCGAGACCGATGTGACCCTCGGAGTCACCGATGAGGACGATAGCCTTGAAACGGGTACGCTGACCGGCACGGGTCTGCTTCTGGACGGGCTTGATCTGTAGGTTGATATTGACGTTAGTTTCTGGTCTGTTTTCGATGTATTCGGTTTCCGCTCGAGCTTCCACTGCGCAATTGCATTCAATTGTCGCATTCCAGTCGATTCCCGCTCAATCCTCCAAATTCAAAAAGTGTTGTGTCGATCCGTACCTTCATAACCTCATCCTTGAGCTTGGGCAGGAAGAAGTCGACAATCTGGTACTCCTTGACGGGCAGAGAGTGAAGGTAGATCTGCTCCATGGAAGTGATCTTGCCGGCCTTGACGAGACGGCCGAGCTTGGTGACGGGCTGCCACTCCTTCTCCTCCTGCTTGGGGCCACGACGGCCGCGACGGCCACCACGGCCACCACGGCCACGGTCACCACCGCGCTCACCACCACGGTCGCCGCGCGAACCGAAACCACCACGTCCACGGGGAGCAGCGTCAGCCATATTTTATGTTGTTATGGGAAGCGACGGGGAGGGTTGTCGGTTTTGAGTTGGTCGTCGAGATTCACGGCGCTGAGCACTGTTTGCCCGAAATTTGCGCGGGTGGGCTAAGCGAGCGGGCAGCCCTAGTGGAGACCCTATGCCCTAAATTCCTGATCGGGGAAGTGGCACGTGCACTTAAGGTTTCCAGGGCGGTATCACCTGACGGGGCCCAGAAGTAGATCGATTGATCATCTTGTTTTTTTTTTTTGAGAGACATTGACTCTGTGGAAGAAAGAGTACATTTATATTATATTAATTTTTCAAGTTATTAACTACAACAGTATACAACAATATAATATCTTTAGAAAATTAAATTGAGTCCTCGTAATATTGTGATTCTTCCCCATACGTCACACCAAAATCTGCTTCGGGCGGATGCACTTCCTATTTGGGCTATGCGACAGGTCAATCTTGACTCCGCAATTTCAAGATCGTTCCCCCAGTTGCCCCTTCAAATAGTATTTCAGCGTCTTCCCTCTGGCTTGTTTTTATTCATTCTTTGCATTCTGCTTTGATTATTCCGTCTTGCATCTTTCATAACCACTCAATCGCAGTTATGTTGCGCTGGTAAGTCTCCCCGGCTCACCTCCTTGAATCGAAGCTCAAAACATCTTCAACCAGGTACCAGTCCAAGTTGGCAAAGAAGCCCATCCTCACCGCAAGCATCACCAGCGCAGTACGATCCCCTCATTTCCTCTTCCATTGGACCAACTCCTGATTCTTGTTACAACAGTTCCTATTCGGCAGCGGTGATGTTCTAGCACAGCAAGCTGTTGACCGGAAAGGTCTCGAGAAACACGACTTTGCCCGCACTGGGCGCATGGCTTTATACGGTGGAGGTATGTGTTTTTAAACCTCGAGTTTGCGATACATCGCTGATCTGTATTTTCCTTTCAGCCGTCTTCGGTCCAGTCGCCACTACCTGGTTCGGCATTCTTCAGCGTCATGTCGTTCTCAAGGGCGCCGCATCCACCACCGTCGCTCGTGTTGCCGCCGATCAAATCTTCTTTGCACCGATTCAACTCACCTGTTTCCTGTCTTCAATGGCCATTATGGAAGGTGTTGATCCCGTGGAAAGGTGGCACGCTGCCTTTGCTCCCGCTTATAAGGCCAACCTGATGGTCTGGCCCTTTGTACAAGGTGTCAACTTTACATTTGTTCCGCTAGAGCTGCGCTTGTTGTTTGTCAACGTTATCAGTTTAGGTGAGTACCCTGCTTTCCAAGTATTGATCATAGTTACTAACCACTGAATAGGCTGGAACTGCTTCCTTAGCTTGATGAACAGCGGCGAGGAATTATAATTCCAGGGCATGATTTGAGATACCCTTGAAGTTTTCATCAGCTATTCTGAGCATTTTCATATTGGCGCTCCATTATACGGTAATTCTTTGGGTTGGGTCCTCAGGCATCGGGAAGATTTTTATTCATATTTTCCATGTATAACTCTGTATAACTCTGTATAACATAAATCTGAATCTGAATATTCAACCCAAAATAAATTATAATAAACCGAAAATGATAGAATTAGAAGTGCAAAGTGAAGATGGGATATATATGGATGGGTGTGATATTTGATTATGTTACGGAAGAACCCAAAGAGGCAAGGCAAGTTTTTGTGGCTCGAACTTCAAAACTTCACTCTTTACAGTCAATTGTCGCCTACCTCCACTCTCATCTCACACTGCCTGGAGCAGACTATTACTGCTAACTCGATCCA